TCCCCTTCCTATTAAAAAAAAACTGTCCCTAGATCACATTTTTTAGTGCGAAGAAAAAACAATCTTCGATAAGGTTTGTCAACAGAATCTTAACTGGACTTGTGCTGAAAACAGAAAGTGCCTTGTTCAGAAGTTAGACGGTATGGTTTCAGATGTGTTTGATAGTATTTGCTGACTGTGGCTCCACTGACATTGACAGCCGTTGTGGTTGACAGATTGAAGCCTCAAGTCCTCCCAGTATATCATGCGTATGCCCCCGAGGCCTCAGCCCTCCTAACCGCTCCAGTGGCGTCTTATCACGCAGACTCTGCTTCATTTGTCAGTTAAACAGAAGGACATGGGCACCGGGCTGAGGCTTTGGACCGGGCGCTGTCCGTCTGACAACCTGCCGAGAAGCGAAGGGCGACAGGATTTCCTGGGGTAGCGAGCTCCACATGCACACACTTTATTAATGAATGAATTCACAGAGGAGCTCACAGCAAATGAATACGAAATAATCTTCAATTAAGCCAAATGAAACTGGCGACCTGAGCACAGTAACGGGCCGCGTGCAGACATTCCAAATGTGTGCTAATCCGCCAGCTCTTTGGTGACACCATTTAACCAGGACTTGAGACTATTTAAAAAATGAAACCACAATGCGTTATGAGGGGACAAAAGATGTAAACTCAAATTTAACTACATAGATTTGACTTCTGCCGTTTTAGTTTTTACATGCAGAAGATTTTACAAAGTTTGTGCCTCCTTGGTTTTGATGGCTGGCGTAGTTACCGAGGAGACGGATCCGCTCGGGCCTTTTACCCCGCAGCTCCCTACTGTTTACAAAAGCCAGGAGTTCTGACATCAAACCTACTATTGGCCAGGCGGAGAGCAGCAGAGGCAAACACAAGCCTCTGGCCAGCATTTGAATTTTAGCTTCATGTCACTGAGCTGACTCGAGCTGTTTAGTTTAAACTGAATGAAAAAAAGGAAAATGTGTTGGAAATGCTTTAATCTTACTCTGTCCTCAGGATAAAAGAAGACATAAAACGGCTGTTTGACCTCTTTTTGCTGCTGGAGACCTGTCCAGTCATGTGGACACAGCCTTTTCTGTTTTGAAACCCGGACGCCCGCTCTTTCATACAACCTGTGGACGCATTTGAATACATTTCTGTGGGATGAGATTTCCATAAAACATTTGAAGCATTCTTTGTTCTTATCTTCTATTGGCTTTGGTCACCTGGTTTCCGATTTACATGTTCAGGGGAATTTACACACGCTGCTCAGCACGTCCCTACTGCACGCAGGCTGGTATGAGCACCTGTGTTTCCTATTTTATGAAGTACAGTTTCCCACACTAATAATTGTTCTTGACAGGGTGTGATGGCGCTGTGTGTTTATACAGGAAAGTCTTTACAGGAACGCGTGAATAGTAAAACCCATAATGTGCGCCTTCTATTTCTCTGGGACCGTCGTAATTTCATCACACTGGAGGCTTTTATTCTCCAGAGACAGTGGGTAATCTGTGAAACCCCAGAGATGAACAGAGACATTGTTAAAAGCCATTGTAAATTACTCACTAAAATGATTCTTTGGAGTATTTTTTTATTTTTTTATGTCTTCTTGGGTTTGTCTGTCTCACTTGAACTTGTAACCACTTTCTGAGTTTTTTCTGTTTGTGGTTATGGCATTCCACGTTGTTTCATCCAGGTAGTAGTAACACATGATCCTTCATTTTTACAATAACTGAAATAAAACCCACATGCGTGTTCAGCATGTTGACTATTTTGGAATATCCATCCTAAATAATTTCTTATAGTTTGTTCTCAATCTTAGCCTCTTGGTTCTAATGGAAATTCCTCCCTTTGCTAAGCACCCGATGGAATTTGTGCACTAATGCGTCTCTGTGTGAAAGACAAAAATAGATTCACATCGGGAAAAAGCCTCCACATGTCGGTCTCTCTTTAACTAACAGGCCCGGCCATGTTTTCTCTCAAGGGGATCGACAATTCCCTGTGAAGAAATGAGCTGTTTTTTACATTCAGGAGCCAAGCTTCAACAGGTCCGCTATGTTCAGGAGGATGAGCGCTCCGCCATCCTCTTCATCGGTGTGAGCTCCACGAGACGGTCAACATGCCGCATCCCGCCTTTACGTAGGGGGGAAAAGAAAAAAAAAAAAAAAAAACAATGTGTGGATTTCCATATGCTTCTGGCTCTGTGAAGTTGCCAGGCAACAAGCAAAGTCTCCAGGATTTTTCTCCTTCTGTGTTTTGGAGGGATTAAACGAACGAAAAGCAGCACGATGGCGATGACCAGCTTTGAAGTGGCTGTTGGGTGGATTCTCGTTAACTTTGGTCATGGAGGCACGCCACAAACCGTAAAGCGGCTGTTTGCTTTGATGCCGTCTAATGCATTTTTCACTGATGATGAGAACAAGAATGCCTCTATAGTTGTGGCAATGTTGACACTCAACACAGAGATGATAGGCCATGCTTTTCCGGGTACAATAACGTTCTTTGTCATGGTCTGCCTCAGAACAAAATCCCTCCAAACCTGCTTTAACTTAATTTAGTTCTTCTATACGATAGGCTCACATTTGCCTGTGAACTGCGCGCTGCTTGGTATCTTTTACCCCAGCTCCACTGTTTGTGCACACTAAGCAGTCACTCTCACCCACACTGTAAGTCCGTAAGTCTTAATCACGAAAATCCAGCAGTATATTCCGTTTGGCTCTGTAGAGTTGTGGCAAAGTTTTGTCGGGAGGGGAGAAAAAAAAAAGCTGTCTGCATCCATCCCCGTTTTTCTCGTGTTGTCAGTCAAAACCGCTCGGGCCGCTCTGTTTTGTTTGCAGTGGCCATAAAAACACGACGGGTTTGAATCTGGCACGCCTCCCCCAAGTGATGACACCGCCGCACACATGTCCGCCACATACCAGCAGAAGGGAAGAGAGGGAGGGCATCTCTGTGTCAGGCTAACATGGCCGCCGGGGCATCACGGCCCTTTTATCCCTCTCCTTCCCGCCTGGTATTCAGTCTGCCCTTTCAGCTTGGAATTCTTTTGAGATCTGATCCTTTGGAAAAATTGGCATTAAAGCTGAGTCGTATGCTAACAAGCAAGGTGGGTCCAGTTACCGACACACACTGGGCTGGCTGTGCGCAGCGGCCTGACCCTCGGAACTCAGGCGCATAAGCAATTTGTCAGCTGTTGACACCACTGGAACGTTTCCACAGCGGGTGAAATTTATTAGGATTTTTTTCAGCTGTGACTCACTGTGAGCCGCGTTTTATGGGCTAAGGCCTATTCAGTTACACAACATTGCCCAAGAAGAAGCTTCTCTCACCTTTACTCTTTTTATGTTTAAAAGACAGCTGTGGAGCAGGAAGTCATCAGGACCTGAAACTCATCTTCCCTTTTGTTTTTTTACTTCATTTTCATCCTCTTCATCGGTTAACTGTTTTTGATCTATAACATATTAAAAAACAAGAAAAGGAATAAATCATTTGGTTACCTTTTTCTTTCCAACAATCATTTAAACAAATGTATTGGATATGTTTGGTTTGAGGTGTGCTGATGTTGGGCCTCTTTTCGTCTGTTTCAGATCCTGCATGTATGTTTTTGTTCACAAGTGTCAGTTAGATCAAACAGAACTTTAGATTTTGGTTAAAAAGACGAATAAAATTGGAATCATAGTCCTAAACCAGATAGAGGGATGAATGTGGTGTTAAAAGGCTGAAGTAAGAGTAAATTCCTCCATTTTAAACTGTTAGTGGTTTACTATGGTTGGATATTTAATCTTTTAAAGAAAACTGTCTGCTCTGAGCAGACTGAACCTCTTTGGCTGCGCAGAGCTGACCCTCAGGTAATGGAAAGAGGGAACTGAAGCCACAGAGGTCCTGTTACCTGGTCAGAGGTGGAAACCTGGTCATATCTGCTAATGGTTACTCCGAGGAAGCAATTTCTAATAGTCTTTCTTTGAATTTGGCATCCAGGCAGCCAGAATTCCCTTCAGTCTTTTAAAGTAGCCTGAAACAAAAGTCTTCCAGGCTTTCTATACTTTTGCTTTGGACAGTTGCTGTTAATTCTCTATCGGTTCAGCCCTCGGACCGGTCTGTTTTTAAAGGCATACCTTTTTCAAACTCAATCGATCAGCCGGCGTTGCGTCTTGACATAACTATTTACGTTTTGAAATGGCATCTTGAGGCACTGTGTTCCCAGCAGAAATCTGTTTGCAGCCATTTACACCTCTGTCGGTGGACGAAAACGATAAATCTCTTATGAGATTACCTAAATAACACTTATCTTCTTAAGAAAGAACTGGAAGGAAACGGAATGACCATGTCAGTATTGTGACTTACTTTGATTGTGAGTGTTCTTAATTAAACTCAAAGAGTGTGTGTTTGAAACATTCGATTATATTGGAGACCTTTCCACCTCGGTGTCATCGCCTGTTATGGACAGTCTGTGACCCCGGAACCTTTTGGGTATCTGGTTGTTGAGATGTTGTAAATCAGATGTGCAAAAGGACTTCAGCGACGAGCCGCTGCTGTGCTGGAACTCAGCGTCACTGTACAGTGTGTCTGCATTTTTGGACGGCTGCCAGTTTCTGTTTATAGCTTGGCTCAGGTTAAGTTTGACAGCTCTAATAACCCAGAGCGCTCTCAGTGCCTAATCCATAAAAGGCTTTGTGATCAAAGCTGAGAATGACTGGGTCGCCTTTGTGGAGCACGCATTCGGCCTTCTGTGTCGGCCTGCTTCTTGATCATGCAGGTTTTGTTAGATGAGTGTTATTATGCAATAAACCAGATCATTCCAGGTTGCTGTGACGTGCTGTTGTGGTGCTTGACCCTTTAAACCACGTTTTTGAATCGGCTGTGAATTCCAAATACAAAATATTGAATGACATTCTTTTTTCCTAACTCACTGTGTCCCTCTTGTATGCTGAGCTATTGTCCTTGTCAATAACTGATTCAGGGACGCCGTTTGTCAGCTCCGAATGAGTGCATTTCCTCCTTTTGTTGCAGATGCCCCCTCCACGGAGCAGCAGGAACTGTTCACACAGAAACTCCAGCAGTGCTGCATGCTCTTCGACTTCTTCGACTCCGTGACAGACCTGAAGAGCAAGGAGATCAAGAGGGCAACGCTTAACGAGCTGGTGGACTATGTTTCCACCAACAGAGGCGTGCTGGTGGAGACCACATACCCGGAGATCACTAACATGGTGAGGATGCACACGTGCATTTACACTCGTTTTCAAAATAAAGAATCTGTGTAATGTAGATTTAGGAAACAAACACCTAACGTGACTATAGAAGGAGTCACCTCCCAGATGAGCGATGTGTCAGTACTAGAGTTTATTATTGAACTGACAGGACTTTTCAGTGTCACTGACTTCCTTTGTACTTGAGCAGGATTAAAACATGGAGGTAGGTCTTGTGTCTAGACGGTGTGTGTAATGTCAGCAGCACGTGGGGTACCTGAATACCAGCCATGGCTAAACCCATTACTTCACTGGTTCTATTGACGTCCACACCAAAGCAAATTTCCCAGGGAAAACAATGTTATTACATTAATCGGATGTTCTCTCTGGAATGTGAGTCAACGGGTATGATTTCAGAAACTGAAGCATATGAATACGAGCCTTTCTCCTTCACTTCACACTCTCTCTCCTCCTGGCAGTGCTGCACAACACCTGTGCACAAGTTAAGATGTGCTTTTCCTTTTATCTTTTGGATGCACCTTTCAAAATAGGTTTGGCCGGTGTGGTATAGATTTGTCCTCCTAGCAGGTGCCCTGAGCTGACTGGTTTCCTCCCACAGCCCAATCATGACTCATGTGCAGCATTTAGATCACAACAGTCAGAGCTGCAGTGATTCACTCCACACTGGAGATGATCAGGATGGGAACCAGTAAGCAAATCCTCAGATGAATCAAAGAAGTCCTCGGATTACAGGCAGTTACTCAAATTATGCTGTAAACTATAGATTTAGGACTCTGTTTCCCTCTGTGTTGACTTTAAGGTGCACCTGACAACGCAATTACACAAAAAAATGAGGAGGGACCAAGGAATACTGATGCTCCTGATTTGTTTTAGGAAAAAATATTTATAGATCAGTAAGACATTGAAGAAAGAGGTAAAATATTTGTATGAAGAGCTGACGGTTCAATTCTGTTTTTTATGTCACATTTCTATCTGAAGAAAAGGAAAAGAGAAGGGTGATGCTGTCAGGGAAAATTCTGTCAAAGCTATTTAGAAAACGGAGGGTTTGCAGAGGTTGCTCTCAGGCAGTGCTTGGTTGTAAGAATGCCTAAGACGCAGATCTGCCCAAATCGCAAAGACAATATTATTATCAGGTTGCGAATGAGGAGGAACATGAGTGGAGCTTGACAGGAAACCCAGATAAAAGCCACGTATCCGAATCACAGATGGGATTCTTGATTGAGGTTTGACAAGCAGCAGCCACTTGTCCACTGTCAGAAAGTTGGGTTAATAATGGCTCTCCTGGATACTCTACGCTTGGCATCACATGACAGCGAGGAGGTAAGGGCCTTAAGTGCGGCCCATTATTCAGCCGCGGCGAGCCCCGCTTTGATCCAGCAGGAGCACAAACAGTGAGGTTTCTCATTTCCATCGGCAGGCTTTTCTGCTTCTGCCACCTCTTTAATTAGTGTGTCGAGTACATTAAGGAAAAACACTCATCTCAAGTAGTTTGAACTTAATTTTTTCTTATAGGGATACATGTAGAAAGTCTTATGGTTAACCCCCCCATCCCCAGCACCCTTCCCTACTACTCCTTCTCGGTACCTGTCGCTGGGTCCCAGCTTCAGCCTCCCGTCATCAGTGAACCTCCTCTGAATTCACCTTCAGCCGAGGCTCCACAGCAACCCTCCTACAACGCTTTCACACACAAATAACTGTTTCCTTTTTCTCCGCCTCCCATGTTTGCTGTCCTCCCACGTTGTTTAAGCTTGTCTTGTCCAACTGTAGTTATTTTCCAATATTACGAGGTGGCTGGGGGAATTAAGTAAGTGCACCTGATGCTTGAAGCCAGAGCTGCTGGTGTGCGCTTCTTTTTTTAATAATCCTACAGACTTGGAAATGGCTCAGGTTGCATCCTTTTCTACCAGTCTTGTTATTTTCAGCTGAATGTCCTTCCCCGCGACCCAGATTGCAGTCTTGTGTTATGCGTTTCCAGCTCAGCCCTTCACACGAGATAAAAGGAAAACGGGAACGGGTTATGAATCTGCCTACAGATGACATAAAACCAGCACTGCAGTCTGGAAGGCTGTTCAGCTTGACCAATCTGTTCAGTATTTGACTGCACAGGTTAATGCTTAAATGCTCAGTCTTTGAAACAAAGAGTCAGCTAAAGCAAACTGCCTGAAACGTGTTGGAAATGATTGATTTGGATTCAACAAGGAGTCAGTACATGGTTGAGGTTCCAGATGTTTTTTTACGACGTGATGCAGCCTGGAAACAGCTGCTCTGCAGTAGGAGACTTCTCTAAAGTAACCGGAAGGCAACAAACAGGCAAATAACAGCTTATTGCAGTAACGGTGGTAAGCTGAGTTCATCATTCATCCTTGAAGGGCATTGGCTACAATAGCACACTGTCGGGAATCCTCCCATTCCTTTCAGCTGGTGGACAAATTCTGACAAGAAATCAAATATAGGTCATATGAAAACCCCAGCAATTCAAGCTTTGTCAGCCTTTCTGCCCCTTTTTCCGCGGACGCTCCCAGTGAAACTGTGTGGCTAAACCCTCATCAGTTCTGAACGGCTCAAGGAAAAAGGCCTCGTGACTTTACGAGCTGTAGCCTAAACACGTTGCGATCCCACAGAATTCATGCTGCAATTTCAAATCATCTTCTTGATCAATCCAGGTCACGAATAAAGCGTCCACTTGAATTTTAGTCGGTAAACTGCACGTCTGCATCTTGATGTTGCTAAGAAACTGAGGCAGCTGTGCTGCGCGGCAGCTGTTGTTTGCCATGGCCGAGAGCGTCACACCGATTATTGCTCCTGGTTGTACAGCCAGAGTCAAATGAAATGTAGCCTACTAGGTTGAACTTGCAAAACACGTGTCCATTTCCAAGTTTCGGAATTGATGGTGAGTTTTGCGTTCTTCAGGTGCTGAAGAACTGTAGGGAAGAACTGCTTGAGGAGGCGAGGTTAACAGTTTAGCAAACTGGATCATAACGCAGCTATTTAGCGTTCTAAGATGGTCATAAACAGACATATTTTTAAACTTCTTGTACACCTTTATCTCAAGCGATCACCAGACTCAGCATTTTGCAACAACAGGCTTCACTTAGTCGTGTTTTATTAGCACATATGCTAACGTTTATGGCGTTCCCCACATGTTCCGCTGCTGCCTGTGTGTGCAGAAATGACCGGGGTGGAAAACTTTGCTGTGGATTTCCCAGCATGTCAGATTTTGGGCTGCTGTCACGGTATAAAATTCCTTTGCCGCCTTCTCCCATTAGTGTCAAATGGATTTTCCAGCTGCCAATAGTTCATTTGATGCTACCTTTATCACTTCAGCATGATGTTGTGCATCCAATCACCTAATACTGACTTTGTTTTCAGCTCCCTGCCTCTGTGTATGTGTGTGTGTGTGTTTGTGTCTCTCAGATTTATCCCCACTAAAAATAACACCGTGGGATGGAGGTGGCAGTGACCTGTCTACAATGATTGTCTCCAGTGCAGAATTTTAATGAGGAGTTGTGACACATGCCCAATTGGTAATGGTGTTATGAAGTGCCTTTCTGCTTTGGTAGCAGTATTAAACATCTTCAAATGCACAGAAATAGTCAGGAAAATAGGTTGCTGACTTTTCCTGTTAGCAAGCTGCCAGTGTTGCTGGTGTTTTATGTTTGGGGCTATGACACATTTCTGCAACTAGCTATTTCAATACTGGCTTTTCACAGTCACAGCTTTTGGCCTCTTTGATTTACAAATGAACAGGAAGCAACAGGCTCACTGTACTTAATTGATTGTAATTGTTTTGCTCTCGGGAGGCAGGGAGGGATTTCAGTACAGAAAAGCTCCTCTGTTGGGTGTGAAAGCATGGGATCTGAATACACAGGTGGTTAAAAAGTATCCTTTTAAAGGAGTTTATCCCATGACTAATGTCTGCATTCCACACCGTCTATCAAAGCCTTTTTACCTTTTTAAAGCCCTCGAATAACTATGTTTTCCAGCTCTCTCTCCTTCCATATTTTCATGTTTTGTTTTCATTTATAAAAATTCCTGGGCCTCTTGTTTGTCCCCGCAGATCAGCACCAATATTTTCCGAGCTCTTCCACCAAGTGATAATCCAGATTTTGACCCAGAAGAGGATGAACCCACTCTGGAGGCTTCTTGGCCTCACATGCAAGTAAGGCTGCTGCTTCACTGTTTGTCCCACTAACCCTTAACTTGATATAGTTGTCTGTTCCTATTTATGTTTTTGTTTCTCTCCATCTTCCAGCTGGTCTACGAGTTTCTGCTGCGCTTCTTAGAGAATCCAGACTTCCAACCCAGTATCGCGAAGCGGCATATTGATCAGAAGTTCGTCCTGCAGGTTTGTGCCTATTTGTTTTCAGCTGTTTCTCAATTCTTTTTATGCCTGTGCATCCACAGCTTTAAGAATGGAACAATTTGCCAGCACACTTCAGCAGCACACACTTTTTTGTTTTTAATCAAACGGTTAATCCACCGTAGCTCATCCACATCCGCCCTGGCTCTGCACCTCCAGCAGGTCTGCTTCTGTTCTTCGGAAGCAAAAGCTAAGGGGCACACAAGGCCTGGAATGTTGGCTGGCCACATCTGAGGTGCCTGTTCCGACTTTCCATGATGCGAGTGTGTCGTTCGGGAGCTTTAAATAGCCGCCTGTTGTCTACTCCCCTGGAGGAGAGAAGTGGTTGAAGCAAAGAGAATAAGGTGGTGCCAGTGAATGCTGGAAAGAAATGGCCTGGTCAAGTTGTCATAATTCACACGGCAATGGGAATGCATCCTTGTAGGTCCCTCTGAGATGAGCGGCACCACATGGGAGGCAGGGCAAAGCCCTGCCAAAGGGGGAGTGCTCCAGCTCTTGTCTGCTTTTCTACCCCCCCCCCCCCCCATTTCTTTTTCATTGCTCAATCAACTGGTGCTCAGCACAGCTGTTGCAGAAAACAGCCCTCATCATGGGAAAACCACCAAATGTGGAACGTGTGGGACACTCGGTCAGAGGGTATTTTTGACTTTTCTTTTCTGTAAGGGTGCATTGGAGTGCGCTTACGTATTGCACTCTGGGATCTTGGTTTATGGCGCAGTAGAAAGCATAAAGTAAACATTTCTAGAGGCTTGTTGGCATTTAAAGTAAAATTAATGATTTATTCCATCTCATTTCATGAGTTTTGGATAACTTGTGAATGGCTGTGAACCAGTTCTTGGATATCCCAATTCTAAATTTAAAAGAATGTGTCTTTACACAGTAACAATGTTAATGTGAAGAGAAATATTCAAATTATTTCTGTTAAAGCTACACATCAAACAGTGTAAACTAATTCATTATTCATATTCATATCCATATTAAATTCCTTATGCCACAGATCATAACTTATGAGCCAAATCCAAAGCTTTCTTTATGTCCATGTATCTTGAGACAGAATAACTCGCTCCTTCGCCACAAAAAGTGTCAGCAGTTGGCTTAACTTGACAGCTGCTAACCTGAAATGGACTTCCTGTTTGCATGACAACCTTCAGGCTAACAGACTTGTGTGTTGTTTTATTTGTCAAAACCTCAGACACATTTAGATTGATTTTAGAAAATATTTCTAAACACAAGTCAGTAACTTAAAAGCAAAAAAACTGAATTAGTTTTACAAAAAACTTCCAAGTTTTAGTGAGCTTTTAATGGATGAAACGTAGTCTTAAACGCTTAAGCTTTCCCTTACCCAGTTTTGACAAGTGGACTTAAGCCAAATTAGACTAATGAACAAGATGTTACATTGGAAATATTTCACGTTTTTTCCTGTGGCGTTTTTCCTTTTCATTTCTGTATGACGTGTGGTGACGCTGGGGAAAAAAAGGAAATGGAGCAGCAACAGGAAAGACCCGACTCCGCTGCGGCACAGCTGACCCTTTAATGTGACATTGTCCATCCGGTGTCTGTTAGAGCCTGAGGATTTGGACAGAAATAGAAGACCACTCTGTTACTTGAAAGTCATATCATATCTATGGTGACTTTGAACATCTCTCAAACACCCTGTATCAAGCTGCTACTCTGCCTCTGATCAGTTTCTTTGGCCAGCTTGTTTTTATCTTCATCAGGTTGAAAGTGGATTCATTCCACCATGCAGTAAACCCATGTGAACAAAAATGGGATTAAACCTTAATCCTTTCCCATGAAATTTAGTTTTGTTTTGCTTCTTTTTTTTCTGTTGTTTTCCAGAGAGAACTGGGGTCCCTGTGTGACCTATTGTGATTGAATATTGATGTAACCTCGGGCAAAACCTGCATGCCGGCATTAGACGGAGGCAGCTTTCATTTCATAATATGGTCTGGCCCACTGTCCATATCCCATTTCGGCCTCATTGATCAGCTTGGGTGCCGATCGGAGTCATGATGTAACCTTTCGAGCTTATTGCACGCAAACAGCAAGCGTAGGTGACGGTTTGATCCATCAGTCTTAAAAAAAAAAAAAGGAGCAACATTGCATAGCAACTTACTTAATCACAGAGCCACTTAAAAGCATTAATCACATGGCGTCTTTGAAGTAGCCATGCGTAGTGCTTTGTGACACTACTCTTTATGTTCTGCTCAGTGACATCCACACAGACCAGGCAAAGCCACCTACAATGGCAGACAAGGTGTACACAAGGATTTGCTGCATTGGAGACATGTGTGATGCTCTTGTGCAAACCTTTAGAGGCTCACTTGTAACACAACAAGCCATTTTGCATCATTTAATGGTCTGGAGCAGATGAGTGAATAGCAGCAGAGCGGCAGAAAAACGTGTGCACGAACCCGATAAAAACGCTTTTCCTGGATATACACAGTTTTAAAAATAGACGGTAAGCCCTGTCACCGAGGCGCTGATGACATGCTCATGGAAGATGAGCACTAAACCCTGAAGCTGACTGGGGCCTAAAAGCACCCCTTTTAAACTCAGAGGCTTTGCTGCCCTCAACTGCATTGTAACTATGACTCATAATATTTCACTCCAAATAGCTGCTTTGTGCCAGAAGGTTTCAAACCTGTTTACATTATCGTGCACTTGTGCTCATACAGTGCGTACGGTGGAAAGGATGTGGGTAGCTGGCAAAGCGAGGCTTGATTATTCACACATATTTGCGGAAATGACTGCATAACAACGGGTGCAGCACATTTTTGTTGACGTTTTTTTGTAAGGAACAAACCAAAAACTGGACAGATGATTTGTAAAGATAAGCACAGAGAGGATGATAATGGAGCTGGTGATATTTTTGCTGATGGTCTACAACTTTACTGTTCATTCGTCCTGCTGAGCAACACGTTGGGTGTTTGGGAACTATGGCTCCGTCCTTTATCATCTTCATTGTTTCTTTAAAGGTGGCGTGTACAAAGAAAACTGATATCACAATGTGTCATATGAAAGAAAAGAGGCACTGATGTCAGGAGTCATAAGAGCTGTGGCTGAGCTTTAATATGGGGCTCATTGTGCTACAGCATTCTGCAAAGCCAGCGTATTCCCTGACTCATGTAGTACCACCGCTTAGTGTAGGATGGAATGTGTCAGTCTGTCCTCAGTCCAGCAGGTGAGTTCTAGTGTTACATGCTGCCTGTTCAAGCAACGTGGCCGCTTTTTGCCCGGTCAGTCACAACCACAAGTATTAAAAACACTGCTGTAGTTACAGGATGTACACGGTGACACTCCGCTCAGTGCCGGCGGTGACTATCCTGAAAACGCCTTTTCACCCTCTGGATGAAAGCTGTCTCAAATTGTTTTATTTTTCTTGTGTGTGTGTGACCTGCACAGCTGCTGGAGCTGTTCGACAGCGAGGACCCAAGAGAGAGGGACTTCCTGAAGACCATCCTTCATCGGATTTACGGAAAGTTTCTGGGCTTACGGGCCTTCATCAGAAAGCAGATCAATAACATTTTCCTGCGGTGAGCTAACAACTCAGGGTCTCTGTTTTTTATTTTTTAAGTTTTTGAAAAAAATCGTTTTTATGCAGGTTTCAGGTGTCCTTATTCTTTATTCATACTCTAAATGTCTGTTTATAGTAGTGACATATCCTACAAAAGAGGGTTATGTTTCTTAAGGATAATTTTTACAAGGTTTAGCAACAGACCCACACTGAAGATGATATAATACAATAGATGACTATTTACATATTTGGGTAAACCTCATAAAATGTAAAAAACTTCAAATCAAATCAATTATAAGAAGAATTCCCTGTCTTGAGCAGCTTCTTGCTGCTCAAGACAACCATGTCAACCACTGCTAACTCGGTTTCTAACTTGGGGACTTGGGGAATAGCTGTCCTTCCTTTCTGATGTGCATTTGGGGGCAGTGCTTTCCAAATTAGAGCACAGACCACTGGACTGAACTTTGCTAACTGGTCAGACCACAGAGCAGCCACCACTTATGTTGTGCTTCCTTAATGAGATCACTCTTCTGTTAGTGTTTTTGTGCTGTTTTCCTCTCATCTTTTTGTCTGCTGGGGGCAGAAATGCACAGGCAGAAGACTCTAAACAAACCGTGGGTTCACAGTTTTTGTGTCACCTTTATGGCTCTTTCCCAGCTTTTTATAAGCTTCGGTGCAGAGTTTTTCATCATTCTTTGACTTTACTCCATTTTGCACTTTTTAAGTTTTCTCAGTCTCAGAAGTTATCTTCTCAGCAGGCAGACTCAGCCCTATTTTTGAAAAGACGTGGCAACAGTGAAGGCGCTCAGCTGGCTCCTGGAACTCTGGCCTGTGCAACTTTACTGCTCCTGTTGCTGCGTGACAATGAGATTTTGATGATGGAGACAGGGGACACTTGATGTCGTTTCTAACAGGCGAGGCTACAAAACGGGTGCACCCATGTTGACCATCTGCCACAGAGGTTAAAAATAGTGCATCAGTTGTCAGGCTCTGTCTGTACATTGCAACGCGACGCGGCTCAGCTCAGCGGACATGCTTTATCAAACAGCAGGTGAAAGGTGGAAGGTTCATTAGGTTACATGCACTGTTTGGTTTGCTGGGCAACATGCTTAGAATGGTCCAAATGGTTTGAAATCTGCAAATTATTTTACTGGGACACAGCCTTTGATTCACAAACACGTAGGATGACTGATCTGCTCTGATCAGCATGAGACACCTCTTGAGTTGTGTTTGATTAATGTGTTTGCAGGTTCATATATGAAACTGAACACTTCAACGGTGTAGCTGAACTGCTGGAGATTCTGGGAAGGTGAGTAATTAAGTCCACGTTTAAACAAAACAGCTGTTTGTTGGTTAATTGCATCTTCTGAGCTGAAATTCTGAGCTAACATTAGCACGAGAATTAAATACTTTTCCTCTGTCGAACATGGTGTTAAACTCAAAGCTGGCTGGACTCCACCCCTTTTATTAAGTGGGGTTGATTCAGCTTAATATGGATGCAAACACAACACACGGATTGATATATATTTTCACATAATGTCTGTAAGAAGAAAAGCTCTTTCTCAGTACGTAAGATAACCTTGAATTAGATTTTGTCCCCAGTAAAGAATCTTGATTTTTTTTTGCTTTTCATCCATCTTTCACTTTACAGTATGTGGGCAGAATTGAGTTTTTAAGATCTTAAACCAGCAAAATGCTTTGTTCTTGCCACTTGGTCCATTTTCCTTCACCTGCCAATTCTCTGATGTTTCTCCACTAACAGTATTATCAACGGGTTTGCGTTGCCTCTGAAGGCAGAGCACAAGCAGTTCCTGATGAAGGTGCTCATCCCCTTGCACACAGCTAAGGGACTGGCATTTTTCCACGCACAGGTAAACCGACATTCTTTATTTTCTGAATTTTGCCTCATAGCCTCAATTCAATAGTCTACTGTAAAGCTCTTGATGTTCATTGGAAGATATGTTGTGTTGCTACCACTGCACATGACTTTTTGGACAGCTAAAGAATAAAGCTGTTTGGTGGGAATGTTTGGACAGAATTAAGGAACCCTTGTAATTGTGCACTGTTGCGCCTTCTGGTGGTTTGAAAGTGAAAATGCATTTTTACTTTCATTTTTACTTTCATTGCATTTATAAAAATAGACTTAAAAAAATAACTTTAGCTCATTTGAAATATCTTTAACCATGTCTTCATTTGCCAAAGTAGTTATCAATAGGAAGTATTTAGCGCAAAATGCACATTTAAAAACAAATGTTTTTTCTCTGTGCTCCTCAGCTTGCATACTGTGTAGTCCAGTTCCTGGAGAAGGATCCCACGCTCACAGAGCCGGTATTTGATTTATTTTTTTCTAATTCTTCCTCCCACTCAAAACACAGAGCCTTGAGCACAAAATTAGTCTACATTGCAGAGAATGTTGTAGTAGATGCTGGAAACCTCCCACTCAAACATGCATGTGTGAGGATTTCGCTGTTGTGTCCACAGGTGATCCGCGGCCTGCTGAAGTTCTGGCCTAAAACCTGCAGTCAGAAAGAGGTATTTTGCATTTCTGTAAATACGCCGTTTACTTCAAAGTGAGCCGGCGATATGCTGTACAAAACTTTTGCACCTCTGTACAAATCAGGTGATGTTCCTGGGCGAAATCGAAGAGATTCTGGATGTCATTGAACCGACACAGTTCAAAAAGATCCAGGAGCCGTTGTTCAAACAGATCTCCAGATGTGTGGCCAACCCACATTTTCAGGTATGTTCAGAGCAAACACTTTACACTTGAGTAGAATGTTATTCCATACAAAGGGAACACATTGCTCCGGACAAGTGAACGTAATGTAGTTTAACCGGTATTGATCTATTGGAAAGTTGTAGCAGCAATAGTCTGCTTTCTTTGAATTCCTTCAGGGAAACCAGTTATCTGAGATTCTTTGGATTTTGCAGCATGTTTGAGCTATCCCTGTTTTCCTCAGATTTTTTTCTTTATATGTGTCTCTGTCACAAACCACAGTTTCCCCCAGTTCCCGTTTAGCGTTCTGTACACTCCTCTTGCCTGTGTCCTCCCAGGTAGCAGAGCGAGCGCTGTACTTCTGGAATAACGAGTACATTCTCAGCCTCATCGAGGAGAACATCGACAAGGTCCTTCCCATCATGTTCGGCAGCCTGTACAGAATCTCTAAAGAGCACTGGAACCCGTACGTATCGTCCCTACTAGCGACAGCGCCTGGGTTAAAGACCAGTCTAACTACAAAGAAAACATGATGCTGGTGCATCACAAACTGATGTTTCAAGGATAATATCATGAATAGTTTATATGTGATGCGGTTGTGTAATAACATGCAAATTAATTTTGTGTACACGCAACAAAAAGACACAAAAAAACACCTCTGAACCTCCTTCGTATTCAGAAACAATTTCAAAGGGTCAGTGGTTGTGTCTGACCTCACTGAGAGACTTCTCACAGCTATTTGTTTGACGTCCGTGTGTGTGTGTGTGTCTCCATTTCAGGACAATCGTAGCTCTGGTGTACAATGTGTTGAAGAACCTGATGGAGATGAACTGCACTCTGTTTGACGAGCTGACATCGTCCTACAAAGCCGACAGGCAGCGGTAAGTTACAGTGAGGCAGGTAATTGTTTGTTTTTTTCCCCCCCGCGAGTCATCCACAACCACTCGCATGCGAGTGGGAAAAATTATTTCCAGAGTATTACTCATATCCTGTTATAAGAACAATAACTTCCATAGTTTTCTGTCATGGTGAATAACCAACGGCCAGCTGGGGCGTTAAGGGTGTTAGTCATGTTAGTTGCTGGTGGATGTGTCTGGCAGTCCAACACTTAAATATCAGAACAAAGAGGTCCAGATATTCTCCCAGAGTAGCTCTGCAGAGAAACCAGAACACATTGTGTTTCATTTTTCAAATGTTGTTCTCCAGGTTTAACGTGAAGAGCATCCTAATCTGGGATCAGCTTTTTTTCAACCTTTTCGAGGGGGACAGAGAACAAACTCTGACCGATATTCATCAGATATTATGCCGTAATTATTACAGAAAACTGTTTTTAGGTTTTTTTTGATAAAGTCCAGAGCATGTCAATCAAACTGCAGACTTTACCTTTTGTTTGAGCATTCTTCTGAGTGTTTGTGCCACATACCTGTGGTAGTATGCTGTATGAGAAAGGAGGAAGTCCATCCACATAGTGCATGAAGAAAACTTTGCATAGCCTGTATGATCTTATCTGCAGCTACCAGACAAAATTCCTACAAAATTCCTTCACTTAAGTATTGGGTCAACTTAAGAGACGGCTTTACGCCTGTCTGCTTTTGGGGCGTTTCTGTCTGAATGCAGTGAAAACATTTTGTACTATTTCTTTAGCAGGGCCTCAGTGGAAGATGTTAATTGTTTCAAAATACTGCGAGTCTTTGGTTTTAGTCTAATCGTAAAAAATGTTCTTCCAGAGAGAAGAAGAAGGAGCAGGAGAGGGACGAGCTGTGGAAGAAACTGGAGGAGCTGAAGCTCAGCAGCGCCGCTCTGGTCCAGAACAACAGCCACGGGCCCCCGAGTATCCAGAACAACAACAACAACAACAACAATAGTAATAACAACAACGACAAACGGGATGAGGCCGCCGACGCGGCCGCCGGCACCACGAGCGAAAAGGGCCCTGACGTCACCGTGGCAACCAGCGATAGCACCCCATGTGCCAAATGACAGCGGATGGCAGTTTTTGATTCTGCAGCAGTTTGACAGCCGTTCAGGACCGTCGGGGGAGAATTAACGGAGAAGTAACATCAGAGATGACACCTCAGCAGTATATTGAATCTACTTAGCGACGTAGAAATGCCAGCAGCTCTTTGGCAGGAAAAAATATTTCAACGTAAGACTATTTTTTGATGTTACAGTGTGGCTGCCGTATAATGTTTATCTGTCCGATCAAAGATGTATCCTTTCACCTTTAGTTTCTTAACTGATGATGATTTTGTGATTATATTCAATGTATGATACACGGGAGGGGAAAAAATGATGACTTGAATTTCATGTTTCCGATTGTGCTGCACTTAGAAAAGCTGAATAGCTATTTAAAGATGTCTATTTTTAATGTGCTTTTCCTTGTCGCTGCCAACACTTTGGGTGCAAATATTAAGAGAGAAGGGAACTCTGATGTTTTTGAGTGTTTTGTGCTGATGGGACCAGACCCATATACATGCAGAAACCCATATATATTTATACAGAGACCCATTTATATACAAAAAAAAAACTGATATGAGGAGCCAGGAGACACTCGCCTCCTGATAGACAGAGAACAGAAACATGGCCAAAAATGAGATGCTAATCCTATATATGGAGTGAAAACTCTGGAAGTTACTCTGTTTTAGATTATAATTTAACAACTAAGGTAAATGTCATATTTTTAAAGCTATTTTTGTGTTTCGGGTGTCGGTAAATATTTTTTCATCTGGGTGAAAACATGAAGCTAATACGGTAGTTGCCTACATTTATACAGTTATCACACTAAAGTATTGAAAGGGCTTTCAAAGAATGAAGTGTTTGTTTTTTTACTTAAAGGGATAGTTCACTATTCTGGGAAATAATCAGAACTTTAAATAAAGGAGGCAGCGAGCCTGACTTTGTCCTGAGATTTTAAAAAGGTGTCCACATAGAAGAGTGCACTAATAAACACATGATTTTTAAACTGCACATACACTGTATTTTTCAAAGAGTTATGTGTTGGGCTCCTGGTAAGTCAGAATCAATCCGTCATACCAGAACAGTGAATTATTCCTTTAAAACAGCTGATCTAAAAACACACATAAAAAGGACAAAAAATAAAAAAAATCTGACTATTGACACGAGTTATATTTTAGATTATACAGCCATGGGATGCAGGATGTACTTGAGTGTATGTTTGTTGTGTATACTTTTCATTTGGAGGCTATTTAAAGGGAAATGCCACTCAGCTTCAGATTCTATGTACAGTGTAACGTTTCTCCGGTTCAGGAAAGTGTCGTCAGTGGTTAAAGAAGCATAATGGTTTTCAGAGCCCGAAGAGCAAACCTTTGAACCCGTCTCAGCACTTGCCTTACATCGGGTGTGCGGGAATGTCAGCAGGAAAGACGGAACTGTTGCCCGTCACGTCCGTTTGCTGCTTGTGCTCTGAAAAAGGTGACGCTTAAGATGCGGACGGCTAATAAATGTGTCATTAGCTCTGACTGCCAGAGATCATAGGAACAACTCCTCTGAGAGCTTTTAGGAAATGGCCGGTGTTCCCTCTGAACCTCGGTGTCTGCTCTGTCCTGTTCATCTGTTAGGTCCAGTCTTTTCTGATGCCTTTCTGTCAGTACAGCATTCCAGCCTCTGTGAACTTTAAAGAAGTGACATGGGGAACCTGTTTTGTAATCACAGAGCTTAGTTAGGTTTCACCATCAAATAAAGTCTACTTTATCTTTCTACTCCAAGTGTAACACCTGTCTGGTTATTTTTGCTCGGCTGGATTTGTGAGCTGCAGTACATGGTGAGGGTCAGCAGATGGAGCAGACTCGCTACTCCTGCCCCGTATCGTCCGGCCTGTCAATAACCATCCATTCCACAGCGGGGAGAAAACTAACCGCAGTCAACGTGTGACTCATTTTTCTCAGTTTAGTTTAGTTCATATTCGGTTAACGAAGCCTTCGGCCCTCATTCCTAATTCCTCACCTGTGACTTTAATCAAAGCACATAGAAGATTTCTTTGATCTCTCCGTTGGTTTCGTCTGTGTTGGCGTCTCCTCTGTCGTGATGTGTTCTCTGGCTGACTGCATGATGCCGGTATCAGGCCTCGTGTTTGTCAGATCATCATCATTCCTTTGTTCTTCGTCCTGAGGATGGTGACTTACGTTATTTTTGCTCAGCGGTGCACATACATCATGAGAGTCTAAACTCGGATGAGCTTTCCATAATGGGAAAGAATCACTGGTGTACGTGGAAAATATCAACACCCAGTTCCCTGTGTTGGATTGGAATGGGAACACTTTTTTCAGTCAATGAACTGGAGATAAAACTCAGAGCATTTTACATGATTAGTTCAGGGATAAATTCACATACCTTTATGATGTTTGTGATTTGTGGAATACCTTTAAGACTGTGCCCTTTTAGGCCTCTGTATGCCTATGCACAAGTTTAGTTTTCATTCTCCTGAGGTGTCCAGCAACATTTGGACTGGTTTACTACATACTAATAAACAGTCTAATAAACCTGGAGAGGAAAAAGGAATACAGCGTAACTGAATGCAGTCCAAAGGAAAAAACAAACAAACAACATAGATCTGTACTTAAACAAACTTATTCTAAAGGAATTTTTTTTTTTACATATCGACCTTTACTTGTTTTTTTCTAGCTCTTAATATGCCAGTGATGATTTTAGGCGTAAGCTTCTCATTAAACTGGGCCATAGCCATAGTGTATAGATAAACCAAACTTATTTATATTGATAAGAAGAAGATCACAAGTAGATTTAGCTAAAAGACTTTTAGAGGTATCAAAAACTAATCTTCAGGTCAGCCGGTAAATGATTCTCGTTGCATCGACCCCTGTCTCCACACATGTTGGGTTTCTGGATCCCACCACACCATCCGTGTTCTTCGGCAGACCTTGCGCTTCATGTTACCATGGCGACTTTCCCACTTCTCCTATAAAAGGAAGCCAGCCTCCTCGTAGTAGGCATCCCTGCTTGACTGAGAAGTCTGGAGGTTAGCCGCCACAGCACAGATGCCTCTGAACTCCTCCGACGACAACCGGACCGTCTCCGCTTTCTCCTCCAAACTGACCCCAGCTGCGGACATATGTGTGGGGCTGGCCATCCTCTCTGTTGGTACGCTCATCTCTTTGCTCTTTCTTACACATCTCAAAACATCTTAAAAAGACAATCACAGATACAAACTTTCTTGACAACATTAAAGATGGGCTGGTGTTATTAGATCTGAAATTTGACTCAGATTTGACCTAATTTCATCAGCATTTTTTGTTGATTTTTTTGCTAAACAAAATTCATCTGTTGCTTTAATTACCAGATGAATCATTAAACCTCCATCCAATAGTCCTCAACAAAAGTAGACTCAATTCTAGGTTAAGTTTCTCCCATGTGATCAGAGAATACACTAGTCCAGGGTTGTTGTAGGATTAAGTGTGTGTGCCCGTTGACCGTGGGTCCTCTCCTGTGCCGTGTAGTCCTGCTCTCTGTTCTGGGCAACGGTCTGGTGCTGGTGATCTGTTACCGCAGGAGGAAGAAGATGGCGGGGTCAGAGCTGTTGTGCATCAACCTGGCCGTGGTGGACTTCCTCTGCTGCATCTGCTTCTACCCGCTCTCCATCGTGTCCTCCTTCCAGCACGAGTGGCTTGGAGAAAACCTCACCTGCGTCTACTACGGCCTGGGCTGCTTCGTCTTCGGCCTGTGCGGCATGTTCACCATAACCGCCATCAGCATCACCCGCTACCTGAAGACCTGCTACAGCCTGGCAAACTGTGAGCACCTTGGATTTTTCGGGAGTCGTCAAAACTCTTGACGTTCTGTGTTTTTAAGCATGTTTTTTTTCTTTTCACTTTTAGTCGTGATAAGCAAAGCAACCTGTGGACAGATATCTATCAAAAGAGGAATGATTCATTAAACCCTGACCGCTCTCTTCTGTCTCACAGGCGTGTGGCTAAAGGGGGTCAACATCCGCCTGATGTGCTGCGTCATCTGGCTCATCTCTGTGCTGTGGTCCAGCTTCCCCCTGTTTGGCTGGGGGGAGTACGTCCCCGAGCCGTACGGGCTGTCCTGCACCATCGCCTGGAGGGGCTATCACACCTCCACCAAGGACGCCTTCTATGTCATCTGCTCCTTCGCCGGCTTCACACTGGTCCCCGTCCTCCTCATCGTGGTGTCGCAGTGTCGGATCCTCTACAAGGTGTCCCGCTTCTCCTACGCGCTGTCTGCGAAGGGAATCCGCAACAACCTGCGTCATGCTGAGAAGCGGCTCTCCATGGTGAGCACGGTCGTCTGTCTGTCTGTGATTTGGCTCACTCGACCGCTCGGTTTGACCCTTCAGGTATTACCTTTAGACTTCTGCCCCCAGCAACTGGGGACTGGAGATTTGACTAAACTCGGCTGTGGGGCAATACTGCTGGGAAAAAAAGGATAGTGAAGAGCAAAAGTGAGGATGGTGTGGAGATCAGATGGCTATCACATATCAGATCTTCTTGTTCGCTTAAATTGAATTAATATTTTAAGATTATTTATAATCTGTATAGAATTATGAGGGTTTGGGTGTATCATTGTCCTTGTGGTTACCAAGCAAAGGTAAACAAAATACATTTTTAGGCATCTCTGCCTCTTTTTTTGTTAAAGAGGATGGTTTCCCTGGCAACAAACACGCATCACATAAGATGATTCATAAATTTTCTGTTTCTGCAACTTCCTCTTCCAGATGTTTTTCTGCATCAGTCTGGGCTTTGTGACGGCCTGGGCCCCTTACGCTGTCGTGTCCTTCCTTTTCATTTTCCACAATGAGCCCTGGTACATGGCCCCGGAGGGCTTCGTCTTACCCGCCCTCTTCGCCAAAAGCTCCCACATCTACAACCCGTTCATCTACTTCTATTTTAACAAAACCTTCCAGCGGGAGCTGCGCGGCCTCCTTCTGTCCTCTTACCACAAACTCGGGGGAAATCGAGTGGGGGTGCACGTGTCCACGAGCGGACAAGCCCCCCACCCCATCCACATTCAGCTCCAGGAACGAGGCTGCGTCCAGAAGAGGAGTTTCGTTCTGCCTCTGGAGAAAAGCCACCGAAGGAGCAACCCCAAGAGTAAAGCAAGCCAGCCAAGCAGCAGCCACGTTCCCGACCAGCAGAGGCTGGCCTGCTGGGGGTCCACTTTCAAGAACAGCCCCACAGCCGTGGTCAGTAAGCCTGCCGACGACCGTCAGCCCGTCTCCATATGAGCTCTGTCTCTGTTTTTGTATTAAAGTTTAAAAGTACCTCAGTTAAAATCCATACAGCCGCCAAGCAAAAAATCTGCTCCTGTGTGGTTTCATCACACACTCTCAGGAATGAATCAGGGTTCAAGCACTGTTTTTTTTTTTTTTTTTAATTGATCTCATGAATGATTATTTGTATTTAGGTAAAATTTAGTTAAAACTCCTCTTAACATGACTGAATTTAGGCTTCGGTAAACTCAACCAGGACCTGAGCTTGTTGAACTGTATTTGTGTGAAATGTTATGTTTTGGGGACGTCTGTGAATACTTGATATTTTTCAGAGTTTCTATGTAAATAAATACAGTTTTATCTGTGTATTTGTGCCCTATTTGTACCTTTCATACTTCATCGCTCAAACTCTCAGAGAGTGTAAGATTGTTTTCAGAGTTCACATTCTGATCGTTTTATCACATTTACTGACTTCGATTCGGGACTGTTTTCAATTGATCGAAATTGTACATTTAAACGCATCATTTTGAACACTGTACGTGGCATTCAGGGACATGAAAACCTTGTCTAAAACTATTGAATTAAACATTTAATTATTCCAGCCAGCTGTGTTGAGCCATGTTCTTTTTAAACTGTCAGTATTGAAGATTTCATTAACTCTTTTTTATGAAAAAATTGTCTATTTTAGCATCACTATCGATGGTGAAGTGGATGTCTCAAAGGTAACTGGTCTAAACAGATGACAGTGAAAAGTTGAAAAACCTTTTCAACTTTTAAAAAATCTTTCTCCTTGCAGATATATTTTTATTTGTAAAAGCGAGTCTGTTTCTATGCAGAGTTTTTTTTAGTTTTCCCAGATACCACATGTAATTGAAGTTTCCCATGGCAACCGCCCTCCATGCATCGATGGCTGAAGTGGTCACATACTTTCCAGAACACGTGCAGACGATGGAAAATCAAAGCAACTGAAATGTGACAAACCAAAGGCCAAACGTGACCCCAGCATTCCGCTTTCACCTTGATTTCCCGAATACACAGCAGCTTCTGTGTGGAAGCTCTTTAAAGATGAGCGCTGAGATGTTTAGCCATTCTTTTGTGCATGTGTTGCTGATGATGTAACCTCCTGACAATGGGCCGCATTGATGAGTGAACCCACAAAGCAAAGCAGTGTTTCCCCCATCTTCCCGATTCAGATGCAAAACTGTAATTGCTGTTCCCATCATGGGCTTGTCAGAGGGCACTGCCAGGAATTTCGCTGGTCACAAATACCTCCCAAAACTGCCACGAAGGGCAAGACGACATCTGTTACACGTTGAAAGTAGCACTGTGCCTTTAAGAAAAAAATATCTTTAAGCTCTACAAAAGGGCCCCGAAGTCCATGTTTTAAATGGTTCCTTTCACACACACACACGTGCGGACCTCAAAGTGGACAATGAGTGTGAAAGTACCCAGATTACACCACCGATGGCGAGTATATTTGTGGAATAAACACAGCCCGTTGCTGCCAGCATGCTGCCGGGCTCAAAACAGTCATGAAAACAGAGGCTCAGTCTGGACCGGCTCCGTGCTGAGCTTTTGACAACGGCATGGAAACCATTAACTTCTCCAAACAATGTTGAATTGAGACCTCCGGGATCACAGCCAACTAAGGGGAAAAAGGATGACATCAAAAGGGCAAAGGTGCTATTTGTTTGTTTGAATGTCTCCATCTGGCAAAATGAGGACTCCTACAGACTGAATTGTGTGTAGTCACTTCTTGGACTTGTGATACCGTATTCCTACGCTTGGCTTTTAAAGTGGTACTGCCAAGAGGAAAACATTTTAGGGGAAAACATCTATGTGCTACAATGCCAACAACCCTGTACCAACCAAGACATTATACATATTATAAATTTATCACTAAAATGAATAACGATTCAAAGATTAGTTTATTGTCTGGTGTTTTTAACCAGAAACTCTTCCTAAAGCTAATTGAGATGTCTTGTTTTTGTTTTTTGCACTAATAAATAGCAAAACTTCCAGACAAATTGGTTACAATGTCCACAAATCCTCTTTCAACCGTGACTCTTAGGGTCATGTCCCCTTTTTGGATTATCGGAGGGAAAAGCATTCATTATGGGTGTTTAGTGTGTATGAGAAGTGGGACAGGAGGTGGGTCTGTGTCCTCCACCGTGATTGGCCGGCCTGCATCGGAGATACAGAGTTACTTTTTAAACCCTGGACCCTGAAGGAAATTCTTTTGCCAAAGTTTTCTCCATTTGGAGGACTACAGGAACCAGGTTCTACAGATACTCACAGATGTAAACGAGGAACATGGAGCCCATCTGTGGGACCAAGTGTTCTGGATGCACCGGCGCTCACGTCACTGACCCTCATTAGCAGTGGCGGCCTCTAATGGGATGCATAGTGATCTCATTATGTGAGGCCGCCGCCCCAGTGGAGCGTAACAGCACAGGCAGGGATGGAAAAATGGAAGGCAGAAGAGGATTTTTTTAAAGGAAGGGGGGACGATGTTGAAGTGTTGGGTAGCAGCTTGGCTCAGTGGAAAATGCGGGTCCAGGTCAAGCACAAAGCCCCCCCCCCCTCCCTCCTCTCTCCATTTTTTTTGCCAGCCAGACTTCCATTGTCTAAACCCTCATTAGCACCACTTAGTACAGACTGTTTTGCAGAGCAGTTCCTCTTGCTCTTTCACAGCAGAGCCCCTCTAGCTGGGAGGCAAAACACCTCTTCACTACTCTGGAAAGTGAGAACTGGCCACACAAACCACATCTCAGGCCCGCAGTGGGGCTGAAGGCTTGCTCTGAGACGGCAGCATGGACCCCGCAGGTTATGGAATTGCAGCCATGAGGAGAGGAAGCTACGACGATGCAGCAGGCTCTCTGCGTCCTGTGAGTATCGATCGTTTTATCTGCAGGCAAAGGTGAAAAAAGATGCTGTTTGGACTGACCGCTGAGTGTGACTGTGAAACGCTCCAATCTGACGCCTGCACCAGCAAACGGCAACTTTGTGTTTATTGGCTCGTGTGAGAAGTTCCAACTTTTCGTTTCATGAAGTGAACAAACTACTTTGCATCACCACAGACAGGTTCAGGTCTGTGACCGGTTAAAGAGAAACCCGGATTAAGTCAAAGCTGTCAATCAGACAATAATATGCTACAGATAGTGGTAACAAAAAATGAAAGAAAGCTCTCAGATCTGTTTTTTTTTTCCACTCCTGCAATCATGTCACACAACAGTTTTCAAGCATTCTTTGTAAACTGTTATATTGTGATCACATGTACGAATATTTAGCAGTTTTTCTTAGTGTCTCTGTTAATCTGCAGACTGCCTGGATTCACTGAGACCAAATCATTACTATTTATGAAGTTATAGTACTAATTTGATGACAATTTGATGACAGTTGCCATCAGATGCATAAAAACCATGGTCTTAATTTTGGTAGTAACGATCTTTCCTCAGAGACAGAGAGATAATTAGTAATTTAAAATTTCTGCAATATTGCGCCGCCTTTTAAATGGCCTGTGAAACAGTGAGCGGTGTCGCTCTGCTTTGGTCTGTTTGCTGTGAAAACAGAACATTTTTAGGCCCACCTCCTAAAGAGAGGCCCACTCTGACTTGATTGGACAGCCCTGCTTGCCTGACCAGGTGCAGCGCCTCGTCCCACAAGAGCATCTGAAATATCTGAAAGAGCTTATTGATTTCATGAAAACTCCAAGAAATCTTCAAATTTAGTCTTTTCTTAAATCTCATACTGCCTTGTAGGAAATATACAGAGAAGACACTTATTTGATTTATTGGGGAATCCACCTCACAATTCAATCAAATAGTATTAAATAGAATAAATATTAAACTTTTCCTGTGCAGTCACTTATGTTTCTTGATCATTTTGTCAGCAGTTTAGCAGTTACCCCACCCCTCCTCCATCTGCTACCTTAAAATGACCTAATCCAGATGCCCAATCTAGCCACATGATCCAATGTGAGGAGGAGGGAGATCGTCCAAACAGCGAGCAAATGTTGGTAAAGGTTCAGTTACTTTTTACCTAAAAAAGAATTGAGCTGGATGATCAGTGACCAAAGAGATTCAAGTGAACAACAATGCATGCTTAACCCATCTGAAAGTACATTCACAGAAAACCCAGTTGGGTCCACAATGGCTTACTGTGACTCATGACTTTCCTGTACACATCAGTTGTTGTCAGAAGGTGTGAAAGGAAAGTTTGCAGATGCGTACATGCCCACCCATTCTACGGGCCTGTGTTGAATTCTCTTCTCTTTTATCTGTACTGTTCACATTTGCTAAAGGACCCCCTGAAGGACAAAATAAAGACGCTGAAAACTTATTAAAAACATCATAGTTTAGGTTTCAAACATTAGTGACTGACAGTGTGCACTGTGAGTCTAAAAACTTCATGGTGAGAGGAGGGAAAAATTCCATGTCTTCATATGAGGCACATTTTGGGGGATAATCTTGGAGAGAGAGACCCTCAAACACAGTTTGAAAAAGTTTTGTCATGATTTTCTGAGTTTTCTTTGTCTGATTCTGTCTGATTTCTCTGCCTGATGTCTATAACAATGCTATAAAAATCCCCACAGCACTTCAGACACTTGGCTCAGAGACGACGCTCTGCTCCATCTTTGGTGTTTGGGAAGGCTTTGGGAATGCCATGGTCTCCTATCAGGTATGCATGATTTGGTTATCTGGACATCTTAGCAGTAGCGATGGAGGAGCTGTGTATGGAGATCCGAGCTGGTGTGTAACCTCCAAGTGTGTAAACTGATTTGCTGTGTCACTGACGGTCAGGGATTGTGGGTAAAATGGCACAAGAAGAAGGCAAAGAAATCAACACAGCGAGCAGAAGAGAGGTGAAGCTTGGACAACAGACAGATTCAATGGAACTGAAGCTTCAAACTTTTGGGCTTTGAGAAACGCAAAGAGTAAATCCTCCTGTACGTCACAGTGACATGAGAACATTTCCTTAAGTAGTTGAAATTCAAGTTGCCTCACTTGTTTTTGTCTGACATGCAGGTGCCATCGCCGGGCACCCGCACAGCTGCAGCAGACACTGACACAGACATTGAAACTTGCCAGAGAAAAAAGAAAAAAAATACAAGAAATAATGCCGGAACTGGCATCAGATCTGAACTCACAGGATCTTCCTCTCTTCCTACAGATTTTCTTTCAACAATGATACTCTAATCAGTGGTTTCAATTACTGGCAGTTGCTTTGGTTTGTTGAATTATATTTGAATCAAACAGAAACTGAATTTACTCATCCATTCCCTTTTGAATCAGAGTATTTTTAAATCTTTTTTTATGTTTTCTGGGTGATAAGTGTGAGAATGAGATGACGAGCACATAAACTTCACATAACATACATTCATGGGGATTTATTGAAAAGCCCTGATCAAAAAAGTGTGGGTGAATGCAACCCATGAAATAATTATGCATGATTTTCATATAAAACTTCTCTAAGCAGTGCAATGGAGTTTAGATTTGAAAATGTCACTTTTTCTTGCTAACTCATGCATTTTAGAGTGATGGCCTTTTCAAAGGGATTCTGAAATCTTGTTGAGACATCCATATGTGAGGACATCATAGCTTTCACATACCGTCTCACTTCTTCCATCCAGCTTTATTTTATTTTCATTTCAGCCTCCAGCCTGACGCTGGAAGCACATATGAGAAACAGAAACATCTCATTCACGGTGTATTAAAAAAAATGGTTGACTTCCTTTTCCCCTTATTCTTCCACGTGTAAGAATGACCTGCTGTGACCGTATTATCGCTCCTGCAGGCCCAGTCGCCCACATAGCTCAAGCCACAAACACAGCTATCCCTGCGGGGATTCACTCGGGGGCTTTTGAAACTGTAACCTGCAAACATTTCACACTTAAACCACTAACACTCCACTTAGTAGATGCTAGCTGCATGGGCCGGTCAGGTGGTATTCGGGGGGTCTTTATGGCAAAACGATCATCCTTTTCTCAGTTTTGATAGCAAGAAACAGTAAAACGCAGACATTGATCTCAGCGTGTTTTCAATTTTGTTTTCAGTTTAAATAAATTAAATTAAACCAGGTAAAAAATAAATAATTATTTTCAGCTGAGACTGCAGTGACATTTATCATAATTATTTTCTAGTCAAATAACTTCAATCAAACCAAGTGAAAAGAAACTACTTATCATGTTTAGTCTTCTTGGGAAGGAGATACTAAGCTGAGATGGACTAATTTGTGCATGGGTACCCTTAGTTGATCACATAAAAGAAAAAATTGAGTGATCCTGTTCCCAAACACATTATTAATATTTCGATGAGCCAATTTATCCAAGAAATGACGGTACTGAATTGTACTTTTTTGTAATAAGGTGGAACTCAACTTATCAAAACAGGGGGGCTTCTAATTTTCTGTAATTTTTAAGGTCAAAAAGCTTCGTCCTGCCCCCACAAGCTTCAGACGAGACAGGTGGGTGGGTTCTGCGTTGGCCTCGTCATTACGAGTTGCTTCATGAGACCACTGAACTAGTATCTGAGACGGTGGAGGCAACAGCAGAAAAATGTCAGACACGTCCCACTCACCACAACCACCCATTCAGCGCACACAAGCACACAAACACACAAACACACAAACACGTTCAGAAGGGGGTGGGCTTGTAGGTGTTGATTTCACTATAATGGGAATTCCACTGACGTAACCAAAAAAGGTGAAAATAAATTTAAAGTTATAGAGTTTATGACATGACCTTAAGCGATTTGTTTTTATATACAGTCAAGACATAACAACACATTAGTCATCTTATATATCCTCTATGTAATAGAAGTCAAGTGAAAGTAGGAGGGATTACGCTACAACGTTGGTTGTGATTCCAATGTCAAATTCAAGAGCCAAGAGATTTTTAACTGTATGCAAACAACAACTTAACATTTTTTAGATAATCCTCGGCTTTGGTCATATTACTGTTACATAAGAAGATCTGAAGCAGCTCTAAATGGTTTCACATGCTAACTGTAATGTACAGTTCTGGACCGTTTTTGTCCAGTAAACGACAATTTGTGTCATAACTTAGTCTTAGTTCCTCAAAATCATGTTACCAGCTCTCTGATTTCATTTTCAGATGATACTGAGTTTGTCTCCTCCCCTCAATTTCGAGGAGAGACCTAATTCTGATTCTGAAAAAAGTCCAACTAAAACGTCCAGAAATTTGAAACAGTAGAAATAACTCTAATACTCTGAGCACGCACAGGCTGCCTATCCATTGTCTTGTAGAACATAAATTAATGGCAAACTTACTTATACTGTTAAACAAATAGTTGTGTCAACGTTTGAGTTATTAAACTGGTGGGTTGTTTGTCCAGGCCTGCGACAACATAACTTATCAATAAGACTTAGCCTACGCCTGAATCCCCCAAAACTTCTTCTGCAACACAACAAATGTTAATGAAAAGCAACACATAGTTGATCAGAGATTATTTGTATTGTTCATGATGTGTGAAAAAAAAGGCAGCTCTCCCACTGTGCTACTTTCTGGCATCTATGTGTCACCTTCTTCAGGTCGCAGAGGGTGAGAGGGAAAGTACCCGCACAGAAACCATTTAAATGTATGCCTCAATCTGTAAACAGTGGGAAGAGTGTTCATGAAAAACTGGTTTCACAATCCCTTAGAGCACACTCGTACTTGTTACTTTGGCCTGTTTCAGACACGCCAGGGCAATAATTACATAAGTTTCTTTTTTCTGCATTTGTCTGTTGCATTTATGGCATTTCAGCTTCTAACTGACAGCTGTTTGTGTTGTTTATTTTGTTATATAGAATTGTGGCCCAGTGTGGCTCCAGCCTTGCCAAGCTGAACATATCCCTTATTTTATTTGTAATAATAGAAAATGCTGGGATGTTAAATTGGATTCTGAACTTGGACAGTTGAAGAACCTGTTGTAAAGTTGAAGAACCTGTTGTAAAGTGTGAACAGTTTATTGAAACTCCTCCTGAAACTTATCTTAGGAGCTGCTGCACCATGGGCAAGACTAAAAGAAACAATAACTGACAGACTTTTTCACTCAGCGTATCAAACAGAAATATAAAGGTGGAAATAAGTGTTATATTTCTGCTTTATAATCTCTACAATTGTTGATAGACAGACTAATAAAGCAAACCTTTTGGCTTCGAAGTACCACTTCTGTAAACTGAACAGCTTATATACCCACAAAATGTGTTATTTCTCCTGTTGTGTCATTTTTGAATGATCAGATAATCTCTGTCTTTAAAATGACATTTACTACACATGTGGTCTTTGTAAGAGATTATATTTTGGAAAACAGACTAGGAGAACTGAAAATCTGATGTGGAGAGTCCCTTTCAGACAGCTTTGCATGTGTCCTTCTGTTTAGGGAGGAACTTCCTTGCTGGGTGTCTGTGGAGCAGAGTCCATTTGTCCTTGGACTGACCAGTGAGAACGGAGAGCTGCTGCTGGACGAGTGCGTCCAGGTCACAGAGGGGATGAAGACCAGGGAGAGACACCTGTTCCTCTTCAGTGACGTTCTTGTCTTCGCCAAACTCAAGTAAGACATCATTTTTCATAGAGGTGGTTATGAACAGATATGTTTGGTTTATCAAACACTTTAGTGAACTGACATAAGGTCAGTAAATACAGTTAGAGTGCCTCTGGGCTTTAAAAAAGTTTCCAGCTGAGAAGTGTTTGCACATTCAGAGCGGCAAAAGAGCAAAAAGAGGAAGTAAAAACAGACTGTGTATTTTTGGGGCGGCTACGCTTGGACTGCTGGGGAATCTCCCAGCAATAGAAACTGCCTATGTTTAATCGCTCGGACTTCACATTTGTAAAAAAAACTGGGTGCTTCCCTCTGACTGGAGCACTCGACAGTTTTCTCAAAAATCTGTTTCAAAACAAATAACCTGCACTTACATTTCCTCAGGTCACAAATGTTCAAAACTCAGAAGAAGTGTGGAAATTGTTAAGAGTGGGTTGAGAAGAGCAGTGTCATCTTCCTTTCTGGCAAAAACTGAAAACCTAATCGAACATATCAAACTGATAAAAAACCAAAGGTTAACAACATTTAACAGGTACTCTGGCACCCCAGATTGACTCGGTTCGTCAAAGCCGGTGGAAGATTTGTAACTCACGAGTGGGAGGATAGTCATAGTCATCTCTGTACCACAACCTGCCCACTGTTCCTGTAGGTGCGCACAGCTGGGACAACATTGTGATACAGTAAACAGGCTTTTGAAGCTTTAAATCTGAGTGTCGAATGGTTCCATGTATGATTGTGCGCAGCGTGGCTCGTTTTTCCTTTTGTTTTTTAGTTTGTTGTGAAGAGTCTGACACACCAGGTCACATGTGGACAGCTCCAGTTCAGAGTCTCATTCAGTTAGCATGATTTCCAAGAATTACATTTGGTGATGACCAACCCTGTTTTCAAATATACTTTTCCACTCAAATTTCAGTCCAAAAAAGAATGTGTATATCACAGTTATTTACCGTTCTGACATGTATATTTGTGTTGGGTTCTCACTTCTATAATTAGAGCTGATCAGTGCGTCACTTCTCTCTCTCTATTTATGGACTAAAACACCTCCCAAGTCCTGCTAGCTGGTGATTTTTTGGTTCCTTATGGTGTTTGGGCGCACCTGGACCTGCTCTGCAGGCTCCTGCTGCTAACACTAAGAGGTCAACAGGGTCACGCTCACTTTTCAAAACTGAAGTGTGTCCATGCCGAGATGTTGTGGGAAAATAATGATTCCTCCCTCGAATCAGTCACGGCTCACCTTTGTTCGGGCTATATTTGAACCACTTCTCAAAAGCAGTTCATTTAGAATTTATTGCTGCAAAGCCTTCAGAAAGCACGAATAGAGTTCAATGACCTCCAACATTTTTTTTTTGTACTGAACCTTTTTTTCTTTGTACGTCAACAGTAAATACACAGCCAGTAAATCATACAAGCAGTTTTTCTTTCCTCCAGACTCTACCTTAGTTGGACAACATTGTTGTGTGCACTGTACGGAAATCAGTCTTCCATCCATGTGTTTGGAGGATGTTTGGAAGGTTCAAAACTGGCTCTTACATGATAATAAACGCCTGAAAGTTCCATTGTAAGCTCCACATTTCTCACAGAAAGCAAAAACATGTCACCGTGAGCAGAAACATTGCCGGCTTTGGTATTACTCATGAAAAATATTGAAAACAAACAAAATGAATCACTGTGACAGAAATGTGCAGAGCTGAAACATGCACCGTAATCATGCCAAATCACACAACGAAATAAAAGATCAGACAGGACCACTTAAAAGAACGTTTCTTTTCTTTTTATGTCTCTCCAAGCAGGTCGACCGCCAGCTACCGCCTGAAGCACAGAGTAAACCTGGAGGATATCTGGCTGTACGGCTTTGAGAACGAGCAGGAGCAGGAGGACCACGACGGGCTGACCGGGGATACTGACCTCAGGCTGACGCTCATCCTCGGCTGGGCTCTCACATTTTGCCTCGTGTGTTTTCGGTGAGAGGACACACAGAGGATGGCTCAAATGCAAAGAAATTACATCAAATGTAGACGTACAGACATTTGACCTGCTTGATATGTGTTTGGTCATGTGTCTAAATCAAAAAACACTCAAGCAAATATAAGCTTTATTGTTATTCTTTCTTCTTTTTTTCTGCCAAGTCATTGGGTTTTTGAAATCGTAGGATTTTCATTGAGTATCTGCACATATAGTAAATGGTCATATGATCGGTGGCCTTCAGAAAAATGAAGAAGCAGCAAAGAGAAAGTAGTCCCTGCTGCATCACAAGACAAAAAAGCCCAAAAATAGGAAGTACGGAGCTGGTTGCCAAATCCTCATGTGTGGGGATTATCGTCAGCTGACTTTTTCAAAAAAATGGGGCCTTTACTGTAAGGATGAGGTGCGGGAGAAACCTTAATCACTTATCACGTTTAGCAACTGAATGGCTGGAAGGGAACGAAACTCTCTTTTCTCTGATCTAAATGTCTCATACAGGCCACTAGAGTGGGAAAGGATAACAAGTCCTTCATTTGTATTATTCATCGACTCCCACATTTCTCGCACAAGTACAGTCAAACCTTGAGGCCTTTTTTCACCCATATCTATATTCCAAGAAGCTGATGAATACCAAAGATGGGTTTTGAATGGCTTTGTTTGAAAATGAGAAGCTGTTTGTTGATTGGATGCTTGGACTTTGGCAATGATTCACAATGTGACAGTTTCGCACAGACATGTCTGCGGAGCACACGAGGAAGCTCGAGCTAATTTATTGACACTTTTTTTTTTTGTGGAACAAAAAAAAGAAAAATGTGTGCGACGGGCATGAATGAGGTTGTCAAAGGTAAAGGTGCACACGTAGTTTTACGCGTCTGTGCCGTCGTCCTGTTTCCACTGATGGACACAAAGCCACAGCAGAGCTTCAGTCGAGGAGGAAGTGGAAGGTATCTGGTCGCCGGGGCACGCCGTGACGCTGCTTCCTGTTCCCGTGACTGTGCTGCACTTTCCACCAGAGTTGTTAAAAGAGACTGTGGGTGCACACTTAGTCTCATTCCTCCCACTGTCACCTGATAGCTCGTTTGAATCTCTGTGTGGATTAGTAACTCATACCATGCTGTTATTTCGCCCACAGCTCGCCTGAGGTGAAAGAACGCTGGTTAGATACCCTTCACAGGTAAGAATCATTGGAATAATTCATAGCACATTCTTGCTCTTGAGTTATGCTGTAAAACCTCTGATCACTTATTCCATGTGATGTAGTCACACTGCAAACTTTGAGACCAACATGCCACCAGTATGAAATATTTTGAGAGAAAGTTTGCTTTCCTGATCAACGTTTCAGATAAATTTGAACTGCTAGAGATGGCAGCATTTTTTGAGCGTGAATAATTCAGCTTGATTTAGTCCAAATGGTACCATACTCCTTAACGAACTGATTTTTTGATTAAACACTCTAACTCTGGCAAACATTATTTATGTAAACATAAAACGGAAATACTTGCGAACAGAATGCAAACATTCTGGAGACAAATCCCCACAAATGTTAAGCAAATGAGTTTGTTTTTGTTACAGAAAAATTACTGACGCGAAAGCGAGAACTGGCTGTTCTTCTTTACCTCCAGACGTCCTCATGAAGGTGTTGAGTGGCAGCATTGCAGTAAGTATCTCAATATCCACTCCAACACAACCAACAGCAACCAAAAAGTCACAAACGAGCTGTTACTCTGTAACGTTTCTCACTCTGTACCTTCTTCACCACTTTCTTGTAGACTAAAACTCTAACAGGAGGTGGCATGGAGCAACAAATCGAGCTTCCACTTGAGGTAATTAAAAAGTACATTTAAGTTCAGCTGTTGGTTAAAGGCACTTAAATATTTGCATTTAAAGCTACAAGGATATAATTTTAGAAAAGGATAAAGCTAAAAAAAAAGAAATATAGATAACGAAATGCATGTCTATTCAAAGATTACTGTACTACATTATCATACAGTCAATGGATATGATCTGATCTCTATTTATTAATGTGTTAGCTATGATGTCGGCCAAGTTTAGGCAGAAAAACCTCTTCCTCTTTTGCTCTTGGCTGAGTACTCGTGTTCCTTCTTGCTCGCTTGTCGCCACATCATTTTTTCTTTATTTTGTTGCCAGGGAGGTGCAAAGATCTCTGCTCTGGCAAAGCAGTTGAACAATCAAGAAGAGAAGCTTAACGGTGAGTTTGAAAGTCTCTGGTTGTGCAAAGCGCTCTATCTGCACACGATTTACAGACAGGGGGGGGGGCGCCACACTGAGAGTGCAACGAGACCAAAGAGAATAACCGCAAAGATACAAAAAGGAAATCTAACAACAGATTAAATCTAACAAGTAAAGGACACGCTGTTCAGATGGCATTTAGGCTTTGGCTTTTGCACCCCTTTACGCATTTCACAGATACAGAAACTTAAGTCGTTTGTTTGAATGCAATATTGATGGATAAAACCTTTTTGCTTCCATCAGGAACCAAATGGAACCTAGTGAGGAATATGAAGTTCAGAAAGGGTTCTAAGGCTTTCAAGACTCAGCTGTTTGGACAGTCCCTCTGCAAGATATGCCCAGATGACTACTCTCTTCCAAAACCAATCACAGTAAGTTATTATTCATCTCAGATTTATTCAAATGTCAATCAGTTTTCTCAATTAGAAGAATGTATGCAAGCAAATGAGCTGCCACCCAAAATCTACATTATCAAATGATTTTATAATCCAACCGTGACTTATTTTCCTGCCTCTGTGTCCCCTCACCTACCAGGATCTGTTGGTGTTGCTGAGGAAGAGAGGTCCGTCCACTGAGGGGGTGTTTCGTAAGGCATGCAACAACAAGAACATGAAGGACATCAAAGAGCAGCTCAACAGCGGTGTGGAGGTGGACCTGGACGGTCAGCCAGTCGTTCTGCTTGTTGGACTGTTCAAAGTAAGTTTCTGTTTCCGCTGGTTGGGTACGAAAACGTTGTAGTGAATTATGAAAATGCACCGTTCTTCTGCTAGAAAACATGCTGGTGACCCTTCTACCACAAGCTTGCAGTTGATGACAATGAGTCGCTGTATCAAACTGATGCTCTGCTCTAGATTAAAGCCACTAGTGAACTTTTACCTCAAGCTTCAAATGTACTAAAACAATGATGTACAAAATAACCAATGCCATGAAATATGTTTCTTCAATTGTCATCAGAATTTCATCAGTCAGCACTTACAGACTCATTCATTGATCCAATATTTGATTTTTGAGGGGCTAGAATGAACAGTAAACCTCACCACTGTCCCTCCCTGTTTGCAGAGTTTCCTGAAGGAACTTCCTGGCAGCCTGTTGAGGTCTGACCTTTATGACAAATGGATGACAGCACTTGACAATGAGAATGCCCAGTCGAGAACTCAGGAAATCACAAAGTAAGCAATCGATACACACTAATGAGCAGCCACTGACATTTACTCTTCCCGCACATTCATTTTATAGAATATATTGCATTTGCAGGTCAATGATATAATTTTTTTTCATGAATGGTCATAAAAACATGCATGAGTGGAGTTTTTTTTAAAAGTCTTTCAAAAATCCTCTGTCTGGAGGCTGGTCACAAAGCACTTCTCCTTTTGAATGTGTCTTCGGTTTAAAAAGGAGAAGAAAATCAAACCCAGAAAAAGAGCGCCAACCTAATCGTCTTCCTATATTTTACTTCCTCTTCTTGCTACCCGCGAACCAGGGTGGTGGAGGATCTCCCGGGGCCCAACAAACTCCTCCTGCGCTACCTGATCTGTGTGTTGCATCACATCCTTGAGAGTGCAGATATCAACAAGATGGATGCCCACAACTTAGCGGTGTGCATTGCCCCGACGCTGCTGCAGCTGGAAGACATTCCACTGGATGGGCAGAGGGAAAAGATGCAGAAGGTAAAAACTCCTGTTATGAATATACTTTCTCACTTTTGGAGCTTTGAAGCTTTGTGGTTCACAACGCTGTAAACCTCAGGTTTCATAACAAGACTGCGCTTGCACAGTTTCTTAAGAGCAGGCAAAAAAAAAAAAAAAGAACTTACCAGATCCATTGAATAGTTTCTGCATTCTATCAGAGTTCTTTATCTAACGTCTCATTTTTTTAACACTGCCCTTTCTGATTTGTTGCAGGTCACAGAACTCACTCAGTTCCTGATTGAGAATTATGAGATTCTGGGAGATAACATCCCCAATTTGCTGCACACTGATGAAGGTAAAGCAACCCCTAACTAAAAAAATTCATTAACATCTGTACTATGGGTTTGCAGAGACTGATTCGTTTGGCTTTTAAAAAAAAAACATTGTTCTCACACATAATTTGGACCCATCTTGAGAACCTGTGAATATGCAGAGGCTAATCCCTTTTCTTCCCCCTCCCCACAGATTCCCTGTCCTCACTTCATCACGACTCTGCGTATGACAGCACAGACCCAGATGGGGATTTAGAGGCCGGAGAGAAGATCAGGTCCACGCATGAAGGATGTGGCTCATCTTCCTCATCTTCCTCTCTGAGCCCCAGCACAGCCACCCTGTCGTGGCAGTCAGACGCCGCCTTCCACACAAAGTCGACTTTCAGCCGCCGCTGCTCGGAGCCCATCCTCCCCCTCTCCTCGCAATTTCAGAGCCTGAGAGGTCACGCCCGTAGCCACGACGACTGCTCCCTGGAGAGGGAGGACTTCGACGAGCAGCCTCTGAAAAAGCAGATCTCGGACGACTCCTTCCTGCTCAGAAGTCGAGGCGGAGCCAAGTCCGTTTTGTCTTTCCCGAAACTGAACAGCGGCTCCAACATGGATCCGCTGCCCTACATGGGCAAAGACTGCTCGTGCTCTTCGCTGGAGAGCTCTTCCTCCAACCAGTCGGAGGGCTCCGTGTTCACCGGCTCCCCGGCCGGATCACCTGGATGCCCCAGAAGGACAGACAGCCCAGATCCGCCCGCAGACGCCAAGCCGGACACTTCCAAACCGGTTACGGTCGAGAAGAGGAGGTCTCAGTCCATGAAGGTGGCCTCTAAAGTCCTGATGAGGACCAGGAGCTTGGGAGCTTTCAGCAGGGGCAGCATGAAAAGAGACTCGCAGAAAGAAAACTCTTTCCCCTGCGAGACGCTGCCGGAAGACTCCTCCAGCGAGGCCGACCCCTCCGCCGAGCTCCAGCCGAGGCCGCGTCCCCTGTCCGCATTCGAGGTGTTCAGGCTGGTGGACAGCAAGCTGCCCGGCAGGCCGCCGTCTTATGAACAGGCCGTGCAGGCCTCGGGCCTGCCCCCGCGCTACTGCGCCATGACTGTGCAGGACGCGGTCACGCTGGGGAGGAGGTCCCGCCCTTCCTCCGTCAATTACGACTTTCCAAACGCCCGTTCCGTCAGGGAGCGCGCGTACGAGCCGGACTGCTTCGCTCAGACGGCGCGGGACGACGACGCCCCCGAGCGCCGGCAGCCTTTCCGCCAGAGGGCCATGTCCGAGTCCGTGTCCGCGGGCCAGCACGACGCCGTGTCCCGGAGATGCAGCCAACCCGTGTTCGAGGAATTTTCATACGCCAAGGAGTCCTACGTCTGACTTTGTAAACGTTTTGCAGGTTGGATTTGAAGTCACGTGAACCTTTCTCATGGACCTAAAACGCTCACATGCATTCCGATTGTGTTTGACACAGTTGGAGCGCTTCACTTCTTTTAGTGGCACAAGAGTTTTCTTATCTTGTTCAAAAAGATTGTGCCCGCTGAATAGATTTGTCCGTCTCGTCAAATGTTTCTGTTTTTGACTGTTTCAGTTTAAATGAATGTCAGTCATGTGCCGTCTTCGCGATGGCACATTTACAGTAGTGCTATTAATAGTACGAAGATTACATTATATGTAGTTACTAAGATAGAAGTTTAATCTATCACAATGAAGCTAGAAACACAGGCAACTGTGTATAAATATGCTATGAATTTCTATGTGTATTTTTGTTGTTTCGTCTTTTTGTTTGCTTTTTGCAAATGCACCTCACTTTGCATGGTCCTGTTCTTCCACTACACTAAAGCACTTTCAGGATGATTAACTATGCTTTTCTTATTTGTATGCTAAACTGTAAATAAAGTGGGACAGCAATAGAATGAGAAGTGTAAAGTTTGTTAAGAACTGTTGGGACTAAATCGGAAGTGATTTAAGATAAGCGCTAGACAAAATGGAAGCATAGCAAAACAATAAAATCCTCTAAAAGCTAAGAAGTGTCCTATTCAACTATTTTATTAATTCTTTTTTCAGCTGCAGACAAGTGAAAGGGGTCCTTTGTCGTCCTCCCGTGAACTCATTAGTGGAAGAATAAAAAGAGAACGAGACGCAAATTAGTAGCTGGGCTCAGCTTGTCTTTGCTATATGTATTGCATAACAGAAGCGCAGACCCCATTGAGAGAACATCATGTTCTGGTACACGCTGCAAGCTAAAACTGAAGGAAACCAGACAGGGTCACATGGACGGATTTGGTTTTTCTCTGAATTGCTGTTCCTCTTGTCTGCGATGGGCTGATGCCACCTCTTCTTCCTTCCTTTCTAAAATGTTAACACAGTTTCCTTCCTCAACAAGTCGACTTCATTTATCAAAAGAAATTACATTTCATCGAGGGCAAGCACAAATTTGCAGACTTTAAGCTGAATGTTAACCTGAACAGATTGAATCCAGCTCTGCATATATGCTTCAAAATTAAAAACCTTACAGCATAATGTGATGTTAAGCAATAGCACTCGGGTATTGTGTGCATCCTGAACTGCGTAAGCTCAATTGTAGAATTAACTTCTCCATCTCACTCAATACTCTCTATATGCAGTTTTCATTCCTACAGCAAAGTGTGAACAGAAACTTGAGAATGTGTGGTTTTTGTGCATAGTATTATTAGATAAAGCACCAGGGGCAGCACCATGCTTTGCATTGGGATAGAATGCGTGCATAAAATACACACTGAGGGTGTGATTCTACAGTAGCTCGCATGTGGGTACGCTTAAAAAAACCTCTCCAAAAAATACTCAGAGTAAATCACATTGTCCAATGCTGTCAAAGCATGAGGAATCAGCTGAAAGATCTCCACCAGAGATGGGATTATATAACTGCTTGTTTCCAGCCTTAAAAACTACTGGAAACAAGTCACAGGCCTATTGTGGTGATGATTAAAAGAATGAATTCATTTTCAGCATTTTCTTGAGATGCCATGTTTACATTTGCCACTACGCAATGGCTTCGTGGTTGGGACATTGTGGTCGAAAGCAACGTCAGCACATCCATCCCCGGTCAACAAAAGATAGACTGCTTTTGCAAATATGTTGGAACGTTTCTTTCAACATTCTTCAAGGAAAAAAAAAGGACCTGCTTTCCCATTCCCTTCCAATTTTAATAATCATTTGGTGCTGCATGGGATATCTTAGAGTTGTTTGGAATAATCCAAAGTGTACTTTTGTATTCGTTTAAAAATGTAGCTCTTTCTCAGCTGAGCATTGGTTCAGTAACGAGAATCTAATAAGCAGAATTCTCATGCCGCACCTTTGATTTTGCAGACACAGCGGACATGTCCTGCAGCTCCCATCAGAGTGCATTGTACCGGCTCAGCTCACTGTGACCACATGCTGCCGTTGAGGGCTAGAGCTGGACACTCTGTGACATACCAGTCTGCTCAGAGTGAGGAGGTCTTCAGCGTGTGCATTCTGTATCAACGCTCATGTGTCACATGTGTGTTCAGAAGCACAGAATATAGATTTGTTCTCATAAACGGATTAAATATAAATGCAATGCACATCTGATTTTTAAAACTTTCCTTAACAGAACAATAATAAAAAAATCCCCAGCTATGTTAGCCTATTGGTCTATTTTTGTTTTTCCTAATTCTGTTTTTTGCCTTTTGCCATTGACACAAAGTTTTTTCGGTTCTTCTGAAATAACTTTTCTGGGTTGGAAATTTCCAAACATTTAAATGAGGAAGCGCACCTGATGGAACTTTCTGAATGCCAAAGCTTTTTTCAAAAGAAATCCCTCAACATAGGAGATACCGAATCATCCTTTATTAAAAGATCAAGACAACAACTTAACGTTTAACTTGTGTGTTTTCAGATGCACAAATATTCACACATCTGCACATTCAGTACAGTTCAGTACACACTGGACAGGCATTTCAAAGACAAAATAAGCATGCTCACTCATTCACCCTGCTAATGTCGATTAAGTTAGCCTGACAAGCATGTTTTGGACAAAGAATTTAATCTCCAGAATACCTGGAGATGCAAACTCCACACATTGGTGAGATTCAAACCTAAATATTCCTACTTTTTGGCTGAGTTACCAACAATTTTGATCATTTTAATTTAAGAAACATCTAATCAATACTTTTCCTTCTCAATTTAAATGGATTTCAGACAGAATTTGTGGACTTACGTTATCATGGACACCGTCATGAACAATATGAAACTGAATAAAAAATCATGCTCAGGGAAGCTGTCCAGTCAACAGAGTGAAAAGCAAGATTAATTACCTTAATTACCTGCCCTGACAGTGGAGGGGTTTTATATAAACATCTTCATTTCTGATGTAATAGACAGATTTTACAAAAACCCACCAACCAAGCTTCCTAATTCCTAATACACAGACCCCTTATTTGAAAGCTTTCCAGGCAATTTACCACTTATCTACTGTGTCATGTGGATCCACACATTATAAAGGTCGTGTTGTGTGTACAATACTGCACTGGCAGTGTGTAAATGTGCGTGTAAGGATGCCCTGCTGGTTGTGCAATATTGTGGCCATCACTAATGAGAAAACGCTAATACACGGGCAAGCCAATCAGTTAGTTCTTTTAATAATGCATAACGATTTGGGACAGCTGAAGTATAAACAATGCAAAGTGCACAGCGGAGAGCCAATCCCAGCACCGCACAGCACAGAAGCCCCTCGTTTCAACAGAGGTTCATTATTCTTTTATGAAAAAGATCAAAAACAGATGACACAGTTTTGTAAACTCCTCCAGACGCTATATTTAGCTGTTTGTGCTGTGAATAAACACACCTTTCATGGTAATGTTGTATAATGATCTATTGTTTTTATTTTTCAATCATAAACGTTGTGTGTTATGTAAGAAAAAGCAAAATGCGGATGCAGATCTGAATCACTGAGATGGGCACAAAAGATGGCACTTTTGTCGTCACAGTCATTACAATCCTCCAACATTTGTCCTCACAAATATAGTTTAGCATAGATACCTGTGTCCTACTTTTCTCTGACAGTTTCAAACCTTTTTTTTTTGCGCAGATGAAATGCTTTGTGTGGTTTGGCACAGGTTCGTTTCGAGTTTCTGCTTTTTACTAAACACCTCGTGCTGCCCACATTTTGGTATCTGCTGTGAGCTAAACAAATCTTTTCTCAAGCACACAGTGTTGCTCGTGTTACTTTAGACATGAGAAAAGCAGCCCATTAGGCCAGCACCAGCTCTCACACCAATATTGATCTTTGTGATGACATAAAAGACATGATGAATGCAAGGTTAATACCAAAGCTCTTTTTGATGAAACACCTTGACGTATAAGATGTTGATGTGCCACTGGAGGATGACTGTGTCACCTTTTGGCTTGTTGTTCAGGAAGTGGTGTTAGCATCAGAGGGTTATACCAAGAATTTCTGAAATGTGTCGTAAGAGAGTATGGGTAAAGCATGCTTTACACTTTTACAAAAAATCTTTGATGTGCCTTTAGTCAGTGCTGCATTTGATCAAGAAAACTTTGCAATAGGAAGCAACGTGTCATGGCAGAGTTGGATGTGGTGGTCAATTTATAAAAATACAATTTATTGGATTCAACAAAACATCCAGTAACATACAATATAATTGTCATAGTCATATAGATGAACCAACATTTTAGGTTGAAGGAGCACAAAAGACCCTGCAACTGCACAACATATGAGGCCAAATCTGGGCACATTCATTCACGATGACAAAGTGCACATGAAAATACACCTCTGAGGATTCCTCAGAAGGCCACTGGGCAGACATCTAGAAATGGCCATTGTTTAACGAATTTGTGGCCCTCTTTGCTAACTTAATCAATTATAAAAGCAGAAACAAAGTATGAGATCCTATAGCGGCGCCACCCGTCCCTGTCTTCACCAATCACTCCCTGTATATACTCCAAACACACAGCCACTTTTTGCTCTTTTGTCCTTTTCTAATTTAAACAGGGGGTGTAGGAAGAAGCCTCAACTCCCTGAGGCCTTTTCTGCATTCTTTTCACATTTTTTCACATCTTCCCCCTGCTTAATTATTTACATTGCTAAATGTTAAATAAATATAATTTTGCATTTAGAAATAAATTCCTCATGTTTAGCAATAAACATTCACTGATTTGCAGAGTTCTGCACCTCTGGCCTTTAGTGGTTAGGATGTGGTTTATTAGCATGCAAGAGGATGTAAGAGTTAGTGAAAGGAGAATCAAAATGACATTCAAGGAGGGATGTACTTCTGTCAGGCAAGTATGCAACATCCTGCGATACAAATATGTTTTTTCAATAATATTATAATTTTGCATGCAAACCTTCTTGCAATTACATTTGTTTTATTTTAGTCACAAATGTTTTTGGTGATTATTTGAGCTAAAACATGATAAAAACGGTATAAAATCCTCTTTAAATGCATTTGTTGGTCAGCCTGGTGGCAGGAAAAAAAACAGCTAATTTAGAAAATGTTCTTTTATAAACAGCTAAAAACGATTTAGTTCTTTTGGAGGGGAAGTGACGTCATGTGTATCCTCTTGTACTTCCTGGAAACGGTTGCTACAGCACTTGTCACAACAGTCACCAGCTTCTGCTCCGTTACTGAAGTATTAACACAGGCTGACCGGATACCTGTCAGCGTTGGAGTTACTTGATTCGCTTTAGCCACAGTGTTGGGTGGTTTCTGAACTATGGCTTCCGCTTCGCACAGCCAGAGAAACCCAAACGGAACGTACACTTTCTCAAGTCGCCCCAGACCTGTTGATAACCGCTCCAAATACAGGGAGCCTGCGGATGAACTGTACGTTTCTCTCAGGAGTGATTGGTAAAACCTCTGACATTGCTCAAAGATGTATTTATAACGTCTTTTTCGTCCAACCCTTATTCCTTTTCGTTCTAATGTACAGTCATTGCACATATTTGAATTGAATGAATGCTGTATTTTCCTTTTAATGTCTAAATACGAGAAATGAAATGTTTTTTTTTATGGAAATAAAATGTAATAAACATAAAGGCAGAGGTTTTACAATGATGTAAAGTACTCTACTGTAAGTCTGGCTCTACTGTAAGCCAGAAAAAGTTTACCAAATGCTGTCTCATTTAATGATCAAATACCTGAACAAAATGCACCATATATTCCCCTTTTTAGGCTTACAACAATTTAGATGTGGATGAGCAGCTTGTTTAACCATACTGTGCCTTTTCCTGTCTTTATAGAGCCCAGCGCAATCATGGAAACATCATGTATGACCGTCGTGTTGTCAGAGGAAATACTTACGCCCAGCACATCATACCTAGTGTACGTATGAGGCCTCAATTTTCCTTTGTTGTTCCTTGGCCATCTGTATTTATTGTTATCATTGACTATTGACAGTCCGCTCAACCCGACCCCTCTGAGATACAAAAACAAGAAGCAATCAGAAAGAGAGCCATGGCTCGCAAACGGGCCAGGGAGCGGTCCAGACCCAAGACCCCGGAAGCCCTGCAGGGTAGACAACACATTGATGTGCAAACGGGTAAGCTGTTTTTCTAGGCAGCAATCTTTTACCTTTTTTGCTTTTTGGGGGCAGTGTTTTATTTTATCCATCTTCCCTTTATTTGACTATTTATTTCAGATCTTTACCTTGAAGAACTCAGTGATGTAATTGTAGCTACAGACATTGAGTGTCAGACTGATGAATTCCTGGACAGACCGGCCACTCCGCTCTTCATTCCCGTCAAATCTGGCAAAGATGCTGAAACGCAAATAGAGGAAGGAGAGGTAGGCCATCTTAGCTAACTCTGTAAAACATCTTGCTATACCTAAATAAGTGCTTATACTCTACCATAAAAATGACGCAGATAATAGAAATGTTTCTCATTAAGCTTACCAACTTGGACGCAAGGGAAAAAGAGGCTGCTGCTATTACTATAACTCAGGATGTGAATGGAGCAGAAAATGTAAACTATTAGTTTGTTTGATAAAAGTGTTCTACCTGATCCCCCTGCAGTTGTTCGACTTTGACATGGAGGTGCAGCCAATATTGGAGGTCTTGGTGGGGAAGATAGTGGAGCAGTCACTGCTGGAGGTGATGGAGGAAGAGGAGTTGGCCTGTCTGAGAGCCCAGCAGAGGGCCTTCGAAGAGCTCCGCAATAATGAGCTTGCAGAGGTTCAGCGGCTTCAGGAGCAGGAAAGACGCCGCAATGAGGAGAAAGTAAGCCAAACCAAAAATGGACCGTCCACATTCTGTCTATAGGACCAAGATTAGATTCAGAATTCCTCCAGAAATGTAAAAACTTTGCTAATAAGAATGATTACAACAAGTGAGACATCACATAAAAACTTAGACTGCACCTCTTCAAGGAATATTTCTGTATTTTCAAGCTGTTTTTTTAAAAGTTTTCGATCGAAATGCTCTTTGATTGTAGGAGCGTAGAATTGCCCAGCAAAAGCAGATGCTGAAGAGAGAGAAGGAGGCGGTGGAGAAGATCGCGGCCCGAGCGTACACCCGGCAGTACTTGGCCGGACTCCTGCCGGCTGTCTTCACTTCAATGAGGAGCCATGGCTTCTTTTATGACCCCGTGGAGAAAGGTGAACCTCTTCAGCTTTCGCCATCCTGCCCCCTAGGAGCATCACTGTACCAAACTGCGCTGAAAGCTCCCTGCATGACTAAAACATGCTTCTGGTTTTCAGATATTGAGACTAACTTCATCCCATGGCTCATGGCTGAGGTTAACAACAGTTTGGAGAAGAGATACGCAGCTCGAGAGCTGCTGGACAGTAAGATATCCGCCCATCCATTTTCTATACTTGCTCATTCCACTTCACGCTCACACATTTTTTTTAGATTTACCTTTAAGATAATTTCTAGTTAAAACCACACCTTTATTTAAACTGTACCAGATGATCACCATTTTCAGAAGCTGTGGTTTCCATCAGCATCTCTGTCACTGCAAAGTCAGAGTGCCATCTTGTGGTGGCCTTTAAACATTACAGAGGTCACTAAAATGACTTCTACGCGACCTGCCGAACGCCCCTAAACCCTGTCTATGTGGCCTGTCTGTTTCAGCTCTCATCCTGGAAGTCACCCAGAAAAGGCTGGAGGAGTTCAAAATGCTCGAGACACAACCAGACAGATCCGACTCATGAAGAGATGCACAGAAATAAAGGATCTCTGAGCAATAAAGTGTTTTTCCTTGACTAAAATACTACTGTGAGAAGAGTCTTTGCAAAGGAAAATGTGCAGAAAAAATCATTTAAAAAATCCTTCAGATCAATATTATTGAATGATTCACAAATGTGAATGATGCCAGCTCAGCTGTACACTCTCCATCATTCTGTCACTGTGGGGGAGACCTTTGTGAGCATGGAGTACCGATCATAAATGTCGTTGAGAGCGTCATTGTGGATAAACGAAGCATTGTGTTTACACTGTCCAGAGGTGTGGCTGACCACTTTGGGATCAGAGGAAGCTGGAATGGACCGTGACGCAGTCCAAATGTGTCATGTGGTCAGGCCTATGATGCTGAGTGTTTCAGATCAAACATGGAAAAACACACCGTGCTGACTGTAATCTGTCAGAAAACACACCCCATATGGATCTGTATCCCATGAGAATCAGCCGTTTTCATGACACATAACTTGATTCTGTCCAGCTTCTAAAGGAAGTTTTATTGTGAATGTAAATTCTGTATGCTTTTCCCAGAGCCTTGTGTCGTGTCTTATCATAGGGAAAGTCCTCAACCTATACACAGACCAATCACAGAAAAGCAAACAAAATATCACACTTAAACAGGTTTTTAAACAGGCGGAAAACAGGTTTTCAAGAACTCTAGATATTTAAAGGTTCATTCAAAGTGATTTTCATTGGCTTAAACTATTTGCATTCGGCTTTACTCTGGAAAAGTCCATTCAAGTGCCGTAACAGGCAAATTCAGGAATGTTTTGCATTGTCCATAAAAAGCTTTTAATAGCCCGGGTTCCACTTTATCAAGCATCCAAGGGGAAAAAATGTTCATGGTGAATTCTGTTGCTTTCATCCTAAAAGGCCTGTAAGGGCTGTGACGCGTAACTTGACACACATTGGATTTCCTGTTGGTCCCAATAAGGGGATTATGGTAATAAGAGTGGGGTGGATGGACTGGTGGGGTTCATGGAGATGCAGTGGCTACTTGAAACAGATATTACATAACATCGGTGGCTTGTCACATCACTTCTCGGTTTCGTGTTATGCTGAGGAGCAGGTCTGACCTCCACTATATACGCGTCTATTTTGGTCCTGGCGCGCCATTGGCCGGCGCACCTTTGACGCCTCCCCTCCCCGGCAGCGCCTCCTGGGCTCAGCTGAGCACGCAGGCGGATGCCGTCTGCACACTTCCGCCGTGAAAGTTTCTGTCCGTGATGCACGGACAGGTGACGTCGAGGTCTTTGCTCAAGTGGACGATGAGTGAGACTTTGGAGGCGATTGTTACGTAATCCGGTTATCTCAGCCGCTGTAAGGCAGAAGTGATCAACATTCGACCCAACCTGTGTGTGTTTATGTCTAAAACTGACCAAAACTGCTAGACAAACTAAAGAAGGGATGTGTCTAAAGAATAAAGGCTGCTTTAAACAAAATCGTCACTCTGGTCTGTGTATTTAATACCAAATAAGATCCAAACAACCTGCTGTTAAATCTCTCATGGAACATTAATAAAACAGGGAGGGGAGCCAGAAACCACCCCGTGCCCCTCTGCCCTTGCCGAGTGCCCTGAGGATGAAATCTCAGGCTCTGCGGGCTGTGCGCCCTGTAGGATGGAGGAGCGCCATATTGTGCCATATTGCGCCATATTGCGCCTGGGTGAGCAGAGGCAGCAGACATCTGTAGCTGGTCGCCGTTCAGTCCTCATCCTCATCATCCCTAAACAGCCCCGGTAAGACTCCTAAAGCTCAGCAGCTGCTTGTAAGAAGCCAAAGTTGTTGGAAAAATACTGCTTTTGCACTTTTTTTCCACCCCAGGCGCTACTGGGCACAAAGGACGCAAACGTCACAACAGGTGTTTGTGGAGGATGTGAGCTGTGCCTCTGCACAAAACGAAGCATTTTTCTATTGATCCAACCGTACAAATCCAAGAATAATCCTTGTGTGTCATAATTCATCATGAGAACTTGGGTGGAGATGGAGTTTTTGTGTCGTAGGTTAGTTTTCAGGTCTCGGTGGGTGTGAAACCAACGTAAACAAAACCATCCCAGGGACCTATTCCCTGTCCATTATCACATTGTTACATTTCCATACCATGTGGACACATCCAAAGGTTACAGGGTAGCTCAGAGTTGCTTATGTTCTTTGTATTGTGTATTTTATTCCTTGACGACTTTGTCACACAACACCAAGAAAATTAGGGCATGAAAGGATCCCATAAATGTAAATTGAGGTGTGGGTTTATTAGATTAAGAAGGCGCCACAAAGGAAGGCTAAAACAGACACGGGCGGAGACCACGCGTTTATCCCATGGAGAGGGTGAGGCTAGTTTAAATACCCAATTTAACCTGATGTGATTTTGCGAATTTCAAATGCCTTAATTACAGACAAAATAGGTTTTGTTTCCGGTGTTAGATTTCAAAATAAAACTTCGACTAAACACGTTTTATGACAACTGGTAAACATGCCCAAGAGGAGGGCTTCACATTTTGTATATAGATGTTATACTTATCCACAAAATGTATACATTTGTCAAGATCCCCCCCTCCCCCCCCAAAAAGAAAAAAAACCTTGAAAGAACCTATATGAGGGATGCTTTTGTTGGCATTTACAGGCATGTCTATGCACAGACGTCCTGTAATTTGTCAGCACTTGCTACAGTTATAAAATTGTCAGTTTGTTCATGTCCGATGTTGGTTTGAGTGACGATTAATCGACATGTCTGCTTGTTTCTGTGGGCTTCCCCCTGAAAAGAGAGACGGCAAGGCATGAGATCAGGAGCAGGAACAGTTAACAGAAAGTTGCAGAACAGGTGGAAATTTGTCATGCATGCTGACATCCCGGATCCAGCTGAGTATGAGTGAAGCTGAGTGCATTTATGCAGGAGTGACTTCATCCCTGACCACATGGGAGTGTCTTGAATCTGGACTTGTGACATTTACTGATGCATTTTACAAGTCTGATTTAATTCAGAGTAACACAACACTTCTTTGTTCCCTAGTGTTGTGTGAACCTTAAATCTCGGGTAAACTCCCTCTGTCTGTCTTTTTAATGCTTGAATGAATAAAAAGAACTGAATAAAGATTTTAATGTATGATTTGGTTGAGTTTGATGGACATCAGTGTTGGTTTTGCTGTGGAGAAGTGGGGACTTTGTGTGAGAGTTAGATTGTTGCTGCTCTTGTTTTGAAGCGAAATGGAGGCCAGCTTCCTGTTTCTGTGGTGGTTGCCGGGAGCCTGTCTGTTTCTGCGGTGATTCACCCTGATGACGGTCGCCCATAGGAGTGTCCATCTGCACACAGGCGGCTTTAAGAGAGGGAGAAGTCGGTGAAACTCGTTTCTCCTCTTTTCTCTCATTTCAGGAGCAGGCATTGGGAACAGCGGCCACACAGAGCTCGAGCCTTTTTTTTTTGTTGGAAACACTGGTATTTTTGTTTTCCATTTGACTGATTCTCCTGCAGAGTCGCGAAAACGACAGAAAAATGCCCAAAGCGGTAAGTGACTGTTTTTACTGAGCCTGCTTTAATCGGTGCTACAGGTGGATGGCACACTGACATGTAACAGGATCCATTTAAAAGTGCCATTAACTTTGTTTAAACACATCTACATCCGGCTTATGCTCAGGTAATCTAATTAAAACCTTGGGATTTATCATAATAAATACGTATATTGTAACAAAGACTTTGTACTTACTTGACAAATATCATGGATATACTTTAAACATGTCACATCAGAGTCAATGAATGGGTTTGTTGTTGTTTTAGGGATGATATTTCATGTTTGGATGTACTTCTTACATAAAAAAACATTTTTTAATATACACTGACTCACCTGCCAGTCTATATTAACAGAGATACAAAGTATGAAATCTTAAACTAAACAGGAATTGAGAGATGTCAGTTTAAAAGGACTCAATATGTCACCATAGCAAATAAGTGTAAAAGTGGGGTCTGTGTTAAAGGGGAATGCCAATCACAGCCCATGTCCTCACCATATCCTGGGGGTGTCCTACCGGTATTACATCACTTTGCATTAAAGCTAGCAACAGGAGTTGTTTGGGTTTGTTTCCTGAAACAAGCACAGATGCAGATTGGAAATGAAGTGTCTGTGTGGGTGGATGCAGGCACAGATGAATTTGTCAGATTAGTCCCTGTGCTTCCGGACGACATCACAAACAAGACGCAAAAGTGTCTTTTTGGACTGAAATCTGACAGCTCATAAGTCAGTTGTGGATTTAAGCTACTATTTGGACTGGTTTTTGCCTTCAGTTACTCCTGACTCACTCTGCCTTGCCCCACCCGAGCTATTCCATACTGAACAGTCACACATTTGGAAATATTTGGTCAGGCACATGTGGATTTGACTGTATTTAGGAATAAGTGATGGATATTTGTTGAACACAAATGAGACAAGAGCACATTTAAAGTTTTTTAAAAATAATTTTTAATCATTTTTAGCAAAGTTTAAAAAGTAACCGCTTTAAACCGGCCGGGCTGTTGAATAGAGCAGTGTTAAACAAAAACAGCAATCGGTGTCATAAAGTCTGCTGTTGGTTTGTTTCGAATGATCTCATGGTTGTCACGAGCGTTGCTGTGGAAGTGAAATGATTCCTTTTTGACGAACGGTTACCGCAAACGGCCATTCTGGACGATTATGTCAAACTTTTTTCCCCTCCCATGACACCCAAAAGAGCTCACATGAGCAAACTCTGACTGTAACACTTCAGTGTGTGACCACATGACGGGTCGCGTCTTTGCAACGTTGTGTGAAAAATATCAATAGGACACAAAGGCTGTTTTAATGAAGCTGTTCCTTTGGTGCTGCTCTGAGCAGAGAGCTGCTTGCTTTGAATTAATTCCAAAGCTAATGCTGAGTCTAACCTCTGGCATTGGCGACATATGGAAATAGGAGATTATGCGTTGACATAGTTTTGACTAGACAGAAATGAGTTGAGCAGTTGTTAAAAAAAAGAAGAAAAAAATAGTAATTTTAACCTACTTTCAAAATGTTTTATTTGATTGATTTAAAAGAGTAAAAAAACAATTAAAGTCAGCAGACGGTTAAAAAAAAAAGAAGGATCCAGCTCATATCTGTCAAAATTTGGATGGATGAACAGAAGGATCAAACAGAAACTACAAATCTTAAAACCTGTGTGACAAGCCACAACTTTCAGGTCTCTAAAGTTAGGTTCCTCAGCACAAAAAAAAAACAAAGAAAAAATTATTTCTCTATCTGCTCAGCGATAGTCACTCTAAAGGAAAACTCTGTCACTTCCAGAACTCGCTGTGAAGAAACTCGAGTGTGAAGTCACAGAACCGTTTTCCTCACTGCGGCCGCTCACATCAAACCCAATAAAAGAAACTTGTTTTATATCTGATTCTGCACGGCACAAATATCCAGACTGTCTGTCTGGTTCGTATTCCTGGCTCGGCATCAGAAATTCCAGCCGCCCGCTGCTTGTGTTGTCTGGAGAGCAGAACTTCATTTTCTTGTTACGGGACTGTGGGGCCGAGGCTTGGGTCAGATTTAAGGATCAGGGAAAGGCTCCTGCATTGATGCCTGGGTGACTCATGTTTCACCTATTTGAATGACACATTGTTGGACGTAAGCGATAGCGCTCCTTGGCTCTCCCAGAATCCTGTTTCCCTTTGGTCCTGAACCCATGACAAAAACCGCTCTAGGTGTGGTCACCATCAGCGTGGCCGGGTGTTACCTTTTCATGTCCTTCTGTAATTATTTGTATTGGTATTTTTGGGTAACTGCCCCACGTGGAACCCGGCCAGCACGACTCATTATTCCAGAAATCTTTTTCCTAGATGACACATGTTCAGTGCTGGGGGAGCCTGGAGGCATATCCTCTCCATTCTTAAAAGGTGGCACTCACTTACCTCATACCATTCAGTGAGATCTCCATGGCAACGTTGTGGGCTCTTGTAAGGCATTGAAACTATGCAGAGGGTTAAATATTGAATGGTCTGCACTGGAGAATGCAACACGCCCTGTTCCGTCTAACCGCAGAGGTGAAGACCACTTCATCCTCTTAACTTGACCCAGATCAGCTTCCTAACCTTACAAAGAGGGATTCAGCTCGGGGATGTGGAACCAGGGGAGGGGGCATTCCATTCTTATGGAATGACTTGATTTATTGATCAACCAAATCTAATCGACTCAGGAATTTGTATGACTTTCTCTACAAATACAGTTATGAGGACGGTGTAAAACATAAGTGGGATACAAAACGATTAAGTTTGCAATAAAAATAAAAAAAGTGTAATTTATTGGGAATTTAAAGCAAGCCTCATGTCTGATCAGGACATGGGGAAAAAAAAAGGAAACATTTGGCAACGGCCAAAAAATTGTGTGGTAGATATCTCAGAACTGATTGGGTTAATTGTCAACAGTTCAGTTAGATAATCGGGTAAATTATACTATGGTGGTAGTAGTAAAGTTACAGGTGTGCTTGTGGGTCCGCAAATGTGAGAAGTCACCATTAATTTGTCGACAATACGGGCAGCGTTCCTTTTAGAATTATAAATATCCCTCTAGAAAAAATAAAATGTTTTTTTCTATCCCAAAACAATATTCAAATACATTGATGTGTTTAGGTGACTCTTTGCTTTTGTATCAAACTTCTCTCTCTCTCGTGTTGTTTCCTGGTCACCATACCTGTGTGTGTTGTGTGTTTCAATATTTGAGTCGCTGTAGATAAATTAGTGTGTCAGTTATTACTTTAAGGGCTTATGAAGATTGAATGTGAATGGTTAATACAAACTCTCATACTTTCCTCTTACTAAACGTACTCTTTGTGGAACTCTGGGTTCTTGCCTGGTGTATTTTTAGCACATGTGTCATGTTTTCTTTGCCGCTCTGAATGGTCTCAGTTTATTGTGTGTTACCGTTGGAGGACCTGGTTTCAGATCAGATACCATTCACTCGGTAGTTTTTGGCTCGTCTTTGCCACAAATTCCCACATTCCACCCTCTGTCTGTTAGGGTGTGTTTTTCTAGGTGCTCCATCTGTAGCTGCAGTAAATAAAGGCCATGATGTTGAAAGAAGCATCAGATATGTCCATTACGCAGTACTATCTTTTAAAATGAGGGGAAAGTAAATGCGTGCACTCATTAGAACACTTTCTTATTACCTCTGGTGCAGTTTTTGTGGTTGGTTTTTGGGATCCGGCTCCAGTAGGATGTGGATTATGATAGTGGGGCACTGTTAGTGCTCTGGAGCTAAAAGGGGAGCTTTGTTTAGTGCAAAGTTAAATGCAAGTTTTCCCCCTCCTTCGCCTGCTCTTTCGCTTTGACTTGAAGCTGGTTCCTTAATTAAGTAACCGACTCCAAAATTTCAAATTGTACACACGTGTGCCATCACTGGATCGAGCTGAAAGTCCTCGCAGCAGATTCATTGCTTTGCTCCAACTGGCCAAAAAGTCAGTTTGCCTCTGTGGAGCCTCTGGCTAAAACATGCATTTGGTTAAGCATGGTTAAGTAGATGGGGGAATCTTCAATTCCACTGTCTAGACTTCTGTTTCCTTACCAAGATGCGCGGTGCTTTGGATTTAGCTTCTCTGTCCGATTTGCTTCCGTGAGTTCAGCTGTCAGCACGGGCGGCTTCATAGGAATCGGTGAGGCAGTGAGTCACCAGACCTTTGCCTCCATTTTTTTTTTCCATTGAATTGATTCATCGCTGATGCTGCGCTCACAATGGCCTGGAGATGAAAGATGTTACTGGAGGCTTCTGTTAGGACGCTCTCTCTCCCTCCACTCTGTGTCCACCACGGCCTTTGTGTCATTTTCACCGCCCATTAATAAGCCGCGTCAATACTCAGAGGGGCTTAAGCTTTTCAGAACCCCCGCAAATACCGGAGACGTGTGACACCTTACCCACGGCGGACATTCATGTTATCTACCTCAAAGCAGCCCTTGTGAACATCTGCCCATTGTTTCACGGCTTTTGTGTTAAACTCAGATGCACTTTGCTGATAACTACCAAAAAAACCTGCAGGGCTGCAGTTTTTTGACAATTGTCGTACACAGATGTCAGATTTCTTTATTCCATGTAGCTTATGCTGTTTGCAGATGAGGGGAAGACTTGAGCATTACTCGGAGGGGCGGATCAAAGTCTATTTAGAACATGATGAAGCAAAATTTTAGTTAGGCAGATATCCTTTTTTTTTTGCGGAGGTCGCTGTGATCAGTCATTAACCAGGCATCTGGGAGACTTGCAATTTCTCTGTGATTGGGACCAGAGTTTGGCCAACACTCGACAGTCATTGCTGCTTTTGTTGAACTTGTGAAACTAATGTTTGACCCGCGTCTAGTTTTGGACATGAATGAGTGCGTTATCTCCCGAAACGAGGTGAAAGCATCGCAGCCTTCTCTGAATATACTAGTGCCTCTGACTTTGCTCCAGAGTTCACTTCAATCGGCCGGTCTGTCTCTGAGAAAGCAGAGCCCCGTCTGTTTACTCTGCAAATACACCCCCTTACTAAACATACACAAACACACACAACTCCCCCCCCCCGAGGCAAGGCTGTGTGCAGTAGTGGGCCACGCTTGAGCTCCAAACCCCTACCCATGAGATCTGCTCTGTTCCTCTGTGTCAGCCGCTGAACTCCTCCTGTTTTCCCACAGGTCAATGTTCGGGTCACCACCATGGACGCTGAGCTGGAGTTTGCCATCCAGCCCAGCACCACCGGCAAGCAGCTGTTTGACCAGGTAGAGTTCACATCGGTATTCGCTGATTTGAGGCAGCGCTGTGTAAATATCTGTCCGGAGGGGAGAGTCGCTGAGTGATTTTGGAGATGTCAAGAGGCGTCGCCATGCAGATGGGAACGTCTCACACCGATGCGCCGACAGATATAATCCACCAAATTTAAAGCCCACATAAAATGATAGTTTATGGTCAACACCTGGTTATTTTCTAGTCTCGAAACTGTTGCATCAAAGCACCAAAAAACAAAAACAAAAGAGAAGTATTAAAAGATTCAATAAGTAAAAGCAGCCAAATTCCCATTATGGGATCTGTGTACTTCAGAGGGAGCTGACTGAAAGGTAACCCTGTGTAGTAGATGAGTCTTTTAAAAAAATGCTAAATCTAACATGATTCACCAGGACATATCAGAGCAATCCTATACCCAGCTGGCAAAAATACAGATCTGTATTTTCCCGTGTGCTTTCAAAACTGACTTTTCCCCCCCTTTCTCCGATCGGTTTGGATTCTTCCCGTAATCAGTGACAAAATATTTGCAAGCTGTTATCACAGTTGTCTTTTCATAGGCTTCAGGAGTTCTCACCAGTCACTGTCCTCCTGGTCAGGTTCAGGGACTATTGCTGCGTGTCAGATTGCTGTAATTATAAGGGTGATGGCTTTCGTGTTGTTTTAAGTTTTGAATCCAGTCTGTGAGGTAAGTTTCACAGAGTCGGCAGACAGTGAAGGGTGTCAGCTCTGTGAGAGAAACTTAATCCTTTAGTAGCTGTCACAGTCAAGTTTAGGACACTCTGATGCAAATGAGTTCAATAAAAAAAAGATTTACTAATTATCAATTACTGGAACTGGTTTAAAAACATGTTGCCATGTTTGTAGACTGTTGGAGACTTTAGCTATTCTAAATGCATTTCCTATTTATTCCCTTTGTGCAGTGGACAGTTGCAGATTAAAACATGTATTTTCTTTTAATATTCATGTGCTTAGTCGAGAATAAAGTGCGTTTTTCTTCCTGTTGTGGTTTTCTATTGTGGAGTCCAGTTAGACTGAGAGGTGGCTGTCGGTAGTATGAGCACCTCTGTGGCTTCATGTCGGTGACGGGGGAGTAAAGGCATTGTTTCAGCCACTTCCTGCATAACCCGTTTTTCAGCACAATCGTAGCAACTGTGTCTGCACGTCAAGGGATTCATCCACTCAGCTGAGCTGCTTTATCAAAGTTTTAGGTTAAGAGATTTTCATGCAGTTGTAGTCGAGGCAACATCCCCTAAAAAAACCAAACATAAAACAAAATTTATTAGGAAAAACTGTCTTTCAAACGGTTGTGTTGGTCAGTTTGTGAGGCCAAATGCTCTGTGAGTGTTTTTGTTAAATGAAACAATCACCTGTCGGCCCTCTTTGACATCTCTCTATTTATAGCTGTTGGTTTCTCCACCTACTTGTTAGATTGGCTCCCAGTGGGGTGTTCCACTGATAATCACCCCCTCCCTGTGACAGTGTCAAAGACAGTTCAGTGCTCTATTTTCATACAAAGACACAATTCATTAGTTTGAACATGAGAGAGTAGCTCCCCGAGTCCCTTGGCTGACATTTAGCCTCAGTGTGCCTGAAGTCTGACACTGGCTTCATTTAGTTTAAAGTAGGTGGCTCGGCGGTAATCGGCAGCAGAAGTGCCATCAGAGTGTTGAACAGGTTCCGTGGAAATGATGAGTAACAGCAGTGAGCTCATTCTGGTGTGGTGTGGCCGGTGTGGTCAACACTGATCATAGCCTTCGTCCCTGTCATGCAGCTCTTAAAAGAGAAACGCCTGCCACTCCCCTACACACCCTCCTGCAGTTTCACTTCCATATGACTGTGAACTGATGTCTTTCACGATGTATAAAGCCACTCTTGAAAAGAATAATTAACATTGTTATTAAAGTCTTTATTATTTTTATTTTCTTTTTTTCCTTTAAGCTGCTGCCCCGCCATACTGGTTTTCATAAATAAATAAATTAAATCACAAGAGTTACCATAACTATTTAAAAAAACACAGTAACATTTTAAGCAGTTCAACAATGTATTGAACCTCGTCCAAGTTCAGATGATTTGTCTGACAGGTGCCAGAAGCAAAATGTGAAACTCGCCGAGGCAGCCCAACCCACACGTCACAGTTTCATTAAAAAACAACTGCAGATTTGTTCTAAAATGTGGCTGGGAGTGTTTTTGTCCTGTCAAATATTAGATTTAATCATTTAATTTAATAATGTAATCCAGACAATTTACAGATATTAAACCAGGAAATACCTGAAATGTGGTTTAAGAGTACTGTAATAACCTTATTTTCCTGGTGTTTGACCCACCACTGGTTCCCACCTTGACACACACATTTTTGTGCTGGTGGGTTCCTTGAATGGGGCCCTACTAGGTAAACTCCTCCCTGCCCCTCCTCAGTCTCTGGAGGATGCTGTTGGCGATGCTGTTTCAGGCATTCCCCTCCCACCACAGGCCCTTGGCTCCCACAAGACTTCCACTCTCTGTCTGACTGTAGAATGCACTGCGCCAGCAGCATGGACGTCAACCTAAAACGAGTCTGAAATGTCCAGTGACCCATCATCTGTAAAGGTTTAGCTTCTTTGGCCCGGCTGCCTATGTTTCACAGAGTTCATTTTCACAATGGTTGACAGAACCAAGCAGCTCCCTGCACGCTGCTTGTGAAAGCTCATTCATATTTGTATCGGAATGAGATATTTGGCATACAACAAAACACAAAAAAACGCATAAAAAGTTACATTAACAAGTAATTTTTCAGATGGATTTGATGAACTGCAAACCACTGTAATGTTACATTAAAGTCAAAGCAACCTTCCTAAATAACCTGCAGCAGAGTAGTTTGATTTAATCTTCCTCAATCAGACTGCATTTACGGCATTTTATTTTAGCCTGTTTATCTCCTGGTGAGGTAAATCACAGGGCTGTTTATGGTAGATAAGCAATCACAAAGTTGCAGCAGTCATTTTTACTGTGGAGTGTAAAACTGATGATTGATGTCCGTACGGTTACCCATTTTCCTGCGTCTTTAACTGCGGACCCTAAAGCAAAAACCCAACATGAAAGGCCTGTTTGTTTTCTGCAACCTCATGAGTTTCATTACAGGTGATGCAGCCCGGGAGTGCTCTCTCGTTTCAGGCCTCCTGTGGAGCTCGCTGCTAAATGCAGTCCATTAAAAGGCGGCTGAATCAAAGCCATTCATCTTTGCTCCCGCAGCTCAGCCGGACACCAAGACACAGGGGCAGTTTGAATTTAATTTGAACCTTCCCAGGAGCTCATCATTGGAAACAGATTTGGCTGCCGTGATAGCATGCAACTTAGCACCTCACCTGGTGGAAGGGTGCGGAATTTGGCAGCGATGCTTTTAAAAAGGGCCCAGCAGCAGAGGATTAAAGGGAAACTTAGTGACACATGCATTCGCAGAAAACCTGATTTCCAACTCTGTGCTGTAGGAAAAACTTTTTTCTCCGGGCTGTAAAGAGACTCTGGTTTCTCTTTGAGAGAAGCCAGTGGAAAGTGGTAACTCGTCCTGCAGCCGAAGCGATTATTCCAGAGCTATGACGGAGTTTTCCGACTCTGCCACATCTGCAGGGTCAGAAACGGGTTGTTGTAAAATATCTTCAAACTGCTGACCTTTTACAAAAAGAAAAAAAAATCCCGTTTGGTTTGATGTGAAGGGTTTCCAATGCGGTCGAAATCAAAACTGGCTTCATGATCTGCAGCTGAAGATGTTAGTGGGGAGCAGCAGTTTTGAAATGGCCACGGTGTCTAGCCCTCTCTGTTCGTTCCTGGAGTCGGAGACTGCCATGCAGCACACCCTCCTCACACAGTGTCACTCCCCCTCAGCCGTCAAACAATAGAGCTGCTTTGTCCCAGCAGCATGTGTCACCAGACGCCGGTGTGAACCGAACGTTTCTGAGGATGCACTTAGGATCACTCATCTGTTTTTTCATCCGATCTAATGGAACCGTTTTGTAGTTTTCACTTGAGTTTTTTGGGGGTTGGACGAAACAAGAAAAGATTGACAATTCATCATAGGATCGAACAAACGGTCAGGAATACATGGATGGTTTGCAGTGGTCCACATGTCTGTTTTATTTAGGTGATATCAGACATGCAGTATTTAGGGAGACCACAGTTTGTCTCTGCTTACTGCGTCGCCTGCTTCCAAACTTTCAGCATGGGAATGTGTAATTCTATGAGGGTTGCCCAGGAGATTAGTCTGGGACTTGATCATATCAGGTTAAATTCTTCAGATTCTGCCTTTTGAAACAGGTCATTTCTCAGCTTCTTGCTTGTTTGAAAAACTTGACCATGTGTCAGCAGAGGCATTATTCCTCATTTCGTCTCTTTTCTGTTGAAAGGCTGTAATTGCTAAGTCTAGCAATATTTTATACACAGAAAACATTATTCATCATAACAACAAAATCAAACATTTGCTGCAGCCACATCTAATCATGCCTTTTCATTGGGCAGGTGGTGAAAACCATCGGTCTACGGGAGGTGTGGTACTTCGGCCTGCGGTATATGGACACCAAAGGTTACCACACCTGGCTGAAACTGGACAAAAAGGTAAGAACTGTTTTGAAAAAAAACGAATATTCATTTTAATTGGACTTTGATAAAAGGATGAAAATGTGGCACTCTATGTTTTGGAGGAAAACCTTCTCCGAAGTGTTTTTCTTATGCACCACTGAAGCCCAACAGCAAACTCGTGTGTGTTTAAACCAGGCAAAAAGCATGCTAATATATGTAGCAGAATGTAAAAGTTGCTGCTTTGCATTCTGTAATCATTAACATGGGTCACTGGGAGACAGAACGTTGGGCTCGCATTAGTCAGCCGCAGTAAAACTCCTCTGTGTGCTGACATGGCGCTGCAGCTAATCAGCACAATGCAAAGCTCAGACGGGAATATTCCTGACCCCATTCTCTCGGTCCATACTGCTTGGTTCCTGTTTTGAAATTAGAGGAAGAGGGCACATTGTGCAAACGCATCCAGTAACTGGCAGCTAATAAAGTCAGTTTTCAACTGACCGAGAGGCTAAATCCTCTTTTGTTATGATCGCTGCAACACAGTGTGGTATACACTTAAAATGGGACTGAAAAACTGTGCTGTTCAGTTTTAAATTGAGGGAAAAACATAATAACTCTCGTAGTTTTGTTTATTTTTGGATAATGGTGTGAAACCAGTCTCACTCTGTCTACCATCAATCTCAGAAAGAAAGAGGGCAAAAATTGAGTTGCTCAAGGGTCAAAGAATGGCCGCTCACTGGGGTGTTTTGATTCTCCGCAGGTGTCGTCTCAAGACGTGAAGAAGGAGAACCCGCTGCAGTTCAATTTTCGTGGCAAGTTCTTCCCAGAGGACGTTTCTGAGGAGCTCATCCAGGAAATCACCCAGAAGCTCTTCTTTCTCCAAGTGAAAGAAGGCATCCTCTCCGACGAGGTGTACTGTCCACCGGAGACGGCCGTGCTGCTGGCCTCTTACTCTGTTCAGGCCAAGTTTGGCGACTACAACAAAGAAGTCCACCGGCCCGGATACCTGCTGTCCGAACGGCTGCTGCCTCACAGGTGAGGGATTTATACACAGAGGGTAAAATATTGAAAAATAACCATAGCAGAGGAATTCTTTGGCAAAGACCAGAACATTATGTCGATCACATACAGTTTTATACATTTATACGAATGGCACATTCTAAAAGACCTATTATTTGTCCTATTCTGGCTTCCTGCTTGTGGCACACCCGTTGAATGATAACCAGGTATAGTTTAGACAAATGTAGCCCTCATTTTGGGTGTGTCAAAGACTGGGGACTGTAATTAAAGCATACAGTCCTAACACTTGCAACAATATGATACAAGCTCACTTGTCATTCCTTAGTAATACATATCCTATTGCACTTTCCATCCTTTGTGAGAAGTAACCAATACACTAAACAAGGAAACATTACAGGTGATGCAGTGTTTTTTCTTGGTATAATGTGGTCGCATGAGAATAGAGTTCATATTGTTGCATATCAAATTGTCTGGTTTGTATTTTATTTTATCAACATGAAAATGTGGCTAATTATTTTTCCTGTTTGTATCTAGAGTCCTGGAACAGCACAAGTTAACTAGAGAACAGTGGGAGGAGAGGATTCAGGTGTGGCATGAAGAACACTGTGGAATGATGAAGTGAGTTCACGTACTTGATCTTGTGTCATAATGACGCCTCGACATCTGCTTGACATTTCCATTTCTGAAATTTTGAATCGTAAAGACTGATCCTGTTCTTGGTCTTCTTGCAGGGAGGATGCAATGCTGGAGTACCTTAAGATTGCCCAGGACCTGGAAATGTATGGCGTCAACTACTTTGACATCAAGAACAAGAAGGGGACGGAGCTGTGGCTGGGAGTGGACGCACTGGGGCTCAACATTTATGAGAAGGAAGACAAGTAAGCACTCTATTCTACCAGACGCTTGGAGGACACAGCTATGCTGTTGGTTTGTGTTCTGGCTCTTGTTCACAGCATGTCCCTGGCTGCAGCCCTGTGATTAAGAGCTAAACTGGCTTGGCGAGGTCCATGTCTGTGCCTGATCATTATTTATGTTCCTGTGCAGATAGTGTGACAGGAATAACAATAAAAAACAAGGACTGTGAAATTGAGAATCAACCCTTTAGTTTAATCTTTTGTCTGTCTTACTATGTTGGTACCTTTTTTTTTAAAATAGATATAATAATAAATTAAATAAAGGCTTTTCATTTATTTAACTTTTTAAGAATAGATAATAATAAAAAAGAGAAATGGTCTAAACAACCACTTTACTTATTTCCATAGTCTGATATTCAGAGATTTCTGTAAATGCGACTCTTGTACTTCTTGGTTGAAACATGAGGTGTCTTTGGACCAACAGTGAGATCACACAGAGGTCCTACACTGGAAAGTTTCCATATAGTTTGTGTCTCTTTTTTTTGCACACTGCAGGAACTGAAGATGAAGTAGAATGAAATCTGTGACTGTCCAATAATTGGCAAAGTAAAACGTAAAAAAAAGTCCTCTTTAAAAAGGTGTTTCTTGTGTAATTTGTATCTTGGACTTTTTGTGGGCCTGGGTTCAGAAGTGTAACCTTTCATTTTTAAGATTTTGGTGTGTTCTGTGATAACTGTATGTGGGTTAAAAACGGTTATTGTTCTACATATTGCTGCATTAATCCTGTTTATTTCCCCCTGACTGTCTTACTCGAGCTCTTTAACTCTCAGATAAACATGCTAAACTAGAATCATATCCAGGTGTCAGTCAGTTTGCACTTTTGTTGTTTAAAACACAGAAAAAATGTAAATAGACCTGTTTTGTATCCTCCTTTGACAAGTTTTTGGCATTGCTTATGGGGGAATCTTCATTTTGGGATGAGTTGGGGAGTGGTTCTGGCATCCGCTCTGTCTTTGTGATCTTGTTGGGAGTTTAAAATACAGGACGGTGTTAAAAACCTGTCTATTGGCTGAAACGAGTTCTGACATCTCCCGTGGTGGATGGCGTCGTTTGTGGGGGTCGGTGGAGTGAAGTACACCGTGTCAAAGGGGCGCTTCAGCCCAGGTGACTTGCCTCTCAGTCACTGACCCTGCGCTGGAAACTGTGCCAGTGCTGCTCCGGCCGTTGTTGTAGATCAGATCTTTTCCCACATCGAGGTGGCTGCTCTGTCTGAGCTTTCTTGCCAAACAGTGTGGTCTGAAGTCTGCCAGTGGAAGAACTGAGCACAGCACAGTCATGGCAGGGTAATGACATAGTTAAGCCAGCAAGCTGCTTCATAAGGGCCCCTACTTGAACCTTTACTGACTGGTTCTTTGTCTACTTGAGTCTAAATGCTTTAATTAACGGGAGTTCTATTGTTTTAAAATGTATTCAGGCTTTATTTAGCTTTGCTATAACCTAACCAGAGTTTGGAACTAATAACGAGAGGGAGAAACTCAGGAACGTACCAAGTCCAAGTGTAAGTCTGTGCTTTTATGTGCCTCTCTGGATCAGCAAAGAAATGCCTCTCCTCCACGGTGCCCTCTGCTGTTACCATGGCTACACCAACTGGTTTTTCAAGCTGTGCGGCACTTAAGAATGTGAGGCTAACCTCATACGCTGTCTCTGCAATGAGGGCAGCTGGCCCACAATGCAACAGCACAGCCAAGGCTTAACTGGGCCGGAGCACGCACTTGGCCGAACCCCTTACGCTTTTTTTCTTCTAGCTTTACAAGGCTTCAGTAGTCGGTCTCAGTCACAGACCCTCGGAACATGCACGTATCATTTAATTTGATGTGGCATACATGATGAATGAACACAAAAAGTTTTGAGATGATTTCCAAGCAGGTTGCACTAGTATCTGAAAATATTTTTTATTCAAATCTGTGACAAACTGGTTAGGGGAGATGAGACATAAATTGGTAATTAGATCTAATAAGTGTAAATGTTAATTCATTATTCTTTGGGTCTCTGCATTGTTAATTGAACTAAACAAATTCACTATACGCCATCATTTTCCAGTAATTGATACTTTCTAGACTAAACAATTGGACTGGTTAAGTAATCACATTTTATGATTAATCTTGAATACTCTGTTAGTTTCACATTCTTTAGTTTCTTTTAGTTAAGATGATAAAAAAAGATGTTAAGATGAATGGCCTTTCGAACCCACATGTTTTCCTTCCATCCGATTGGCAGTTTCCTCCAACTCAAATTCATTGATAAAGCACAGCTCAGGAAACCACAAGTCTCAGACTGAAGTTCAGTAGATAGCTTCATGTTATTTTCTCAGTGCCACAAGCATGTGTCGGGGCCAGTGAAAAGCCTAAACTAGAGGTCAGTTCTAGTTTAGGCTTTTCAGTTTCACCACCGGGAGTTTCGGTGGTGGACGGCTGCTGATTTGGATTACACCACTACTGGCTTGTCCATTTTTACACGGCTGCTTTGTGTTGTGTTGAAAGAAACTGGCCGTGGTTCAGTTTGTCTGGCACAACAGAGCAGTGAGCCACCACACCCCAAAATTCATCCCTTATTCCTGTTCGCTGTCAGCCAGAGAGAGGATTAGCTGGACAGCTTGATGAGGTGAATGTCGATGGCATGTGATTGAAATGTCGAATTGTCTGATTGGGTAGACATTATCCTAAAGCTTCCCTATTGGTGTAATAAATACTGTAAAGCTGCTTTGGACGGATAGTTTCAGCACAACTGAAGCCAGTGTGTTTATAGAAAATGTAACTCTCAATTCACTCTTAAATCCAGTTTTTTTTTTTTTTCTTTAAAACTTCGGTCTCACCAAAAGCAAAAGTGACTAAATAAAAATCTAATATGTGAAATATGATACTATCAACTAAAGTTGATTCACTTTCATTCAAATGATGATGCTCACAGTGCATTTCAGTTTTGGAATCATTATAATGTGGTCTATTGTCAAACCTCCCACAAAGATCCACTCATACAAAGTCATCAGTCAGGTCGATGTCCTCAGGCAGCAGCTTTGTGTAAAAAAGCAGAGACAATTATCACAGTGTGGAGATTTAGAGTCTTGTAAACTATTAATAAAACTGCTGAATCTATTCTAGAGGAGACAGGAAACCTGTGTAAATATGATAAAAAGTGGGTGTGACATGATCTGTCTGGTTGACTTCCAGCAGTTTAAGTATTGTTCTCGTTCTTAAAGGAGAAATGAAACTATGAGTAACAACTACTGCATTGTACATCTGATGGAGAAAGGTGTGTGCTACAATTGCTACAATTGTTTCGCTTGCCCTTATCCTGTATGTTCTAAAAAAAAAAAAGGTGTATTTTTGCTTTTAAATTATTCAAATATTTCATTTTCTGAGAAGAATACATGCTATTTTCTTACACCTCCTGTTTGTTCCCTTTCATTCATTACCGATGCATATTTCTATGGTTTCATTTAGAAGTGTAAAACAGGTAGGTGGGGAACATCACAGTGTCAAGTCCTTCTCAGCTTTCGCTCAGTCTGTGTGTAAACTGGAGGCAGGACGGGCCTGGTTCTCCTTCTGTGTTTGTGCATGCCTCTTCAATAACATTCCTGTTTTTCTTTTTTCCCCCTTTCTTTCAGACTGAGCCCAAAGATCGGCTTTCCTTGGAGTGAGATTAGAAACATTTCTTTCAACGATAAGAAGTTCATCATTAAACCCATTGACAAAAAATCCCCAGTGAGTGAACTGTCGTCCTTTCTCATTTCGACCTTCTACCTCTTCATAAAGCCGCCTCCCCTTTAAACCTTTTCGAACTGATACTGTCTGAATTATGAGATATTTGCTTAGCGCAGTCAAGCGTACACAAAGTCAGATCTGCTTTCTGGGTCATGGCACCTGTGCTTGACCGCAGAGGCACACAAAAATAGCTGATACAGAGCTTATCTCGGTACCTTGGAAACGGTCTTTTTGCAAAAAAAAATAAAAATTAGCAAGGTATGCAGAGTTGTTTTAAGCTGAAAATGGACATTCAGCTGTTGCTCTCCTATGCTTTTGGTCTTATGCCTCTGTGTTTCCTCTTTTATTTACAGGACTTTGTGTTTTATGCGCCACGACTGAGGATCAACAAGCGCATCCTGCAGCTTTGCATGGGCAACCACGAGCTGTACATGCGTCGTCGCAAGCCCGACACCATTGAGGTGCAGCAGATGAAAGCCCAGGCCAGAGAGGAGAAGCAGCAAAGACAGATGGAGAGGTATGCAGCGTCTTGGAAAGTTGGAGTAATGTGAGGATTCAAAATATGTCTAATCATCTCGGCACGGAGAGTGTGTTGGTCGTTTACCTGTCGGACTGTGTCTCGATGGGGAACAGGATAAGATGTCCATTTCAACTCTCAATGTCATGATTTAGCATCGCTGAGCCAAATGAATGGTTCTGCTTTCTTTTTAGTAGGTCAAAGGTCATTAGATCCACCCACCGAAAGCACATAAACAAATTGGAAATCTTTTTCACTTAATTTTTTCGGATACGCTGGCACATTCATCTTTCATGCTCAGATGTGTCCTTTAATGTAACTGAATGTATTCAATGCAAGAATAGCTGCATTTCTGTTAAAAACGATCCAATGAATATGGGACCTTAGATTGTGAGATCTTTATCGCCTGAAGAAACCAGAGATAGACCAGTGGAGCATTTCGGGTTGTAAACAGAGGCACACTTTTCTGGTGAAGCTTGCCTACTGTGCTGGCTGAACTGAAAGTGAATATGACCCAGGTCTCAGCAGCAACTGTCGGCCCACTGTCTGTCCCACACAGCTGTTCAAACACGCTGACGTAACGCATCACACACAACGCTGTGAATAACAAAAGGAGAAGCGGGAGATTTTCAGCGGTCTTAATTTAGACGCCCGGGCCGGTGTCCAAAGTGTTGCAGGAGTTTTATGATGTGTCCCATCAGAAAGCTTGTTTAAACATAAACAAACCCTGAGGAAGACATCTGGCAGTGTTGGAATATTGCACGGAAATGAAAATATATTAAATGAGAATACACATAGCCACAGTAAATAGGAAAAACGTTGTAAGTGTAAACATTTTTAAATTGAAATCTTCTTTAACACATTACTTATTACTTGAGACAATTTAAATAATCTACCTTTCTGATGACTTTAATCAGATGGTTTAACTTTTCTTACATCCTGAGCTTTCTTCATACATCCTTTAAAGCTGAAGTCATACAATCTCAAATCCCACGACTTTTACCTTTTAAATGTTTGCTTTTATTAGACTTTCTGTGACCATCACAGGCGTTTTGGCTTCGACCAGCCACGCAGGGCAGCTCCTTCCAACGCGCCGGGGTCCCCTGTCCGCGTGTGCCTAACTGCTTTCGTGCGTGACCGTGCATCAACCCTGTCAGCCCCTTTGTGCGGGCTCACACTGGCTGTGTCTTATCTGTAGGGCCCAGCTGGAGAACGAGAAGAAGAAGCGAGAGGCCATAGAGAGAGAGAAGGAGCAGATGGAGCGGGAGAAGCAGGATCTGATGATGAGGCTCTTCCAGTTTGAGGAGAAGACCAAGAAGGCAGAGAAAGGTGTGACGGCTCATCAATCACTTGCTGCAACCCTGAGGTTGAAAAGTTGTTTGTGTGGAAAAATAGTTTGCATATCTGTGTGTCGTTATGCTGGCAGATACTGTAAACGGAGGGCTAACAGGTTATTCTGTACATCTGTTCCTTGTTTTGCAAATGCAAAAGAAATATTAATGGAGGCAGACAGGTTGAAACAATGGCAGATGGACATATTTGATTCCACCAAAAGCAAAGTATGGGTCTCGACTACACTAGTTTGGCCTTTTTCTTTTCCTTTAAGTAGCCAGAACATAAAAGATGGTGTGCATTTGTCTCCATGTTGCATGAGATAAGCTTAGAAAAGTATAGCAGAGGACTTCCACTTTCTTTTTTACACATTCCTGAAGCTGTGCGTAATTTTTATGAACCTGAATCAACTGGCTGGAGAGGTACAGCTGTTTTTCTTATTTGTTCGGAGTTTAAATGCAATACGTTGCCCCCCCCTCCTGAATTTCAGATTTGCAGGACCAGCTCAGTAGAGCCATGACGCTGGAGCAGGAGAGGAGGAGGGCCGAGGAGGAGGCCGCCCGTCTGGAGGCGGAGCGTCAGGCTGCCCTGCTGGCTAAAGAGGAGCTGGCCCGCCAAGCTGAGAGCCAGAAGAAGACTCAGGAGCAGCTGGTCGGTATTTTAATGGCACTGTTTTGTCATTTAGAGTATAAAGCAAAGGTTGTAAATCCTCAAAACCCTTCTTCGACAACATTAGATGAGAATATTTATTGACAGCATTCTGGAATTTGACAACAGGTTTGCGAGGTCATTTATTAGTTTTACAAAGGTCCCTATCTGTCACATGCAGTTGTGTTTTTTTTCGGTGGATGCCTAGCCACTGTGGCTGAAGACAAAACCAAAATTGTACCTTCAGCTGGAATACAGGCTGTTTACCTCAGAGTAACAGCCCGGTCACCTCGAGGTGCCGTCTGGGGACCACCCAGGAGCCTGTGTTTGTCTTTAACAGCCCACAGTGCAGGGCAGCAGCTCCCAAACAGCAGCTGTTTTATGGGGAAGGGTCCTGCTGGGACGGCCCTTTTACCTCACCCCCGTTAGGATGCTTGCGCGATGGATCAAGTCTCCATGCGATGTTACAGAGCCTCCGTCCCACCTCATCACGTTTACAATGTTGGAAAGCATCTAGCTTAATGACAGACAAACCCAGGGTTGCCGAATTGATTGATGGGACTTGATGACAGCAAAACTCAAGCAGTGCGAAAATTGTTCCTTGTCCAATAGTTCCTTGTTTGGAGTTTTGAATGACTTTTGTTTCCGATTCCTCTGTACCGGTAGCACAGGATCTAGATACGCGTTGTGCTGTTGTCTCGGACGGGCGGTGAGCTCATCTGGGGACAAATTGGGGGAGAGCTTCCCCTGTATTGTGATTATTTAAATGGAATACAGCAAATAGAACACAGACAAACTGAATAAGAAATAATGCGAGAGGGTGCAACTAATTCGTGATGAAAAATGATTAAAGCGGAAGTCTACCGTAGGGTTGAGACATGATCGTCATAGAAACCAAGAAAACAAACAAAGCAATGTTAGAGAGCCGCTTGTTTTTTTTTTTTTGTTTTTTTTTTTATGAATCACAGACAGTGCCTGTGGGTTCTTTGTGAACAGAGAGACCCATTTGGTTCTTAATTAGTGACTTAAACCATCTGTAATTTGGATAAGAAGTCGCATTTTGTTCCGTTCCTTTTCTTGACTGTACCAAATGTGGTGTCTTGCATCAGGCTGCAGAGCTGGCGGAGCACACAGCCAAGATTTCGCTTCTCGAGGAGGCCAAGAGACGCAAGGAGGAGGAGGCAGACACATGGCAGCTCAAGGTCAGCGCTTTAGCTGTTGTTAAGTTCATTTAAGCAGATAAATTCAGCACGTCACAGGAATGAAACTGGACTTGCTTTGTCACAAATCTCTTACTGAAACTGGAAGAGAAACGCGACATCGTGGCTGTCCACATAAAGTTAAAAAAAACCCTCTGTTGTCTCCAGGCCCGAGAGGCTCAGGATGACCTGATCAAGACCAAGGAGGAGCTGCATATGGTGATGACGGTGCCCCCACCCCCTCCGCCCCCTCCCATGTACGACCACCTGGACGACAACAGCGACAGCGAGGAGAACGCCAGCACGAACAGCGCCGACCTGCAGATGGACGGCATCAACGACCACCGCCAGGAGGAGGACCGCCTGACGGAGGCCGAGAAGAACGAGCGTGTCCAGAAACAGCTGAGGGTGAGGCAATGCACCACCGCCAGACATCAGGCCACAGAGATAGCTGAAGTTTAGCCAAAACCAGACTATGGGTAAAGAATCTGTGTTGGACTGATGATGTCTGTTATAGAAGCAAAAAATCAGTTTACTACCGATGAGTCTGTGCTTCCATTAAGCACATCTGATCTAGAAACCAAACCAAAAAGCAAACTTTGCCAAGGTCATTTTTTCATTTTTTATATCAGACTAACTGAATTTCAGATTGAAGGATTTTCCTGTTCCAACTGTTCGTTTTGCTTCTCGTGCCTTCTTAAATTTCCACAAAGATTTTAAAAGTGACGCAATGAACGAGAGCAGAAGATGGTGGTGGTTTTATACAAAGGCCAGGACAGCCCAGCAGGGACAGAGAGGAAGATGTTTCAGTGTCATGATGACATTACTGTGGCCTGTTTGCGTGTCAGTGGGACACGGCTGGTTTTGTTATCTGATCTCACCAGGCTTCTTCTTGTCCCCCCTCAGGCACTGACCTCAGAGCTGGCTCAGGCTCGTGATGATTCCAAGAACACCCAGAACGACCTCCTTCACACTGAGAATGTGCGGGCCGGCCGAGACAAATACAAGACCCTGCGACAGATCCGGATGGGCAACACCAAGCAGAGGATTGATGAGTTTGAAGCCTTATAAGAAGCCTCTGGCGCTCAGCCGCGTGCCCTTTCTGAATGGTTACTCCGTTTTGTTTCTCTGCTGATGCAAACACACTCACCCAAAGACATAATTATCACATGGTGGCTACAGACTAAACCGAAGCACAGAAATGAACTCCTGTTTGCCCCGGCAGGTTGCAGGTCTTTGCAAAACCTTAGTGCCAAAACCCCCTCTCGCTCTTTCTCCTCTTTATTTTAAAACTCTTAATTGACTTGATGAGGTCAACCCAAAAAAATGTTGTTGTTTTTTTGTTTTTTTTACTCAGAGCTGCAATAAAGATGGAGTAGGCTAAATCTTTTATCACAAAGTGTGCACCTAGAAATATATAATAAAAACCTTGTTCTTTTCCACATAACCTCTCATGAAGAAATGGGCAGTTTTGTGTTTATAGCGACCACTCAGAAAAGGGAAGACAGTATATGCAGGAAAATGTATGTTTGTTTTGAATTATTTTTTAACACTTCCATTTATGTTTAATACAACTTTTTAAAGTAGATTAAAATCATGTCTAGTTTGATATTTATACTGTATATGGGAGATTAAAAAGGGTATTTCATTGTGGTTTGTATATTTTTGCTATCTTCTAATGATAAAGCATTTATGTTTAAAAGGTTTTATATATTGACCACAGTAATAAGTCTCATTTAGATCACCTAATTAAAGAGATTTAATTGTAAATTATTATTATTTTTTACTGTAGGACAAATCCAGCTGCATGCCATTTAAAAATCAGATGAGGAGATTGCTAGCTGCCTCCCGGTACTCTTGATTAGCATTTTTACCATGCTTTTTGCCGCACACGTCACTGGGATAGTTATTAGGTTTTCATTTATTGAATCTGTCCGTTCTGTGTCACGTTGGCGCACAGTGAGAGACAAGCATGTGTTGTGCGCTTTCAAGTGGCCTTTCTTTTTGTCTTTCCCTCTGGAGTGATCAGCTCCAGACCGCTGGTCTACACCTCTCAGCTGAGGTGCAAAAATCATAAAAATGGGGTCAATTGTTGGACCTCTGCTGAGCTAAATCCAGGGTTGAAGTCAAAGATTTAAAAACTGATTCAAACAACGCCAAACTCTTTTTTTCCTCTCTGTGGACAAGAGTGACACGTGCTGACATTCTAATGATAACGCACGGCCCTGCTGGCCTTTCCATATGAACAGGATTTCATTATGAGGTGTTCAACATACTGGCAATAAAAAAAACTGATGTCACGTCATTGTGTGTTTACTTTGTTCGGTTAATAAAGAAAGTCCCAGATATGTCCGTTGATGTTTACTGGATAGTCTGAGACATGGATTACAGTGCTTTAAGTGTTTTATGCAAATTTATGACTGGCTGGCATGCAGAGAGAAAAGCAAAGGCAGATGATCCATTCGCTTATTTCACACATGCCGTTTTTCAGCTATCTGTAATGCATTCTTTCATGGCACCCTTTAGATGATGGCTTTGATGACACATCTAAGGTTCCAGGAAGTGGAATGGAGCCAGTATCTAGAGGCCCATATCAGGATCTGCAGAATACTCACTAAAAATGTTGTTTTATATTGTATAATTGTATTGTATTGTATATTGTTGTGTTTGTTTTTTTGGGGTCAGGTTTGAGTTAAAATTTTTTCCCAGTGGGCTAAAGGTGAGAGCATTTAGCTGATTCGTGTGAGAGGCATTATGTTAACAGTCAGACCCCTTAAAAAGAAAAACAAAACGTGTAAAAGATAGTGAAAAAAGTATTATTCAAAACTGCTCAAAAAGAACAGACAGTGTAAGAGAGATCCACTTTGGCAGTCTGACAGTAAATGGCTGAAAGCACTTCTGCAGCCTCAGCGAGCTGATTTCACAGTAAACATACACGTGTACATGGAGCTGGACAGAGAAATAAATAGTTAAATTAATGAAAACACAACCATCATCTGGAAGCTACATAAGACAATTCAGTCATTCCCAGCCAATGGCCGCAACTTAATAAATACTGATAACAGGGAATAAAGTGCGGACGTTTCATTTTTAAAACAACAGCAAGAAAAATAAATAAAGCAAGTGTCGTCATGTTGGACCGGCGATGCCACCTGTTGGTCCCCCAGTTGCCATGGTGCATTGAGAGAGTACAGAATTCCAGGTCAGTGACATAAGTGCTCTTTCCAAAACAACATGTCGGCACTGTGAAACCAGAGACTGAGCAAGTCTTTCACATGCTGCTTCCTCAGAGACAAGAAAGGCCTTATTGTCCAGGAGGAAATGCTGAAGAGTCAGGCAGGCCCCCAAGCCACACTCTGATAGAACCGTTTCCTGTGTCGGGAGGGTGTGGCCCCAGGTTTTATTTGTCAGAAACATCACCCAAAGTTTCTCATTCATGCTGTTTGCAGGAATGTTTTTTTTCTCCACTGACAGAAGACCATCGTTAGAGAGGGAAATTCATCTGTAAAACTGCTCTCACACCTCTCTTTGACTGTGAAACATTTAACTTTTAACTGTTAACATTTGGAGCAGGAAGTGATGTAGTTAGAAGACTATGCAAGCACTTCTTCACAACTCCACCAATGAAGCATTCATGAGTGGTAATTTAATAATCCCTATAAAAAGCCAAATATTTTAATATATATATAACTATTTGTTTGAGCTGAAGAAGGTTCACATATTATTAAAAAACATCATCTTTAATACGATACTTTCAATTCAAGTTTAACTTCCAAATCTCTGAAATGGTACATTACCTACAAAATGATTTTTTTTACTTTAAAAGTTTGCAAATAGACAGTAGTGTAGTTGTGAGGAGGGACAGAGGATTTGAGGGACAGAGAGATTAATCTGTCATAATTTTGGAGACATTTGCTTCAATCCAAGACCAGTTCAAGATTTCAAGGCCTGACTTTGCATCGTCAGACAAATGTGCAAATGCAAAAGAGTCTAGAGGATCTCAGTTCCATTTGCAAGCAACGGGAGGAGAAAACGCCTCAGGACAGAAATTTAAATAATTGCACATATTAAGTCTGTTAAGTTGCGCTGTGCTGTAAACCACAACAATTTTTTTGTTGTTTATAAAGTTGTTTATTATCAACTTCAACATAATTCTTCCTCATAAGTGGTTTGTGTTAGCTAATTAAAGCAGGCCTGAGCGAACTATGGCCCTTGACGGAGGATGGTTTTATTTTAATGGATATAATTAACAGGTAGAATGACATTTTATATAGCTTTTTAGATTATCTTAAAAATAAGTTATTAACTCCCAGAAATGCTTACTATAGAAAATTGAATTATGATCTTTTTACGAAATCAGGTTCTCATGAATGCTTCACAGGTGGGTAATACTAAAGTGCTGTCTCAGGATGTTGGAAAGAACATCCCCGCTGTTACTTGAGCACATTTAAGACCCACTCAAGAGAAGGGTTGGCCCCGGTTCAGTGACGTCCCAGATAAGAGGCCCTGTCTTCCTCCAGAACTGGACGTTTTCTCAACAAGCGCTCTGCCAGCTTCCAAGGTCAGACACCTAAACACAAAACACACATAAATAACTATCTAAACACTTACACAGCAATTGTCAATGTATTCACTGAACACACACACACACACACCAGAACACGCACAGCACACCTCACAGGCACCAAAGTGTGCACATAAAGAGGCACACAGAGCCACAATGTCATTATTTACACTCTGACACAGATATCTTGACCCATGTTTGCATTAATAAGGAGGATTAGGAAATGTCGATTAGGACAGTTTGTTAAATATAAGGAAACAGACAATTTAAACAAAATGAACAGACCAAAAAAAGATGCTCTTCTGACCTCTAGTGCTGAAATTAAACAACTGACAGATGCGACCTGCTGCCATCTCTGTGTAATTACCTTGTACATACAGTTTTTAAGTAAGTTTTGACATCTTTTTCATCTTTTCATTTAAGTTATTGGTCTGTGAAATGCTGATAGTCCATATTTGGATTGTTTGTTATCACATATACCATGTTAAACCAAAATATAACCACTCCAAAAACACACCTGCATAAAAATCCACCTCAGTACTTCGGGCAATGGAACAAAAGTCTAATGCTAGACAAAAAAAAAAAACATCTCATCTCAAGTCAGATTTTACTTTTGGTAGAATGCCCTAGATGCAGCTCAGACCAATCCAACCCAAAGCAGTGCGATGTTAAATAATGTGGAACAGACGTGTATTTAATGGAGCCGAGCTGCGCACCCAGGTTGTTGGAGCTGTGCTTGACTCTGTCGTGCTCCGCAGCACCTCCACTTGAATTCTCAGGCCGCTGCACACAGAAACATGAAAAGAAGATTCAATAGCTCTGACAGCTACACTAATCAAATCCAACAAGGAAAGATATTACCAAAGCCATCAGTGTGTATGGAATAATTTTAAAATCAAGGTGTCTTTTGGGGTTTTAAGGTAGAAGGTTCTATTCTTTGTGGGGGGTTTTTCTCTGGACCTGCAGTCTAACAGCTTGAGCGGCTGGGTTTTACCTTTGGACACAGCGGATACCAGTTGAAGCCCTGCAGGTCCTTGTTGTTTGACGTCCAGGCATCTAGTGGGATGAGCACCTCACCAAGAAACACTTTTCGTTTCAGAGTTCCCGAATGCCACACCGAGGCCTGCAGCCGCTTTCCGTACAGCAGATGGCGCTCTATGTCAAACTGTTGAAAGGCAAATCAATCCACACAGTTACCAAGCAAAGTATAATTGAAGACTTGCTGAACCATAGTGTTATCCCCTTTTTATTTTTACCTTCAAAACCTCATTAAACACTGGATCAGTGGTGTTTTTCTTCACCGATGTCTTCAGCTTGCAGCTCTTGTCTGGCAGCACGTGAAGTTTAACGAATCTACAGAATGACACGAATGCAACGTTGAGGCTTTGTGGGAGAAAAACTCCACATCAAATGCAGCGGTGGTTCCAATCTGTACTCACGGGCGACATTTCTTCTTGCCGTCTCCGCACACGAGAGCTCTGCAGGCCCCCACTGTGATGTCCAGGCAGGAGCTGCCGGGGTTGTAGGCCACAGCCAGTTCCAGCTCCCCAGTCACGGAGAGGCCGTCCAAGATGCTGCAGTCTGTGCTGATGCTGCTGCAGCTGCCCTGGGAAAGAGAACGAGACGCTCCAGCTTATCGTGCTATGTCTCAGAGGACGTAGAGATGCGGTGTGAGGGACCGTTATCCTGTTTAGGCGGGACCTGGCTGACATGATCACAATCTGTAATCTGATATCTTTTCAACACAGGATGGGGATTTTTTTTTTAATTATCGCCAGGTTTGACTCACTCTCTTTCCTCCAGATTGCTCAGAACTGAAGGAGGTTTCCTCCTCTGCTCCGGTGGAGGAGCCCTCATGGTCGCTGTCCTTGCTTTTCTTGAACAGGTTCGGAAGACTCGGAACTTTAAAGAGCTGAAAAATACGAATCGTTTCCTCTTTTAACACATTTACTCTCAAACATGAGATAGAACTGCATTCATCAGATGAAATAATGTCTGTTACATTCTTAGGTTTTTTTTCAGACCTGGCACATGCCCTTTTTGGATTTTTTAAACTTCTACTTCTCATCACTTGCAGGGACTACTATGACTTTGACAAACACAGGTCCATTTCAGGGATCTCTTACTGTTGTTTTGAAAATCCTCATTTCAGTTTGTGTTTTGTAACAAGACTTAGAAGTTTAGAACTTCTGTGGGGTTGGTATCTCCAAGACCATATTTGAAGTTTGAGGTTGCTGGAACTGTTGCAGAAAGTGGAGGCTGGCTTACAGTGGAGGATTTGTTGATGTCGGTGTCGGACAGGCTCTTCTGGGTGCTGAATTTGAAACGCGCTGGTTTTCGTCCACCGTCGACACTCAGCAGGTCTTCTCGAACATCATTCTGAGACGTGGAAATTTCTGCAACAACACATCGAACAACGCTTTTAAAAAAAAGAGCTGAGCAAAATGTTTGTCTACATTTTTTGGCGTAGGAAGCTAAAGATGTTTGGACTGCTCAAAAAAGCTGTAGCTAACAAGCATGGCTTTCTCTATCTGATAACTTTTTCTCATATCAGTGCTGACAAGGCAGCCCGGTACGGTGTCATCACAGGGGTTTTTTCTGCTTTGCCCCGTTTTCTTCTGTGGTCACAGAATGCGTGTTTCTTAAGCTCATTGATCAGAGTACGTTATGATAAGAACCACAGGAAGTCATGCTTCTAACCGTGTGCAACTCTTTTTCACCAACACGATATTAGCCAGGGCATCGTGTGTATCTGAGTGCTGCAATCAGTTTGTGTCCATCATATAACACACACAGTAACACAAACTTACTTTTTATGTGACTTGTGAAGGAAACCATTAGGTTCTCCATTGATTTGGTGAAAGGCCTTGAGTTTTTCAGGTCCTGCAAATAAAAGAAACGCCAATCAATCCATGATTATTAATTTTTTTTACACTTTTACTAGGAAGGTGTGCTGAATTATGTTAGTGCTTTACCCCAGATCTGCTCAGAAAATTATAATCCAAGTGGGGTGGAGGAGTAGGAGGCACAACTGAAATATGGCTGCAAAACCAAGTGAAACAACAAAATGATGTAAAATCATGAAATTAACTGAATGAGTGTGAGCTGCATCAACGTACAAATGTTCATCATACCTCAGCACATTGGAGATCTTCAGCAGTTTCTCACCGACTGTCTCATATTTGTCTGTAAAAGGACGCATACGCCAGTTAAACAACTAGCCTCTTATATGACACAAACTTGTGATAATGAATTGACTTAAACTCCAATTGAAGCAAAATATACGATTAAACAAGCAGCTGGAATCATCAATATTTTATGACACAGCTTTGTTAGACTGAATATCAAGGAAGCATACATAATTGACAACAACAAATGTGGACATGTGCAGTCCAAATGTAAACAAACCTTTGGTGACCGGAAATTTCTTAGCTTTTTCTTCTAAAAACCACTCTCCAGACCTGATCTTCACGTCCCTGTGGGGAGGACACACACTGATCAGAAACAATTACCACTGATGAGAAAAAGAGAAGACAGTGACTGGGGTTAATTCACTTATCTGACATTATTAGTTTGACAATATCCTTAAGGCCATCTTTTTCTAATTTCAGCTTGAGTTGTATGCATTTAATTTGTTTATGTTGATTGATTTATAGCAGTAGAACAAATGCATACATCTTGCTTTTTAGGATGAGCATACATTTCATGTGATGATTCTCTCTCTAGATTTGATCAACAAAATGATATACCACGCTTTTAATTTGTCAATTTTTACACTTTTTCTTGAGTTCAATGAGATATCTTGAGATATCTTTTTTAGTTGATCACCACTCTAGTTCTTCTAGTCTTGGTTTTTCTTTGAGAACCTCTCATTTCTTTAATCTGTACTTTTTAGATTTCTCCTCCTCTCCTTCATTTGATTGTGATCTAGAACTTGATTTTAGGAAACCATTTTGAAGGATTCATGGACATGAATTGAGCAGGAGTTAGAGGAGAAGAGGCCAGGGATGAGCTTTAAGCATAGATGCAAAGGTACAACTTTCGCTGAAGTCTTTTCTGACTCTGTGGTCTATGGAAGAGTTGACCTATGAATGCTTCTTGAGTCCTCTATTCTTTTGCCTCTCCCTCACCTCCTCTAACCAGTCCGGAGGGACTGAGGTGAGAAAAGGAACCAAGAATGTATGATTTATGAGTTTGTGAGCACACTGAATGACACACACAGTCACTCAGTGCTGTGATCTGAGTTGCACATTCAGGCAGGTACTGGTTTAATCTCTCCACCTGTAGGCGTGGCACACTGTGCACTTCCAGTCCACGGCTCCTATGCGGCACTTGCTGCAGATGCGGTGGCTGCAGCCGCGGCACACCGCACCAGAGTTCCAGAATTTTCCGAGCGGCCTCTGGCAGCGGGCGCAGGTCCGCTCTCCGTACTGTCGGGCATAACTTTTAGCACCCTTCCTCCTCAGTTCCTGGAGCTCGTACTTCATCCTCCTGAAGTGAGAAGAGATGAATGGGCATGGAGATCTTTCACTGGCTGTAACAGCTGGTTGCACAACATCCTTCCAAAAACCTCAGTATATGAAAAAAGCCTAACAGCAGCAAAACATGTCGTTACAAGTTTAGATAAAAATACTATATTGTGTTTATATTCAAGAGGATTGCTAGCATTTAAATGTGAATTTGAAGCTTCTGGATGCTTGGATTTGCAAAGACATGACACAGAGGGAAGCAATCTGACTAAAAAGCTCACTCACTGAACAATTGCATCCTGGTTGAAATAGATTTTATTTAGAGAAAGCACGAAGCACATCATATTTTTGCTCACACTGTCAGTTTCCTGTGATGGTCATGAGATGCCATTTTCAGCACCACTGGCAATCAGTTTCATTAGAGATCATACGATCATACACAAGTTGCCTGAAATGACTCACCTGATTCTGTCCTCTTCAATTATTCGCAGCTGCTTGTCTCTGCGAAGAACCTCTAGGACGGTTTCTCTCTCCAAAACTTCAAGGAAACTTAAATCCATCTTTGAACGACAGTCTTTGATCTCCTGCTAGCTCTCCTCGTCTGTTTGCCTTCCACTCTGTTGGACGGTCTTCTTTTTTCACTGTCCCCTCCTCTTCCTCTTCTTTTATAACCCTCCCTCTTATTGGTCCCGCCTACAGACCTCCTCTTTTGTCCTCTGAAAAATTAAATAAAGAGGGATGATGAAGATCATTCTGGATGCTATTAAGACCCCTCCCTCTGCTGATTGTGATCTTCACCTTTCTATATCTGCCGGAACCCCAGATAGAACCCTGACTTCCGGTTGGATGGCCACATATAGTTGTAAATTCAAACAGTGGAAGTGCTCCTTTCTCATATCCTCCAAAGTAATCTCTCTGATGACGCAGAATGTCAGCTTCAAACCCTCTGCGCTGGAGGATCTGATGCAATATTTCTAGCTCTAAAATTCATTCCCTCTCATTCCTCTCATGCTGCTAACATCCTCTCATCCCTCTCCTGTAAGTGTAGTCTAGTACTCTCTTTTTTCCCCTCCCAGAACCGAGCCTCTCTTCTGGCAAACCACCGCGGCAGGAAGTGCAGCGGTGCTTCACTGATGGCAGCAAAACAAACCAAATGCCAACACTTGCATTATTGATGAATGATGTCCCCATAGCCTGGTTTCTGTGCTTTATTTAAAAAAGAGCTGTTCTGTGTTTTTACATGTTTTCACAAACCAAATTACACATCCTGCAGAATTGTCATTCATGTCTGTGAATGGATGAAGCTGCTGCTCTTGGTTAGATGTGTGTCATCCGTTCAGACTAAATGCATTAACCACTCACTAAACCAGAGGTTGTGGAGTGTAGTTGTTTGCTTGTCCGCTGAACTGTAAACTCAACTGAAAGTTCCGCTTGTCATGTTTTCTCCCCCACTCTCTCTCATTGTATGTGTTATCATCCATTTGTTAATACCTTCTCTTGGTTGTGATTCTTAAAATTTCATTTTGTTTAGTTTTGTTCACTTTTAGTTTTTGGAAGTCCATGGTGTGTTACATAATAACGCAATCTAAGGAAAAGGTACCATGTCAAGATTTTAATGTCAAAGGTTATGGATCTTGATCTTCTGGATCGTCTTTCATAACAAAAAAAAGAACAAAAAATCCTATTAGGTGACTGCATCAAGGAAACCACGCAGACATGCAGATAGTTGCAGAACAGAAGTGGCTCCATGTATGGCTTTAGGACCGAGGCCACAGGGACGCTGACGCCTGATGAAATGGGGTATTTTAAGTGTGTCTGACCATCTCTTGTGGCTTGACTGATAACAGATGACCAAACATATATTGCGGTGCTGTGTTTATATCTTGTTAGAATAAATAAAGCAAAGGGAAAATTAATTAGTTGGACACACACACTAATCGTAGAAAGCCTCTTCTGTAACTATGGTATCACATGTGAAAAATACTGCGCAGTGCCTTGTAATGAGCTTGTATGTCGTTGTATATCCTCTCATTCAGATTTTGCTCATGGCATAAAATGAATTTCCCTAACCCTAAAATACTACATTACTCCTGAAGTTCTAACCCATCTAATAATTTCCAAGCAAAGCACATCATGATGTGGAAGCTATAAAAAAGGGTCCAGTTCAATAGCTGGATGTCAGTCTGTATTTGGAGATAAGAGCCCGTGCTTGTTACTAACCAGAGCTGCCAGGAAGCTCAGAGAAAACAGCTGTAATTAGGCCTCAGAGCTCAAAGGGGGACAGCTGTTATCTATCTTCTGCTGACGTGAAACATGCTTCCATCACGCCGTAAATTTCAGTAAGGGGAGGTGCCTGATGCTGTCAGAGGAAACCTTTGGTCATGTTAAGTTTCACTGTGAATTCATCACTCTCAACTCAGAGCTGTCGATCGTGTGAGGAAAAAAATATACTCATTTCACATATGCACAACTGTGCAAAATGCTATAATGATTCAGGCTTTACATGGTTTAGTGGTGACCGCCTTAACACCCGGATGAGTTGAAGACCTTTTTAGCTTACCGCAGCGGTGACAATAAAAGGATATCCAGGGCCCAAATATGGCAGCTGAGTGTCGTGAGAACACGCCAACCAGTCACAAGGTATCTGGCCCATTTCCCCCCCCCGAGCAGATGTTCCTGGAACGCCTGAGGTTGTCAGTGTTGCACTATGAGCTACAATGATCACCACAATCCATTTCCAAATTATGATCAAACACCATCATTCAGAGTAACCAAATGACCTGCTCGTTCACATACTGACAACCCCCCACAAATCCTCTTGAACTGTCCCTGAAGTTACCTGTCAGTTTGTTAGATTGTTCCACAGCTGTCCACCTTACTTTTAAATACTCATTTAATACAGTTATTTGAAGAGATTAAAGCTACATGTCAACCAGAGAAAAAAAAGTTTGGGGTGACTAGAAAGGAAATGAGTTGTGAAAAACCAATGCGTTCTGTACGCAACACAAGGCACAAGTCGGATGAATGTTCAATGCAACCAAACGACACTAAAAGCAGAAACAGAAGAGTAATATTTCTATTTCAGTGAGCACAGAACATGAGGTGATTACAACACGTTGACTCAACAGTACATTTTCTTGCTAAATCTCAACCGACACATCAGGGCAGTGGTGGCAAACTGCACTCCTTTTGTCGTGTGTTAAAAACGAAAGCAAGCCCTGTGACATGGGAACTAGGTCACCGCAGACTTAAAACGTGCACAGAGCTGCAAGATCTTACCTTGGGACTTACTGCATGGTCGAAGTGGTCAGCAGGAGGAAGTGGCAGATCTTATACAGAGGAAAATGTGCAGAGCTCTGCCGCGCATCTCACAAGCTGCTGTCGTCTGCAGCGTACTCACAAAGCAACTGCTGCTCAGTTAAAGCCCTCCTTAAGATGCTGTCTTGTGTTTTTTCCCCCAGTGTATACGGATGCAAAGAACTTTAAAAAACAAACAAGTCACAAGGTTTTGGTAGAAGTGTTTTATATTAAATGATGTATTTGGGCACACCTGCTGTTCACATAATGCTGGAAGAGAGTTGTGTGACACATAAAGGGCACTTAGAAAAGTCAACATGAAGGACAGGCAGTGTTTTGATCCAAAAATAAAAGTAGCACACATGGAAACATTGTTACAAACATTCAGGGATGGACTTTTGAACAAGGTTTCATTGAACAGAGGCCCTCTCTTCAGCTGAGACCTGAGAGGTTTATTTCAAGAGCAAAATGGCAAATATAATATATATATATATATATATATATATATATTTATATATACCTCACACACTGACAACTGCATAACAATTGCAAAATTTACAGAATACAAAAATATTTCCATGTCTGAAAATGTGTGTGTGTAAATATGGCTTGTTCTGTAAAAGGGACTAAACTTCCCGGAATTCCTATTGCTCAAAATGCTCCTATCTTCTATTTATGAAATACTGAGAATAAAAAAACATTTATTCTTTACTCTCTAAATCTTAAATAATCTAGCCTAAGAGAGTCTCCATTTAATCAAATTTTGAATTAAAACTTACAAGCCCCCCTTTCATATGGAAGTCGGGCTGAAAAAGCTCAGTGTAATCACATGGGAGTGCAAAGAGACAAAGGAAGGCATCTTTGGGTCGAAATAGCTCGTCTAAGGTAACGAACGAATGAATGATGCACACCACACACTCACATGTATATAGCACACAAAGAGACAAACCAAGACACAGACATGCTGCATACTGTATAACAATAGCAAAATGTATAAAACACGTAAACAACACTGGTAAAAAAATTAAAATACAAAACAATTTGGCAGGAACTAAATGTATTTGACAATGTGTCCCCATATGTGTATGAAGACTCCTTCCACAAAGTGTTCCCAGATGTTTGGATCCCATCGGTTTTGGGGCTTCCTGATAGGTCATCTAATAGGTCATCTGGAAATGTTTTCTTTAACATTTAAAAAAAAAGTTTTCTTTTACCTTTTCATTTTTTTCCCCACTGTGATTTCTGAAATACCTGAGCCATTGAACTTTAAAACAAAATCCCCTCTGTACAATTGTGATACAAATCAATGTATGGCTTCCACAGTTAGATTGACAATTAAGAATCAGCCATGATTTAAAAAAGGATGGAACTTCAATTTTACTAAGAGAAGCTTCTGTTTCCAGATTAACAGTCCGATAGCTGGTGACCAATACGGCTGTCTTTGAGAATCAAAGCTCAGCGTAAGAACGTCTCTGACTTTTCCATGACTTTAATCGATGTGTAGAAATGTCTTGAGCTGTAGCGTCTGTTCCACTGATAACCTGTCGTGATAGAAGCTGAGTCCTGTGAGAAGCTCGATGTCTCTGACTCGAGCAGTGTGAAACTGCATCCACTCCTCCACAAAGTCCAGTTTATCCGGGTCCTGAGGAGGCCAGAAAAAAAGTTTGAAGTTTTAAAATATCCCTGTCGCGTCTGCCAGCAGGTTTCCCAGAAACAGGAGGAATGCTTTTGAACGCGAGCGGGTGGTTTTACTTACGGCACAGAATTCTGTGTTTTCAGGCCTGTGGGGAAGGATGAAAGACCTGACCTGAAGTGGACCCTCACAGTTAAGGGGGCTGAATGTGGAGTTACGGCAGCTGGTGAGGATCAAAAAGAAATGTGTCGGGACGGGAGCTTCATTCCTGTGGAGGCCAGAAAACAAAGTATTTTTTTTAAAACTGCAATATTGAAATTCCAAATATATCAGGACACTGTGTAAAATAAAAACATTACAAAATGACTGGCAAATCTCATTAGAAGACATCAGTTGCAGACATTTTACTGTTTCATAAAAAATGTTTGCTCATGTTGAAATAATGGCAACAGCGCATACTACAACAGTACAAGTACGAGTTATTACGACTGGTTATAAAACTCTAAACCCCAACCAAAGGGTTGAGTGCCTGGGGCTAAATAAGATTTGACTGAAAGTGACAGAACAAACCACCTACTTATCAGACTGCTTTATGTCTATTTAGTAACAGCATTACAATGTTGGACATTTCCAAATGGGGACCAATGCCTAATAAGTTTAGAAAAAGGAAATGATTTCCCACAACCCCAGTCTAAGTCAATTCACAAACTCTTTCCTCACACTCGGAAGACAACTAAGAAAAAACAGGTTTTCACACATTTCCTACACCACCTGACTTTAAGAAAAATGTTTTGATTAGTCCAAATGTTACTGTAGGCTTAGTTGGACTTTAGAACCAGACACTTCCATGCAAAGCCTGGATAAATATTTCCATTTGTACTTGAAAGGAAAGCTGTAGAAATCATTGACGTGAAAGATGTCTCCAGCAGACTCACGCTGAAACTTGGGGAAGTGGATCCTCATTTCCATCGAAGTCTTTATCAAATATTGGCCCACTGATGACGTTGACTCCATTAAGCTGATTTGAATAGTTTATAAGTATAGAGAAATGGAAATGGTTCCAAACATCTGCGGGGAAAAAACACAATCATTTGAATTCCCCCTCAGTACATCTTAGTACATTGAATAGTATAATATTACTACAACTAAAACTGCAATCTATCAATGATAATTACTATCATATTCAGCATTTGGAGTGCATTTTCCACAATGCAATGTCATCCTTCTCACTCATGCATAGATGGAGATGACCACCAGGGAGCAGCATCTGTCTAATTGTTAATCAGGCTTTCAAACCCCAAAAGCGAATGGATTTCTGTCTCAACAGATTAAAATGAGTGAGAGTTTAAATCTTAGCCTTTAAGGGATTTATGTCAAGATTATAAGCAAACGCTGAAAATTAACTAGCAGTATATCCTTATTAAACCAAACAACTATGTTTCATTTCTACTAAATTAACATATCACTGCTACTTATTTTTTACAGACATTTTTCAGACGGCTCAACTAACAAAGTTAACAGCCTTTTAAATATGACTCAAAAAGACTGAAGGACTGACTCCAGACAAAATCTTTGAGGGCGATTTATACAGGAAGCTTAACTTAATTAGTGGAATAAAAAGTAAAATAAAAGTTGTCATAAAAAGCTAAAAAAAAACTTCTTGAACAGACAAACAATACTGCACTTGTTAATCTGAAGCTATGAGAGTTATTAGTGAGCGTTTGATAAAGAGGACAGAGGAGCAATGTCAAAAAAACATTTGAAAATTTGACTAACTTTTAAAAGCAGGAAACATTGGTGCCATGTTGCTGTTGAGAATAGAGTCTTTCTCAGGGCCGCGGGAACTCAGATCTGTGGGGACCAAACAGGGGATATGTAGGACAAATCTCTGAAAGCGTGATAGTGAGAAGGAATATAGAGAGTAAACAGTAAAGAGTAACAAAGGAAATGAAAGAAATCACCTGTAAAACATACAAGTAAATAATAAATTACACAACATTTTCAAATGTAAAGAGTATGCTGCAAACAAAGAGTATGATGTTTTCGGTTAAAATGACAGCTTGATTCCTATTAAATTGAACAAACAGTTCAAATGACTAGACTTAAAAGTGAATTGTACAGCACTGTGTGTCCTCAAACATATTAGAAGAAAAAACCTTTTGGTAATGGTATACCATGACAATGGGAATGGGAGCGTTTCTTTTCAAAAGGCACCAAATCATCACAGAAGAATTTAACTGAGATAACTTGCATGTAAAACCTGGGTGGGGATGACAAGCTGTGCCGCCCCACATAACACAAACATATAAAGTCTCACACACTCACAGTAAGGGTGCAGCGGGCCATAGGACAGAGCGGGGTCATCTCTGTAGCGCAGGCACAGATGGCTGGCGGGAGCTGGGACGCGAACATCCGCACGAACACAGGCCTCCAAGTCTGGTTCCGGGGATATCGTTCTGGTCTGAGAGAGGGGCTAAAGTCAGCGGTGGACGCTGCAGAAGAGCAGTCCAAGCAAGTGCTCCGATTATTGCGCAGGGCCACTCGGCTGGGTTTGGCTTTATATGAGCTTGTGGGTCAGTGAGGGTATTGCTCTGGTTTAGTTTGCACAGCTCTCTAAAAACAATAATCGTTTCACATTCCGCTGACACAGCAGAAAAACGGCTTATTTGTTTCAGTCAAATTCTCCATAACATTATGGTTTATGACATGGGGTGTCACTTTTATGGGACGCTTGTAGAAATTCAGAGAACGAAGCATGAAATGGGGGGGCAAAAAACTAAAAGGATCCCTCAGGCCTGTAGTCCAATAAACAAATAAATCTGCCTTCAATTCCTGCTGACATTTGTACAAAGCTAAATAAAATATATAAAAATGCTTTACTTTACAAAATATCTGTGTGTATCTGTAGGGATGCCCATTTCTTTTAAACTGATCAATCGGCTCTCTCAGTAATTTTTACTCCTCATTGGAATTTCCCTCAATCCATTTTCTTTGCCCACAATTTCTAAGTAGAGTTATAGAAAAATCACATTTATTTCCATTCATATTAATATTTTCTTGAACTCACAACAGTTTCAAAGTTGCTCTTGAGACGTACCTAAGAGTGTTTTGTGTCCCTACTTCCATGAGAAAAATTTTGAATTATTTATTGATTAATTAATCTTACAGGTCCTTCCCCTTCCCTCTCTGTTCTGCTTTAGCTCTGTCCCCAAAGCAAATATGAATAAAGTTATTCTTATTGAAGTTTATTTAGAGATAAACCCATAAACCCTATGAATCTTGCTAATGAAATTTGATAGAAAGAATACAATACAGACTGATTTTTTCTTATGCTGTACTTAAATCAATTACATCTCACTTTCCCTGTAATTGAGAAAAGACAATTCATGGAGGAAAATCTCCCTGGGATTTGCCGGGGGTCATAGTTTACATGAACACTCAGCCGTAAAGCAGGACAAGAGCTGCTTGAGCAACGATCAGCAGGGACGATAAGTAACAGCTGATTCAAATGCTAAACATCCTCTTCCAGTCTGAGGCCAAACCCTACCATAGAATGAAACATGGCTGGGACAACCTCGGCCGAATGGGCTGAGTTTAGAAATAAAAGGCAGCTCGAGCGGTGCACTAACCGAAGGCTGGAGCGTGTACGACACCCAGAGGGGCATCATGCGGTTTTTACTGTATCCGTTGAGGTAGTCAGAGTGGTACAGCTGACAGTAGGAGGCACCTGGCTGGACAACCGTAGGGCTGCCAAAGGGCTGGTGAAGGCGACGTAAACTGGCTTTGGTGCCTAGAGACAACATGCATGGTGCTTGAACAAAAATGTCTCCAAAAGCCATCGTGAATGGAGAGATACATTTGAAAAAACCCACTTGAATCCATCGTTGTAAGATTTCTGTTCATGAGGTCCTCCTGAAAGAGAAGTGCACACATGTCTATTAGCTGACTCGTCGAGGTTGAAAGGATACGCGGCTCAACAAAAGAGACAATGAGCACACCATAATGGTTTTAGATGAACAGTTGCAGTGCAGGGGGTCAGTGGGGAGGAACTCAGTGGCCTCGCAGGGGGTCTCGTGGGACCGCTGTGCTGGGTGCACTGGCAGGTGGACGGGCTGCCTCAGGAGGTGGTTCAGACTGCCGTGGGTCCCGTTGTTCGGAGCCGGACGAATACCTAGAAGATCTGGCGGACAAAGGGTGAAGGTGAAGAACAATTTCTGCAGTCCAGATATTTGGCAGTTCGAGAAAGGAAAATGAGATCTGCTTAGCCACTATGACTTCATAGGTTCTAGTCACGACAGATCTCTATAAAACACAGACGCACAGAATGTGTTTAGAGACGGAGTCCACGATTAAACCATGCTACCTCAATAAACTGTAGAGTGGAACAATACACATCATGTGTTGGCTGTAAACATGTGGAAGAGGTTGTTTTTCACTGAAATACTTACACAATCTTTGTCTTTCTACAATGAAGGGAGTGGTACCCTGACTGAGACTTTATCCAGTTACTGGTGCTATTTCTCTTTCCCCCCCTTCTGGTTGGTACTATTGCCTTTTATTCCAACTGTTTTTTATTGGACAGTGAGCAGAAAGCTGAAATTCAGTGAAGCACATCTGTTTCCTTTCCTAACCGCACCAACTGTCAACTGCCTATAAGCAGCTCTAATAGTTAAGCAACTGTTTGCATAACTGGGATGAACAGTGGCTCACTAAGCCCTCTTAGTCAGAAAAAAGGGAAAGTTTAACACAACTGGTTATGTTGTATCAAGAAAATGGCTCATGATATTAGGTTTAGACCCCCCAAAAAAGTGAACCAAATCTTAAAGTCTAGAGGGTTCAGTTAGAATGTTTAATGTTAAATTTCATGACAGATAAAGGAACAAAAAGACTGAACAAGTATAACTTTTTTCAAGTTGTTTAAAAAAAATGACCCCAAACAGATAAGCAAATCTAAAATATGGATATTCATTTTTTTTCCAAATACATAATGACTGGTTTAAGGGTCACTTCATTTCACAAAATATGAACAAAAAAGGGGGGTCATAAAAGGGGGGTCATACAGCAAAGAATGGGGTAAATTAGGAAGTGTAACTCAGCAAAATAACTCACCACACATGAGGTTATATAGTTCGATGTTTTCAAAGGGGGGCACAACTGTGTTTTCTTTAAATCCTGGACCGTAGCCTATGAAGATCGCCTGCAAACAAACAGACAACATGCCAACTCACATTTAGTTCTTTACAGAATCGTTTAAATACAGGTGTTTGGAAACTATAATTCCTGAGAACTGCAGTTTTAAAACACCAACACTTCCAGAATGTGAACTGAGAACCTTCACTTAAACTCTCTGTGTAAACAACTCATGTCAAACACTCAATGCCATAATAAGGCCCTGTGTAAATATTTGAAATGGATAGAAGAAGTGAACGTATTTTACATAAATTTCAAAATTGTGAGGGTTTCTATTCTTAGACAGATAATTTGGGGGCATTCAGTGATATTTTTAGCTAGGTAAACAGTCTACTTCAACAAGACTTTGACCGTCAGCAGGAATCAGCATCCCTGGAAGGTAATTACCGCAAGTCAAGTTCCAGTTTAGACCGTGAAAGGAAACATACAGTAATGACAACACTTAGGCACCAATCGGTCCAAAGCTCAGTATCACTAAGTTAAATTGAAAGCAAACATATCCCTTATAAAAACGTAGACATCTCTTTCTTGAAAAAGATTATCTTTACTTTCGAATTTTAATAAGAGTAAGTCAGTCTCATCATTAGACATGCCAACTGAAGTCTAGTTTTGGAACAGTGATTTAACCTAAAAATGATTTAGAAAATGGTTTCTGTGAATAAAATGTTGGTATCTAAGTTTAAAGTTGATTTCCATGCTTCTTTGAACTTAAACATGAAAAAATATAACAAGTGTCCCCTTCTGTTCATTTGGCAGAGTTAATAATTACAGCTTCCTGTTAATGATGAGTTTGTAATCACTAACAAACATCCATCCATCCATCCATCCTCTGACCTGCATGTTGGTGAGGATGTTATCTGAGCCGTGGAAACCCCCAGAGCAATACTTGATTTCTTTTGCGCTTCTGTGGAGAGAGCGTTAATAATAGGATGAAAGATTGTGAAAATACTGCATGACATTTACCTAACCATCCACCTTCATAGATATTCATAAGTCTGTTTAATCTCATTTTAAAGAAACACCTAATCCCATTTCCCACTGAGTCATATTACAGGGCTGTTTATTGTCTATTAAGTCTGTAATAGTATTTCTGCATCCTGAAGCAATTTTCCACAATTACATGGTTGCTACCCATCAAAGGATTTGTACAACCTCTCTCAGACATACTTGATTCATTATATATAATTGCTATCACTAATTACTGCAAGTGCTTCAACTTCTGTTTGGGTGGTTATCTTTTATCTAGAGTGATTTTACATTAAATGCGTGCCATCTAAGCTCTCATCCTCCAAGTGTCTTGTGTCAGAAAAACTCAAACCTGCACAGTTACTGACAACACATGCTGCTTTTCTGACATTTTACCGAGCTACTAATATTCAAATTCAAAATGCCTCTTCATCATCCACTATGAACCAAGTTTCTTTGTGTTGGTGGGAAAAGATGTAGCTCAGGAAAGGTTGTTAATTGAATACAATGCTATCTCTATTCATGGATTTCCAGGTCACACTGCACCACAGGACACAGCAATAACTCCTCTGCTCGAACAATGAGGCTGTATCCCCGGTCTCAGTGTGTATCACTTTACATCCCCTCAAATGCAACAGTGACATCAAAAAGCTCCGATTAAATGTGCAACTTGTGGTCCCAAATTAAAATCAATCTAATTTTACTCCTCTAATCACCAAGAGGGCTCGTGGAGGTCCGACCTCTGTGAAGAAAGTGCTGACCCAGCTTTTCTTGCTCTTGTTCTGTTTGTGCTCACATAAATGGGAACATCTGACAAACCTTTGATTTAAATAATGATAGATAGACAGTTGGAAATGCAAAAGAAAGACCACTGAGAGTTGACTTACAGTGCGGCCTGCCAGCCTGACTTCATATAAAGGTGCCCTCTCTCTATTCGGTGGTTGTTCGCAAAGTGCATCCTTTTGGGGAGGTTTTCTTTGAGGTAAGGCCTCATTTGCTGGTCAGGGGTCCTGCACTTCAGAACAGACGCAGATGAGGAGAATCAGCACACAGCAGAGGGGCAACAGGACTGTTTGCCATGAGGCCGCTCAAGCGGGTTAATTTTACATTCTTCTTGTCAACACAAAAGTCCAATTGGAATATTTGGCATACCGACAGGTTCTTCACCAGGCCCTCGTAGTCGACTGAGGAGAGAAGGGAAAGACGAGGTCATGCCCGGCTGTGTTGCAAAGGAGGAAAGGTGTATTGGAGACCGGAACTCACAGGAGAAGTAATCCTCTGGGAGACGCTTGGGTCTGATGCGAGCGGCTGGGCCTTGGATGACATTAAAGTCAGATGTGTGCTGCAGGTAGTCTGAAACATACACTGCCTTTTCACATGTAGCCTTCTCCATGCCTGTTAAAAAAATATATCATTATTTAGCACTATATTTCCTCAGAGGACAGCCAAATATCATATTGGAATATGTTTATGGAGACTTTTGGATTAGATCATGATGTCACTTTAAGTTATCAGTGTCTGTTCTGATAGCTGCACGAGCTCTGGGGATTTCTATGGTTTGCACTTTGTCTCATGGTGAAAGTGTTAAGCTTCCATGTGGATTAATAAATAAACACTTACATTGACATTTTCACAGACCGCTTTTTCTAAAGTGATTGCACACTAACACACACGGGAGTGACATCTGCTGACAGAGTTTTGGGTGGAACCGTGAAACCCAGCATGTCTCCCTTGTATCTTCTACATTATGACAAACTGCAGACTGAACACTAAAACGATGCTTTCAAATTGAAAACCTCCTCTTGGCAGTGATGTCTTTGATGCGGATGGCAGGGCATCGCCCTGGGCCAAATTTACTCCAACTCATTGATCTTCATCATAATTACAAGGCAAAACATATGGTCCCCAGATATCCACAGACTCGTCTCCTTGGAAAAAAAAATGCAGCTACTGAGAGTAGTTTTCCCAGTTAACTCCCACATTTCTGACTTGTTTTTTGTTTGCTGACACTTACCTATAGTTTCCCCTAGGACAGGTGCTGTGTCTCAAACAAGTTAACTGACGGTAAACTGTGAAAACCCCTTCTTTAGTGCACAAGTTAGACCACGACACCAAGTTCGGTGTGAAATCATACCAATGTGTTTAACTGATGCACAGCTTTTAACTTCACTTCTTTTAACTTTTCACTATTTTCTCTCTTGGTTTGAATGAAAGTGTCTTGAATTTTAAAACCACCTCATATTTATTCAAGTATAAATAGACAACTGGCAAACAGTCGTAGAGTGTCCTAACAGTGTGGACACAGTAGTTATCTCACCATGGTCAGATATGATTATAATGTTGACACACTGGTGCAGGTTTCTCGCTACGAGGCCATCCATCACCTTGCCCAGAATCCTGTCAACCTTTTCCAAAGAGTAAATCACCTGAAGAGAGAACAATACTTTAATCTATATGATGCAAGTTTCCTTGAGTGACCAGAAAGAAGACGGGCAAGTTTTTGCAGTAACTATTTGTAAGCAGTGATGTCAAATTTCAATTCTGTTTGAAAAGATGTTTTATGTCAAAAAACAGTTTTTTTTAATTAAAAAACTCAAACTCCCATTTTTCTTCATAACATTAGTTGTTTGTCATCCAGAGACTTAATCTCCAGGCGAGATTTCCTATACTGTTTCTGATTTTATATTTATAGATTCAAAAATACTTTAACCTTTTTTTTTGCGTCATGTAAAATGAAGTGGGAAATATACACATGAAAGCACAATACATCATGGACTCCCCCCTCAGTGGATGTTTCCGTGGGAAATATATGTGTTCTTTATTAAGTAGTCTGTTCCCTCCGTTAATCAATAACATGCTTAAAAGTGCAAGTTTAGAGAATAACTGACCTGTCGGCTTCCTGGGCCATAATAATGTCCTGCAGTGTCCGGTTCATCCAGGTACAAAGTATAAAAGTCCGGTCTAAAATACAAAAGGGTTGTGATTTTCATAATTCATTCATTTATTGGAGCCAACTCTGGAAGAGCCATGATGAGCAGGGCGTACCTTTCTTCCTCAGGCAGGCTGAGCCACTCAAGCAGTGTTGACACTCTGGTCTCAAATGAGACAGACCTGCACATAAAAGAGGCTTACAGTGATTTACGATGGCATCAACATTCCTGCATTATGCCGTAAAGTTGCTTTAAAAGCAAACGTATCATATGGGCATTGTTCCTACTTGTCATAAGGCTGGTAGTAATTTGGAAAGGTGCCATTTATTGCCACATCAGAGCCCGGCCAGAAGAAAGTTGCTGCTCTCAGCTTCTGGCGCATGGCAGTGATCCAGACCTGAGGAGAGGGGAAACCCAAGTAAGGATGATGATGGAAGAGAAACAGTGTTGTTCTGGCTGTCTTTCTTATAATCAATGAACGAGCTGTAAGAAAAAGCTACGGAGTCTTGCCCATTACTGTAAGTGGATGCTCTCACTGCTAAAGGAAATCGAACAGCGTGCGTTTAGTCAAGATCACTACCCATCAGACCAGTCTGCAGATGTATTATCATGTAATTATGTATGTATCATGTATGTTCTACTAATGTAGCAGGGTTATGAACATTTTTTTTGACCAATGCACTTTATTGTATTGGTTTAGAAGTCATTTTGGAAGACCTCAGTCATGCACAGTAAATTGCTCAAAAGGGTTCATCCATCTGTCCTTCCCTCAGTGGAAAGTCATAAGTCCGCTGCACGGTGGATTTATTTTTTGGTAGCAGCTTGTCACACAGCAGAGGAATAAGATTTATAGCTTCACAGTCACATGGAAACCACAAGGCCTACAGGCCAGCACAACTAGCAGCCCCCACAAGTTGTCATTTCGCATGAGCTGAATCCATAATTATATCGAGAAGCTCGTAAATGGGAGATCTTACACAACAAGTGTCTTATTCTGAATCATGCTAGGCTTGCCATAAATCAGGGAGTGTAAACTTTCTTAATACAGTGACTCAAACTCTCAGATGTAGTGAGGAAATGTTGCACAGGTAAAAAAAAAATCATGACATTTTTCATGAAATGAAAAAAACGCATCTGAATTTTCATTCAGATTCATTCAGTACAATTTTCATGCGGACTATGAACAGATCCACTTACTGGTTCCCCTTGATACCAGTTGGAGTTGAACTTTTCATTAGTTTTCAAACTGAAAAAGCTGTTGCGTGTCACATCATACATCTTGTTGTCCACAATCCCATGAGACTCTGGATAAAGACCCTGTAAAAGGTAAAATAAACACACAGTCACGCACAGAAAAGGCCCCCTGCGGGGATTTGAACCAGGAACCCACTTGCTGTGAGGCGACAGTGCTAACGTAGCCCTTCCTCTCTAACTTTTTAACCTAAATATTTCCGGTAACCACAGCAGTTTATTTTAATTGCAGGATTCTACTTTGTAAGACCCTCAGTTAAGTTATTTTTCCAGGCATATGAAAGCTATTAGGCCTAAACAGTGCAGAAACGTTGCTCTTTCTGGAGAAAATACTGAGCGTGAACTCTTCTTTTAAATTGCAGCAATGGAGGGAAGCCACTTTTATTTAAGCACTGCTTTACATTCAAGGATCCCTTAACATTGAATGTTACACTCTTTGATGCTTCTAATTGATTTATCAGAGAAAGTTTTACCTCTTACTTTGACAGTACTTTGACAGCTATCATTAACAGAACTGATATTTTACATGTTACTAGTTTTCCCAACTTTTTTTAACATCGTGTAAAGGCACCTTTCATGCTCAAGCTCTCACTTAAGCACGTAGAAATAAAAAAGACATACAAGTATATAAAGAATACAGAAATACAAATAATGAAATGCAAAATTGATTAGGAGAACTTTACCTTTTTTACCTTTTAAAAAGAGGTAGATTTACCTCTTTACATACCAGGGCTTCTATCAAAACTGGATTCTCACAGGTTCTATATATGGCTCTTACAGTATATCTCCTAACAGGACTTCTGTTTTCTGTACAATCTGTTTGGGATTTTCAATTAAACTTGACGCACATTTACATTCCTACAGTGACACTGAAAGACGATAAGATTTTTCTGTTTCCTTCCGTAACTCACAGTCCGGAAAATTCTCTCTTTATCATCGACAGATGAACTTCTGACATCAGCTGGTCAGACTTACGGTCACAATAGTGTAGTGGTTGGGGAAGGTCTTTGTGGGATAGATGGGCCTCATGTAGGGTGCTGTTGTTCCGTCATTTCCTGCAACACAAATATTTCCAGTCACACTTATCAGTATGCCTGATAAGAGCATGAAAAGGCGTGGAATGAATTTCAGTGGTGACTCACGCAGCTTGTTGATAATGGGCACGTGGCTCTTGTGATCTTTGAGGTACTCTGCCCGAAAACCGTCCAAAGACACCAGGATGAGAGGAGGCTTGGAAAAACTGAGCAAGAAAAGAACAGCTGATCAAAAGAATTTCTTAAAGGACCCTCTGAAGAAAGTTTAAGAAATGGAAACAACCAGTCAGCAGGACACACTTGTGTTTCTGCAAAAGATAAATATAACACACATGAATAATATGATGTCATATTTCTGGCCTCCTTTGCTGTCTTTTAGTAGCAATTAGCAAATGGTTCATCTGATGTTGGGCTGTAAATAAGTGTCTAACCATATAGATAGCTACGTTTGAACTAATACAAGAAGTTGTATGTGGGAAAATAAAAAAGCAGATGGGAACAGGTTACTTTAAATCAATTATATGAAGATTCAGTCGTAAAAAAATGGATTAAACAACTGTAAGGATAAATTCTGTCTCTTTTTCTCTATTTATATGGGGCTTTTCCACGGTTATTGTCACAGACAGAAATGTGTTGAGAACGTGGGATTTAGCATCTCGCCTCTGGACACACGTGGTGTGGGGAGGCAGGGGGTTGAGCTCTTAACCTCGCAGTTATCAGATGACTGCTTGTGCTACAGCAGGCCCATTAAGGCCAGTCTTAGCTACAGAGTTTCTCTATTTTAAATCAGTCTACTAAGAAATGAGGAGACGACTTTTCCTACAACAAACACAGTGGGTGTGGTCTGTGATGTGGATGGTCTGAGCTGGGTGTATTTTGCACTTTTGCAGTTGGAATAGTTCCCTTATTTTCCCACAAACTCAGTGGCTTTCACAGTCGGATTGCTGTCTGTTTTCTACTGATGTGCTTTACTGAAAGTGACTCAATCTGAGAAAACAGTACTTTTGTTGTTGTTGTAAAGTCTAGATTCTTTCTTGTTTCTTCATCAGAACCCACCTGTGACTCATTACCACTGGAGACCATGTAGGATCTGACTGCCTACACATGTTGATCAGATGAGTGTTTTTTTATTCTTAACACAAACAGCTCTAAACTCTTTTCTCTTGCCATCAATTCAATGCAGTGTGACAGTTTTCCAGAGTAGTTCTGGGTAAAGTCTAATCTAACCTCTTTTGTGCTAGAGGCTTATGAATAGTTTTCACCTTCTAGTGAACCCTGTATTTGCTCTGGTGGAATTTTCTCTTTATAGTTGGTAATGCTTCCTTGCCCGCTGGAGAGTATTCTTCACTTGGCTGGAAGCTGAGAAAGAGTTTTTCTTTTCTATGGAAAGGATCACATGTAGTCTTCCGGTGCAAGTGAGGCCTCTAAAATTTCTGCTTTGGGCCAGTACATTTGATTTTTGGTCTGTATCTGTTGATTTGGACTAGCCTGTTAGGAGTAACTGTGAGCAGTCCTTCCTCCTAACTGTAGATCGTCCAATATACTATAAAAACAAGCTTAATAATAAAGAGCGAATGGCCATCCATGAAAAGGTTTACATGAGGAATTTTTTTTTTTAAAAGAGGTTCCAGACATGAACCAGCTTTACATCATCAATTCTTTAAGCAGCTTTGTTGAGAATAACCTCAAACTTGAGCTTGGAAGACATATTAATCATACAACTATGCATTCATCCTGGTGTTATTTCAACTGAAATGATTGAAATGCCTTGAGATTATATTTTTTTGTTGGGAAATTATATACAAATAAAATAAGAGTAAAATTTTATTTGATTCAGTTGAGTTAAACATTTTTACTCAAAAGATAAATATTAGGATAAAGAAAAAATTGCCAGAAAACCCAAATGACCATATTAATCTGAACCCGAACAGGTAAAACAAAATCCTATATATATAAAAATAAATATAAAACATTAAAATGTTCCTTCTTCTTTACTAAAAGAAAAAAATATTCTAAAAAGTAACAGCAATCAAAATAGTCCAAGAGTGTAAAGCCCAAACCACAGCTAAAAATACACACGTGGCTTACCACTGGAAAACAATACAAGGAAACCCAGCAGAATATGTGACAGATAAAAAGAAAAAAACGCAGACAACAGTCCTGGATCTGATATTTTCAGACCAAAAACAAGACACAGGCTTCCTTTTCATACTGTGATGCGCCTGTCTGGGGCTACTCCCTTACCAAAGCAGCAACACACTCATGTGAGTCCATCCCAGGCACACAAACAAACACTGACGCCACTCACCAGCACATGCCTGATTAGTCAGAGTCATTAGCCCAGTTTCCATAGAGACTGGTACTTTTTTTCCCAATAAAATGATGCCATTGGAAAAAACACAAGCCATGTTTTTAGGTTATTTACGCACTTCTAAAAACAGAGAGAAGTGCAGCCTAAACTGAAAGAGAGTTAGGGTTAAACCTTTTCACTTTTCTTTGATGTCATAGTTCAATTTCCACCAAGAGCTTCCAAAAGGGAATACTGGTTCCAAATGAGGATAACAGTTGTTGATACTGTGAACAGTTCCAATTTACAGCAACTAAATATGCAGAAGCATATCCCCCCAAAAAAGTAGATGAGCTGATGTCATCTATAAATTAGCTATTTGATACCTCTGATGTAATTTCCTTTTAAAATTACACAATTTTCCCACATCACAGCATAAACAGGAGTATGTCATTACCCAGGTGGACACTGTGGCTGTTGGACTTCAGCAGAGACCTCCATCCAGAGCTCCCCGCCTGCTACAGAGAAAGAAAGTTGAATGAGAAAGGTTTGATATTTTCTGCGTCCTTTATGGACTAATGTGACTGTTACACAATCTGTGCATTACTGAGTAATGGCAGCACAAACGTTAAACATTCAAATTCAATAGCTATCCCACAATATGGGTTTAAACACCCGGAAACATCAAAAAGCATCAAAACTGTGAGAAAGTAGTTTGAAGAGTGCAGACAGACTCCATCGACTGACTCCATGAACAGATGGGAGAAAAAAACATTCAGCTTTATGCCAGATTTGCTTGGAATACCTTTAAATCCAACGGAAAACATCTGGATATGGTTTTCTCAGAAACAAAACAGAATGAATGTGACTGTTTCTTTAAAAGGAGACCATGTAACATGCGATCACATTATGTTATTCTTTATCAGGTCCACACAAGTTGAATATCCTGAGCTGCAATGTGTTCATCTTTTTTTTCTTTCTTTTTTTTCTTTTTGGCAAATGTTTGAAAGCTCCCTTGGTTGATGTGGGGATAGCGCAAAAAGCTGTCACACAATGCATAATGTGATCATGTTTAATAATGTTTGGAACTTCTCTTCCAAATGCAAAGAAAGTTTAAATGTTAATGGATCCACCCTTTCCTGTTAAGGACGCTGGCAGGAAAAGTTTTTCCGGCTTTACAAAAACCCTTCCTTGAAAAACTCAAGGATGGTTGTGAGGATATAAAAAGGTGACCATAATATTTCGCATGCTGAGGAGGACTGTACTGTCCTGATATTCCTCATGCGGTGAACTTTTGGGAAGGAGTACTTCTTGGAACAAGTGGTAGATGTGTTCCCATCTGATCGAGCAAATGTGAGGTGAACTTTTGTATTGTTGTGTCTAAAAAGAAGATGTGCATCGCACAATTTCCTTTTAGGTCGACATACAGTGTGTTAGTGTTCCAAAGAGAGGTGTGGTGGTTCAACTACAACACAGGAAGACAAATCTCTCAGATTGGCTGTCCTTGGAACATGATTCATTTCAGTCTCATGCCAAGATGTCATGCTTCTTTGTATGTGTCATTCTCTGTGTTTTTTTTTTTTTAAATGTGTGTCTCAGTTCACCAAAGGTCGGTGTTGCAATGAAGCATGAGGTGAGAATAAATCCGCAAAAGGAGAGCAAACATGTTGACACAAAACCTAAAACAAACTGATTTTTTCAAGGTCTTTCCCACAGACAAGGTGACACCAACCAGGGAAACTCTGGGCCTTCTATTTCACCTTTTAAACAAAATCCCCCCTCGACCCACCTGTCAGCTGATGTGCTGACTGGACATATGACAGGAGGAGTCTTAGCGTGTTAGTGAGAGGGCCCCTCCTGGCTGCCTGGAGGCCAGCAGTGCGGTTTGGAGTCAGCGCGGGGATGCTCTGTCTCAGGAGAAAAAGCTGCTGCGTTTTGCAATAGACGGGAAAACCCGAATCTCAGGCTTTTGGACTAAACGGAGTGCGCCATTGAGATTAAAAAAAAGAGTCCCGGGCTATTTCCACTTCTTTTCATCTGTTTCCAAAGGCCACACCAAGAAAGCAACACTACGAAGGAGGCAGAGGTTCCAGCTGCCTGGCGTAGATGTGCACGAGACATAAATAAAAGTCTGGGCGAGAGAAAAAATCTGAACGTATTCTTTCCATATGGTTTTCGTGTTAGCGGGGCAGGAAAAATAAGTGAATGCCACAGCAGAGGGAGCACCCCGCCCATGAAGACAGCTGCCCACATTCACCACTGCTGCCCCAGAAAAGGAAGAGGGGTGTTTTGGCATGACTGTTTGCAACAAAGAACACACTGACGCTGCTGCCCACGTTCAACCAGAGGCTGCAAAAACATTCCTGCCTCATGGAAAAAGTGTGCGAATGACATACTTTCTAATGTCGGATAAGGAAAGCCAGAGGGGAATGTCTCCTCTTAGCAAGTCCCACACAGTCTGGGGGTTAATGTTCACCTCCGTTTCTCTCTCTTTCCCTCGCTGCCCTGTAACTTGACCCACTGTCACTGTTCCTCTAAATACTCCCAGTTTCAGGTTTCTGAGGGATCGGCAGCGGGACTCTCTCCGGCTCAAAATTAGGTGGACCTTCTGCTATCTTTAAGCTGTTTTGTAGGCAGACTTGGTTGTATTTTGCTGGGAACCCACCCACACAACCAAGTCCTTCAGTGGCAGAATGTAACCTGACCGAGTCAGACTCGCGCTGCAGTCAATGTGCTCCATTCACTGCCGCCGCTGAATTAAAGGCAAGAGAAAATGTATTAATTGATGTGGTGGGGGAGAGGAAGCAAAGATATGTTAATGCCTGCTTATGGAAGGCTACATCGTAGGGTTACTGGGTTCTCCAATAAAAGGAGAAGTAGATGTACACTGCCTGGGTTTGTTTGGTTGTTTATCTCTGAGACAAACACTAGTTCTTATCAGATTTTCCCACAAAAAGCACCAGTACATATTCTATTTTTGGTTACCGTCTTACTAATAACCCCAACAATCTGTGTGTGGGTGAGTGTAAGTTCGCATCTCTTATCAAACATCCATTTGATTTCCTTCCAACTTGGCAACTGCATTGTTGATGCTGTGAGTATGCATGGGTGCAGTTGTCTTATCTGAGGTACTACTGCCTCTGAACCCACCGCCACATGCTAATTCTTCCGGACTCTATATCTGGGAATAAAATGAAGCGGAATACGGTGTGGATTCTTTCCTGAGCTTATCCCACAAGCCAAAAATGTAAGTGTTTCACACACTGCGAGAAGACAGCCGGTCGGTAGGCAAACGTTACATGCCGGCCAGCTTGGCGCTGCATGACAAAAGCTTTGACAAATGAGAATGAAGATGTGCAACACACCCTCAAAGATTGTATTCTGTAACATGTACACACAACTACACGCATTCATCCTAACTACCAACGTGTTATTCCAACTGAAAACCTGATTGTAAAGTAAGTTTGTATTAGTGTAGTCTTTAGTTGTTATGTTTACTCATTTTTTTAAATCTGTTAGACAGTGGTCTATGTTTTCTTTTGTTCCAACTTTCCTCCAAGGGTGATCTTCATATTTCCTAATCCAGTCATTAGCTTCTGTGTTCGGTCTGCCTGAGCTGCAATCATCTGTCATCACTTTCCCCACAGTCCTTCAGATGAAGTCAAGTTTGTCTTTCTTTGGTTTTTGTTTAACAAGGAGGTTTTAGTGCTTCAGCTCAGCTTTAAAAAAAATCAAGTCTGGTTCTTTCAGCCTCCAGTCCGCATTTTGAGCCTTTGTTTGCCACCATCTACCAAAAATGCGGCCTTGGAAGAGCAGTAAGGTACAACGATAGCACTGTTACATTATGCCCAACTGATGTAACAAAAGGTCTGAAAACTGGAAGTCATTAAGTAAAACTTACCTCTCTCAGCAGCGCCCATTCTCACTGAAATAACCACAGCCAAGAGGATGACCAGTAAGCACAGCAGCAGAACCTAAATGCCAGAAAGCAAATGGTTGTCTGATACAAGGAATAAAATGGTTTATCAATCATAGTTTGTCAAACATAGCCAAGAATGTTTATTTTGAGCTGAGAGGAAACCAAATGTAAAACTCTTCAAGAGCCATCACCACAATGAATGTTCCAAATAATTTATTTTTGGCATAATCAAAGATTTGCTACCACAGTGTCTGTCTATCTTCAAACTTAATGTAAAGCAGCCAAAGATTTAAAAAGAAAAATATTTGGAATGACATTGTGAGGAAGATTGCTTTGGCAAAAATTCAGTTTCCAGCCGTTGTCCAGAGACGTTGTCAGTTGGATGCCTTTGTAACCAAAAATATTGTCGCGAACTCTCCGCTGACCAGAGGCATAAATCACCTCCTTCTGTAAATACAACCGAACATATGCTGTAAATACACTTCCACGCTTGAAGCATCAGCTCTGGGGAGGACAGCGCTGGTTGTTCGGGTCACCACTTCAGTTAGTTCCACACTGAAGGCCTCTCAATGTTCAACTGCTGGATAGATTATTGCCAGAATGAGTACATGCATTCCTGGTCCCTTTGGGATGAATGGTTTTGTTAAAAATGTGAATCGGAGCCTTTTACAATTGAACACATCTTTTTTTTTTTTTTCCAGCTGCTGAGTTTATATCTGCTGGAATAGCAGCGAAGGGTTTGTAATTAGACAGGCATTTCAAAGAAATCTGAATCTGTTGGGTTGGGATGGGGGGGCTTGTTCAGCCGTGTTGTAAACAACCGCAACGCCTACAGCAAGCTTTAGTGGTTATTGAGGTTGTTTACTTATCACGTAGTCTAAAATAGTTTGGGAGTTTCTGTGTCGCCAGATTTAAATTTGTTTTGTGACGCCCTTTGTTACAGTTTACTACAGATCCCATGTGCCCCTGAGGGACAGGATCCATGATTTGTGCAGACATTTTTTAATCCCTTTGATTGGAAAGTCAAATTCAGAGTTCCTGAAAAAGATTAACTTAATCTGCACAAATCTGTCCATTTTGCTCTGTTCCTCTTATTTCTCATTTTGTTCAAACAAACCTCAACATGTTTTTGTCCATTATCTTCTCGACATGCTGGCTGTAAATGAAAAAAACAGCAAAAGGAAAATCTGAAGTAAGCCAATGTTTGACTTTTAGACACAGACTTAGAATAATCCCCAAATTCAACTGTGTTCCAGACTTTGTTCCATTGGTGACCTTCTTTAAAAAGTAATTTGGCAGTTTGTGACAGTTTACCTGCTTTGAGACAAAAATAATGCCTGGTATCCTAACCTGTCTGCTCCTACTCTGCAAGAAAGCCGTGGTACTGCCCTGTTACGTCTCAAAAAGCAGGGCTGTGGGAACCATCAACCACAAGTAATCCGCTTACTGCGATTCACACACACAGAATTGGCATTCCTACACAGTTATGAAAATGTGCTATTTGTGCAAGGTGTCTGGGTACTTCTTTTCATCAGTCACAGGCGGATTGACAGGAAACCTGGATGCACTTTTCAGGAGACCTGATATATAATCATCGTAGGTCGTGAAAGGAGACAGTCTGTCTGGTGCAAACCTACGAGTCTGACTCAGAAATAAACTTTACTACAGCAGGTCATCACAGCTCTCTGCCTCTACGTGCGACGTGAAAACTAAATGGCGCAACTGATGTTTGAAGTCTCCTTCAAACATCACACAAACACACAAACAGGCCCACTAGAGAGATCAAAAGTCAGAAAAGGTTTAATGAGTAACCCTTGTGCTGCCAAAAAACCCCAAATGCTGCTATTTGTTTTTCCTAGAAGGATGGATTGCAATTATTCTTTTTTAAAAGATCTCTAAGCACGCTGAGGTGTAAAATGTTTAATTACTGACAGACGTGCTGTGGTGGAGCATAGCATTGTCTAGACTTTGGCTCTGGTGTGTCACATCAATGCCAACCAGACTACAGCTGGTTCCCGTGGGTTCCACATTCACTTTTTTCCGGAAGAGTTTGAAATAGAAGTGAACGGTCAGATAGTTTTGAGTTTAATTACGCTCAAATTTCTTTTTCAAACTTGCCATTTGGCCAAATAAATCCATTTGTTACTTTTGAACTGCAAGAACTGAGACCACAGCAACCGGAAAATACCAAATCAATTTCTTTAGAATTAAATGAGTAACTGTATGATTTTACACTCCACTCAGAACAATAATCAAAGTTTCCGCTTTATTAGATGTTCCCTCTATGTTAACAATACGGCTATGGGATATACAAAAAAGACTTGCTGGAAGGTCCAATCCCATTCCAGATGTTTCATGTCTATGATCAGTCAACTTTGTGTTGTTTTTCAGCCAGCAAACACACATGGTTGTTGCTTCTTCCCAGATAACATCATGGTGACTAATGTATACGAACCAGGACTTGGAAGAGTGCCACCTCTTCATGGATTCATCAAATAAGAATTAATCAAACTTGCAACATGAACTAGGATCAAACATTTTCATGACCATCGCGTTTGAAAACTGAAGCGTGGGTTGTTTCCTCTCCATGTGTCATTTAAAGCGAGTGAATAACATGTTTTAGAATGCTGTTTAGAATAAAGGCAATGATGTTCCTCATAGTCATCACATACGTGTCGTATCTTTTTCCAGCAACCCAACAAGCATCAACAAGAGCACAAACTACGGTAGAGCAAGACTGTGTTGAAGATCTTCAGGCGAAGCATCCAAGTATATCCAAGTAAACGCAGCGTGGTGGACAGTCCTGATTTACGGCTACAACTGTTGGTCATGTCTACCTGCTGAGACAGGTTGGCCTCTGTCTCTTTGCACTGAGGTGAAAACATTGAGTTTCCAGGTTCCACTCTGCCAGCACCCGGAGTCTCAGCTGTGTGACAGCTGTGGATTAATGAGGGTGAGAGCAAACAGCGTCAAAATGCAGACGTGAGGCCGTGGTTTTTGATTGCTGCTTTTGCTCAGAGTGAATTCTGTTTCAGGAGCTCGCCAAGACATGTTTTCAATTATTGAATACGTTGACGAAATGAAAACGTCCAAAGTGCCAATGTTTTGTGTTTGGCTGCAAGCCTTTGGCAGAAAGTTTTTAATTGATCTATCCTAAAGACTCAGAACCAAGATGTGTTTAATGCTTGCTGTGGGAAAAATGCTATCAATCTAATAAATCTGATAAACTGCAGTTGTTTATCCTTCCAGCACCATAATCAAATTTCATACATGGATTAAACAAGTTTGGCTTAAAGTCCTTAATAAAGCTGAAAGAAAAAGTTTTGGTTTGACTCAGAAAGTGTGATATTTAACACAGCAGGGATTTTCAAATGCTGCCAGCAGAATGAAATCTACAACCAAGAGGAGTTCCCTGACAGCTTTTAATCCCAGATAACCTACCCCAATAGTGATTTTACTGTAGTAGATCCGTTTCTTTCTCCGCTCAGCATTGCTCCTCTGACCCTCCAGATCTGATCGTCCGAATATAGACGCAGCCTGTCCGGCTGACAGCTCCTCTGCTTTGGCCGCTTCCATGCTGCAGGACGCACAAACCCCCCTGCCAGTGTTTTCCAGGAGAGACTGAGAAGCATGCAGGAGATTCCTGGTGAGGAGCAGAGTATGAACCTCCACTCAACTGTAGCGCCGCCTTTTTTTGCCTTCTTTTTTTTTTTTTGACGTCTTGAAGTTTTAAAAGCAGCAGCTCTGGCAGAGGCCCGGCTGATGTGGAGGCATGGAAGGGGCTGCAAGTGCGCACTGACTAAAACGGAAAAGTTCTCCAGTCTCTGGCACTGCGGTTCATTTCTTCGTGGGGTCTTTTCGACTAAAAGAAAATCCAACTTTAAACAAGCTCTCGCCTAATCTCGGAGATTATCACAGTGAATCGCGACTGGGTAACCCAGGCGTGCCAAATGGCTTTTAAATCCCCTGGCAGGAGGCTCGACTTGCGGGTTTTTAGGGGACAAGAGAGCAGCTGTCGCCACCCTGTGGTCAAACTGAGGCTGTTTGAAATGCCCGTGTTGCGCAGAATACTCAATACAAAGCTTCTTATTTACCTTTTTATATTCAGCCTCCAGAATGTTTATGCAGCTGCTTAATTTGGATGCTTAGGTCCTGCATTTGATAAGGGAAAAGTGGGCTGATATTCATTTATATTAAGAAAATCTTTCCTCTCCTCTTCGGTACAGTGAGACATCCCAAATTGGGGAACAAAGATAGAAGCAAAATATGACATCCATTAAAACTTCCATTTTGAGATTCTGCAAATAAAATAAAATAGATGCTTTTGGACAAGTCTGGGCAGAATCCCCCTGACTGTTTTATGAGCTCCATTTCACTCTCTGTTTGCTAAATCTTTAAAACCGCTCTGTAATCCTGGCAGCTTTGGCCAATCCAACCAGAACGGGGAAACTCCAGAACATTTACTTCTAATCCTAATGAAGCAAAGTTCCCACCTTTGTTCTCTACGTTTTGTTTTTCCCTGTTTGTTGTCTGTTGTCAGGTCCCTTCTCCAGGAGTTTCCATCTTAACAGAGCAGTCTGTGAATTCGAAATCTGACATCAGATACTATGTGTTGAACATATTTAGACTTTCTGAGTCAAACAAGTCAAACACATCATCATTTCCTATTAGCTTCCTACCGTCACCACATTCTTAAAGTTTTGTTCTTAAACAGCGGGCGAGCTTTCTAAATTCTGCTCTGTTCCGGTCTGGCTCTGGTTTCTATCCTCTGTAGCTGTAAATGTGTCATCTATGACACATCTGTCCCATCCACTGAGCAAAAATGACAAAACTCAGAAGGAACTCGGTGCAAATGACTTGCGTGTGTGGGAGTATTAGTCCTTTATGAATATGTAATGCAGAAATGTGTGCGAAAGAATCCACAAGATGGTGGTGTTGCAGCACTTCTCATTTTGCATCCTGTTGCAAGAAATGTTTTTCTGTAATGAAAAACAGAGCTGGATCACATGATAGTCATCCCGATCCATGAAGACTTGCATATATTTGGGATCTGTGATGTCCAGTTTTCTTCTGAGTGGGGCAGTGTCCTGTGGAGTGACAACAGAGAACACATGTGGCCGGTACCCCTGACCTCTGCGTATGCCTTGCACACGTAAAACGCTCAGAGTCACATGTTGTCAGTCTCTGTTTATTCTCGTCCCTCAGAGCTTGTGAGCATGCGTATGCAGGCTTATTGCAGTACATGATTCTCACGTTGTGTTACATTCACAGCTAAAATGTGTGTGCACGTCAGAGCCGGAGATTTTTTGTTTGTTACTATGTGTGTGTGTGTGTGTGTGTATGTACTGAATGCCTCTCAGCAGTGTCTCCCTACAGCTGTCCTGACCCCTGCAGGACATTACAACATGACCTTTAATGTTGACCTACACATGTGGCACTTACTGTCAATTTACATTTACATGAGAAAGTCACAAAAAACGGAACTGCAAAGAAACAGGAATTAACACTAATTTGCTGCATTATTAGATTTTGAAGCTTAAAGTAAAACCAAACTATTTTCTCCATAGTATAAAAAAATGTAATTACATTGAGTATGACTGCTGTACATTTTGATCAGGTGAAGCCAGACGCACACAGAAAATTGACACAAGTCCCACATAAAGAGATGCCTTTCTTCATCACATCTGCACCAAAAGTCTGGGACTGATTAAACATTTCAAAGCATCTGGCACCACTCCCAGACAGTCGGAGTGGCTTTAACCCAGACCCAGCCTTGATTTATAAATAATACATCAGTGAGGACCGGTGGTACGTGTGCTTAAAACACATCCTCCCCTTGAGATGTACGGCAGGCACTTGTAAATCCACTGTGAATTATTTATTCAGTGCGGCTCATCCTTTTGCACAGTACATTTAGGGGCTGCTGTCTTTTCAGACGTGCGTATCACTGATTACCTGTCAGCCAGGATTTGCTGTCTGTAGCCGGCTGTTTGCTTTGTCATGAAATAATGAACACTGTTCAATTATTTTCATTCTCGCAACTGGGAAAATTGGCAATGCCCAGACACAGACTCAAACGTTGATGTGCTGTATGTCACATCGCCAGCTGAGCTGATTATATAAAGACAGATGGCTTTTTATTGTTATTAACTACAAAGATATTTAGTTTTCCATTGCAATGCATTGCTGTGTATTACACAGACTGCTTTTGCTAGAAAATGTATACATGATTTAATTTATGTTACCTTGTCATGAATATTAATCACTTCATTACTGTGATAGTATTACTACTGCTACAGTATGATTTGTATGAAATCTACAAATACCAACAAGAGTTTTGCAGTGGAATGGAGGCAAGAGGTGGGGCACATCGTGGGGTTAACAAAAGGAGATTAAGTTATCCTGACTCATTCCTGTGGTTAGTTTAGAATTTGACCCAATGTGAGCTAAACTGTTTTCAGTAATTAGAAAAATTAGGGAATCCCTCATAAAAAAAAAACGCAAAAAAGGTCAGTCACAGAAAAGTTTAAATGGAATTACAGCAGCAGCAAAGACTGCATGATAAAGTGTGTCACACACAGTTTGATTTCCCTGTATTTCACTGTATATTTAATGATTCTTTTTTGTTATTTTTTTTCTAATTCACTCATGCAGCATTTAATTGTTACTTTTAAATCATGTCAGTCACCTGAGAGGTGACTTATCATCACAACTTATCATCCTCTGGCAAAAAACTCAATTGAACTATTTATGCCCGTCTTCTGCAGCTTGACTTCATGCTTCATCATTTCTAATTCGAAAGTGTTATTAACCTAACTAACCTATCTAACATATCCACTTAAGATGTTAAAGATGAGCAGGTAACAGATAATGAAGATGCCTCATAGTGCTCTATTGGGCACAATTTCTTGACATTATTCAGCTATGCTTCTAATTTAGCAACAGATGTCAAAATACAAGATATATGTTTTGTTTATTCATTTTTCGCATGTTTTGTGCAAATGGAGTATAAATGTTGCCCATGTGCCATCCCAAAGACAATATGTTTAACCTTCATATACAGTATAGGCTGCTCTTTTTTTCAGGGCTAAAAACCCCCAAAATAAATAGACAACTGCAGTGGGTGCCATGTACAGTAGGTAGTGAATATTCAACGTGTGTATTGGACATACCATAACAGACAGCAGTGCACACACGGCTGTCATGGGCCTGTGGAGGCGTTTAGGTAAGTGTCTGCCGATGGAGGAAATTCTGTCATCTGGACCGTCAACTCTGATAAAAAATAAAATCTAACCTTATTTTACAACGTGGGCCAGCCACCCTCTGTGGTCTCCACATCGTATCACAGGTCAAGTTTTCTGTTGTTTTTCTTAGCTCTCCACATTTCAGAGACTTTGTTGTTGCTGGAATGCAATCAAAAGAAGCAGTATCACAAATTTTCCAAAGGATTTTTCGTCATTATGCTGTCTCCCATGTCAGTGTGTGTGTTTGTGTATGTCAGGATAAAAAAAGGGACCATTTTCATGGGAGAAATAAAACAAACGCACAGTTTCATCAATCAGTCTGTTGAATAAGAGGGCTGCAATTAGTCATGAATAACACAATGAAAGTTGTGTAACGCCTGGTGAGGAGAAAAGACAATTAATCAAAGCATTAACTGAGACTTAGTCCCATCAGCAGGTCATTGTATGTTCAAAAGGTAAAGAGCACTTAAAACCCAGCATCCAGTGGAAAATGTCACTGTTCAACATTACCAATTTTGTGTTTATGTTTCAGTTAACGCAACCACTATTCTTATTGTATTAGTCTTTAATGTTTTTCTGCTTTTTAACAAACAAACTCATAACTTTATTTATTCATTTATGGCATTGTCAGACAGAATGAACATATAACCCAAACAATCAAATCTTCTGAATCATTTCTCACAGCAAAATTAATACATATACAAAGAATCCTTACATTTAAAAGAAAACTATACAAGAAAGCCACAGATTAAGTCCCTCCATCCATTTTCTGTACCTGCTTTATATAATTTGGACAAGTCAGGTCATTGCAAACCACCACGAGTAGTCTCGAGTAGTCTCCTGTTGCAATATTGAGTTCTGAATTATTGTATATTTAAAGTTTATCTTCAAATAGCAATTGATAATAATCAGGGGAAACATTAACAGCCATATCCCTTTATGTCAAAATGTCGCCTGGAGTGACACAAGGCTACAGCGGAAACAAAACCTTATACATTGTTAAAATTGATCAATAAAAAGTCAGACCATCAATAACTGAAGCCCCAGAGTCTCTTTTAACTTTGTGAACATTTTTCTACTTTATCCATTTTTTATGATTAATTTCAAATATATTAGCCTTGGATTTTGGAGAGGGAATATTTTTAGAGCCCTGTTTTGAAACTGAAATCCACACATTAGTAAAAATGGAATACAAGTTGCACTGTCACAGATCTCTATGTTCAGAGGAATTTTTTCAGTATGATATGAATTAGGTTTCTTCTATTAATTATTTCAAACTGCACACTGAATAATAATTTAAGAAAGTTATGATCACTCACATGCAGTCATATT